TTTGTTTGGATTGAATGCAAAATCTTACCACACTTTAATGCATAAATAAAAATATATTGCATTTAGAAAAAAATGTTGTATTATATTACGGATCTCCAATAAGTCTGCCGAATTGCATAGCGCTCCATTGAGCCATGAGTAAAGAGCCTTAGGATAAGAAGATTAAACGTAATATACAAAATCTCAAAAGAGTTTAGGCCAGTGTCATATCATAACAGAAAATTTTGTCAACATATTTTAGTATATTCCTATTCCAACACCCATTTTCACTAACCTAGAACAAGACGTAGCTTAACTTAGAAACGCCTAATATTACTTAAATATATTTTTCTTTTATTCCTTGACAAAGTTGTGAAAAACCGTATTGGAACCACTACAATATTCACTTGGACAAACATAAACGCAACATTTTTCACCATTTTAACTGTTGGAAAATAAAAAAAACTAGGCACTATCTTTTTGTAAAAACATAACGAGACGAGATTATTGTGATTTTATAATAAGTTAAAATTTTAAAACAGTTACAATAAGATGCAAATGTTTCCTAAGTGTTAAACTTAGAGATAGGCTACGTCTTCAGGATATAAGGAGGAGGACAGGTGTGGTTGATGTAATCCATAAAGTGAAGACCTTAAAATGGAAGTGGACATATGATGAGATCCACAAAACCAAAATGGGCAAAAGATATCACAGTATGGTAGCCTCGTGACGGAAAACGGAAAAGAGGCAGATAAAGAGATGGGAAGATGACCTACCGAAGGGATGGAGAAGAGCAGCCAGAGATAGAGGGGAATGGACTAAACTGGAGGAGGCCTTTGTCAAAGGACAACCTGGCGGTACACTTGCCGATGTCGGCGAAAAAACTAAATAACTATAATATAATGTAGAAAGTCAGAGAGTAAAGGCTATTTTTATTTTTTTTATTTTATTTTAGGAACAAAGTTAAAGAATTCTATACAGTACGAAAAGAAATTCCAACAGTAATGAAAATTTTACAAATTCTTTGCAATGATATTAACTTCCAAGGAGGGAGAGAATCATTAAGGAGAGGAACAATATCTATAAAATACAAACTACGTATAATAATTAATGTATTTTCTGAATAATATATAATATGTACATAAATATCGTCATCAGCCTATTGTAGTCCACTACTGGACGTGGACCTCCCCAGGGCATGCTGCTGGTGGTGCTGGGCAGAGCGGGTTGGTGACCGCAGAGAATGATATATCATTTCGGACTGTGTTTTCAGTATGGAAGACGTTGCTGCCCACCACCAGTATAATCCCTTTATCGCCTCTTACGCTACCCACGGAAAGATATGGGGTGGTGCTATTATACTCAGCCGGCACCACATCTACGCTTAAAAATTTTGTACATAAATATTAATTATACATAAGTACATAAATATGTAGCGAGCATAATTAAAGTTAAAAAATTATTTTTTTATTTGATTTTTCAGACTAATTCTTAAAGAGATTGGCTTTGAATATGTTAAATGTCAATCGAAAAGAGTAATTTTGATGGAGCAAAATGACATAAAATTACAAAGATATAAATATTTAGAACGCTTGAAGAAAAACAGAGAGGCTGAACAACATAACAAATTAGATGTTATATATTTAGAAGAAACATACATTCATGGTTCATGTTCCGTGAACAAGAGCTGGCAAAGCAAAGACGTTGCATGTCCGTCTAAATCTATATCACTGAGGGCAAGGTGGATTATTATTAACGCCGGTGAAGAAAATGGCTTTGTACCAAATTGTTGCCTAGTATATAAATAAAAAATTGTGTCTGCTGACTATCACCACGACATGAATAAAGAAAATTTCACGAAGTGGGTGACCGATAAGCTTATTCCAAATCTGACAAAACCATCAATTATTGTGATGGATAACGCAAGTTATCATTCCGTTCAGCTTAACAAACCTCCCACACAAGCTAATCGTATCGCTGAAATAAAAGAATGGCTTACTGCAAACAACATTCATTTTAAGGATAAGTGGCCTAAATGCAAACTTATTAAAACTGTCCAGAAGAACAAGTCTGATCCTGTATATGAAATTGATCAAATGTTAAAATCATGTGGTTATGAAGTTTTACGGCTCCCACCTTATCATTGCACACTTTATCCTATAGAAATGATTTGGGGAATAATGAAGCAAAAAGTAGCTGAAAAAATGTAAATAAGCCTGCAAGTGATATCAAATCACTGAGGAAACTTTTTCGCAAATTGGTGTGAAGGAATGGCGAAAGTGTTGTCAACATGTGCAAAGAATTGAAAACGAGTTCATAGAAAAAGACAGGATAATTGAAGATCTAGAAAAAAGGTTTATTTTAAATTCCTCCTTATCTTTATCATCTTCTTCATCTAACGAAGAACAAGAAAAGGAAGTTGAGTTTTTAGAGTCGTTTTCTAGTTCCGAATGAACTAAATAACATAACAAGCCTTTTTTAATCATCCCCCCTTTATAAAATTCTCGAAAAGTATATGTATATTTGTATTATTATTATGAACAAAAATATAAAGAATAGATTTGTTTGTTTATTTGATAGTTTTTAATGGATAAACTCAAAAACTGTACAGATTATTCTACAGTTTTCACCAATGAATAGTGTGAATCAATCGAAGTTTAGGTTCCAACTCCAAATCGGTTAAAGCTAGTGTATGTACAGTCGGCCAAGAAAGTGGTCTACCACCCTAAGGTTGAATTTCGCGTGTTACGTCAACTAACAACAAGGTTGATTTTCCGTAGCATTAATTTTTTGACACGTCAAGTACACGTCATTATTGCTATCTTCATCATTTTGACGTAATCTTTGACAGTAATTATCTATACCTGTAATAAAAATGTAACAAGGTTACATTTGTAAGATATTTTGGAAAAAAATATATGGACGGCCTTCATAAGACTAATAGAAGCCAAAAATATTTTTTTTTCTGTCTGTCTGTTTGTATGTTTAAATACTTTAGAGTTAGAATATCGTAAATAAAGTCTTATAGTCTACAAATATCCTACATTAGAATGTAGATTAATTATATTTTAATACAAATATTAAAAATCAGTAGGTAGTGAAATGCTATGCGTAAGAAGCTATGCGTGTTATAGGTCTGAATATACTGAGATAACGGATAACAGAAATGAATAGCGACGAAAAACATATTGCGCCGACCCATAGCTTAGTGCGAGACAAGGGCTAAAACTAGAAGAGATAGTGAAAATGCAAATTCTTTGGTTGTTAAAAAATATATACAATTCTTTTATAAAATTATAATTCTTAAAATCTTGTGTAGCCGCCATCTGCCTCTATAACAGCTTGGAGACGTTCCCTCATCGAGCCCACCAGTCTTGAGCAGATATCAGACCCACGTGTTTCCTCCCAAACCTCATTGCAGTGCCCTTGTAGTGCTTCTGCTGTTCGTTCATTACGGTTACATCATCTCTGAACCATAAGACCCCACATATTTTCAATAGGGTTGAGATCAGGCGATTTTGCAGGCCATGGTATCAAGTTTATTTCCGGATGTGCATCAAACCAAGCACGGGTTACCCTTGCTTTATGTAAGGGACAGTTATCCTGTAAATAATTAAATTGACGCATTTCATTTTCTGGATAAACGTTCCGGACGGATGGCAACATAGCATTTTGGAGAACATCAACATAATCTGATGCCGTTGCTCGTGGTGGCAAAAAGGTCAAGTCTCCAACACCATCAGCAGTCATCCATGCATACAAATTTACTGAGATACGACCCGATTCTCTATTTGGCACGACATGATTTTGCGTGTATCGCGTTTTATTGAATCGCCAAAGGTGTAGACGCCCGTGTTGACTGGATTTAAAAGTTTTCTCATCACAGAAAACAGTGTTACTCCAATCAAAATCCAAATATTCTATGGCGAAATTTAATCTGGCCATTCTATGGCGAAATTTAATCTGGCCATTCTATGAGCGTCAGTCATATAAATTTTCTTTGCATAACGCCTGTGATGTAAGCCCATGTAATGTAAATGGTTTCTAATGGTTTGGAGAGTCACGTCAAATATGTCGGCAAAATAACGCGTCGGTATAAAGCCAGATTCCTCATAACTCCGTCTCATGAAGACTCGCTGAGTATCTGATATTTCAGGTCTACGACCGCTACGACTCCGAGCGTTCAAATTCCCCTCCTCGCTTTCTCGTCTTATCCAAAGACGGACAGCTTGTCTCTATAATCAAAAATAAAATATGAACAGAAAAAATATTTTTTTTTTTACACTCGGACTTGGTCTGAGATTTTACATTAAACTCACGTCAGACATAATAATACTTACCGACACATTTAATTCTCTAGAAATCTCACTAATATTCAAACCATGATTGTGCAATGCGATTATTTGTGCTCTTTCGTTAATGTATAAATTTCGGGGCATTGTAGTGTAAATTAATTAGGAAAATACCTACGGAAAATGCTGAGAAAATATTTGACATGAATTGTCAAGTGATATGTTCTTTTTCAGTAAAAGAGTTTTCGTAACAAAATAGTTTCCACTTTGAAGTGACCTACTTAAATTTTAAATTTATGAAATATTGTGAAGACTATTTGTTGTTGCAAATTATTATCTAATGCATAGGCTGCAAAGGTCAAAATAACATTTGTGCTCTACGACAACACGTCAGCATTGTGCATCTCTTTTATTGTTTGTATGCAATTCTAAGATTCGCCTTTAGCGATGCTTTAAAGACACGGGAAATGTTGTCAAAACTGGTAGACCACTTTCTTGGCCGACCGTACGTACAAAATCAAAATTTCCATGTTCCTATTACAATTAAAATAATTAATAATATTATAAGTATCAAGATCATTTTCTCCAATTTCCTTGGTGTGGGTTTACATCAAATTTTAATTTCCCTATTTGCCATGAGATTCAAATACAAAACCGAATATGGCTGTATGAATATATCTTTTGTTTTAATTAAAAAACTTTTACAAGTGTCAAAGTTGTCATCCATCTGATTGTCAATACGTGGCTCTGCGGTGATTTTACGAAAAAAGGAATTATTCAAGCTTATGTTCGTGTTTATTAGAACTTTGGATAGTATTTATATAAAAAATCGAAAAAAATGAAGTTTACTTCGAATTCATTATGGTTGGCCACGACAGTAATAGTTTCATTACTTAATACTGCTAATAGTTATACTATCACTGTAGATGCACACGCCGAAGAATGTTTTTTCGAAAATGTGGAAGCAGATACGAAAATGGGTAATAATTTTAAATATATACTATCTTATAATTGACAAATCACCTTCATTGTAAATACTTTTTAGTCATTATGTCGACATAATTCGCCTCGTGAGACGAACGTTTTTATGACTATTAAAAATTTGTTGATAAATACTAGCACTTTCATTACTAAAACTCGATAAGCTACAAAATCACTCATATATTTTCAGGTTTAAAATTTGAAATAGCTGAAGGAGGTTTCCTAGACATAGATGTAACTATCACAGGGCCTGATGGTTCAGTCATAACAAAAGGTGAAAGGGAATCGTCTGGTGTATATACATTCTCAGCACCGACGTCTGGAAAATATACATATTGCTTCAGCAATAAAATGTCCACAATGACTCCTAAGGTAAGTCTTGCAAATATAATTAAGCAGTAGCAGTCTAATAAGACTGTGTAAATCTTGGCATAGAATGTTGCCAAAGCAATTTAGTAAGTAGGAGGCCTAGTATGCATGGATTTTCTTATAATTTTGAACTATAATTGTAATATTAACTATCATCATCATCAGCCCTATTACATCCCCACTGCAGGGGCTCAAGCCTTCGGGCGCTTGTGCACTACACTGAATTTTCATGTCCGGCGGTCCGATTTTTTCAGGTCCGATATGTCAGACCATATGTAAGTAATGCGCGCTTGTGCACTGTCAGGAATTTTACCGTCCGGAATTTTACTTTTCTCTATTCCGGACCGGTTTTTTTCAGGTCCGTGATGGCGGCAATGAAAAACGTGTTTACGCTTGTGCACTGCTGTGTCCGAGATCCGGAAAATTCATAAGGAATAGGCTTGGGAAAAAATTATCGATTTGAATCGATATTTATTTCGGCAATTTTTGTTAATTTCCAATAAACTTATAATCGATATTTATTGTTGATTATAAAATGCTATATTTTATATGATGATTTAATATAGTTGGTATATATCACTGCATATGCTTTGGCAAACTCGGTATAGTTCTAATTTGATCAGCGTATGGTTCTAGTATCGATACTTAGCTAGATTTTAGAATCGTATTAAAAGTATCGATAGCTTAAGGTAAGATAAATAAGTGTTGTTACGCTTAGACGCCTAAACAACTGAACCCATCTAAATGGAAATTAATATAGTAAGTAGACTTAACTTTAAGAAAGGACATAGGCTACATTTTATCGAGAAAAATAGGGGATGACAGTTTGCCTGGAAATTTGTTATTATCAAATTTTTTTTAGACAATTGATAAGTATAGATGAATATTTGACAACAGAAGTAATAATAAAGAATAAACAGAAGATTAACAAAAGTAATTAAGTGACACTCAATGTCTTATTCGCATTTAATAAAATTTTTAATGTATGTTTGTGTCATTAATAAATTTTAAAAAAGAAGTATTCTAAGCTAATAATATTTCTGCTCAAAGAAACTACACCACGCGTATAAAATTATGCCTGTATATAATACAGTCAACTGATCTCGTAAAGTTCATTTATCATAATAATTCTCCGCTAACACGGCACTAATTTCGATTTGTTTACGAAATGGCGCCACCGATTGGTCTATCTCTGTAATCGCTGAAAGTTGTTTTTACAAAACTTCGAAAAAAATTGCACGCTTTAAAAAATTTAAACATCAAGTACTAGACCATTATCAGTAATTTTATTCTAATGTCACAGATATTTTTAGCTATTGTATGTGAATAATGCTGTTCCTAAATTAGTAAGGGTATAAGTTTTTACATCTGATAGTAGTCATTCGATAGTAGTAAAAAAAATGCTTTCGTCTTGCCATAATTTATTATAGTTTATGTAAAACGATCAGATCATTATTTAGGTACCTTTCTACGTCTTCGAACGGAATTACCGACGTTCCAAAAATCTCATCGTACCTAGCGTAAGTGACGTGTAGCTTCAAAGAGAGCTGCACTACACTGCGCCGCTCCGATCAGGAAAAAAACGGACAAGTGCACAAGCTACTCATCCGAGTTTTTCATGTCATTCCGGACCGGAAAAAATCGGACCGCCGGACCTGAAAATTCAGTGTAGTGCACAAGCGCCCTTCCTTATGGATGATTAAAGAGGATGGGCCATGACACTCCATGTTGGCCCAATGCAGATTGGAGGGTTTTAACAACTGCAAATGCAGCTGTGACCAATGACTTAATGTGCCTTCTGAAGCACAAAGTAGATCAAGATAAAATTTTTTTGGTCACACATCCTGTGACCAACCCTTGTGAAATTTGCTTAACAACAATGATCACGGCGCTTATCCTCCACACCACCAAGCTACTTATAATATTAACTATGTTAATGTGCATTTAATGGTGTTTTTTGTAACAATTTTAATGTAATAATATAATATTCCTGTAAAATTGTATGAATGTCAGTTTTTAAGCTGTCCCATTAGATTATAATAATTAGAATAATTCAGTAAACTGACAATTATTACAATGCTATATGTATACACAAAAAGCTTTATGGTGTAGTCACTACATAAAGCTACACTGTAGTGGTTTGGATGAATGGTCTACAAAGGGGAACTAAACAACTTTTCTAAGGGACTATTCATAGGTCAAAATATATTATCTGGAACTCCTCTATGCTTTATATTCTAAACATGTCTGCAGATGATTATGTACATAAAATTTTGTATGAAATTTAATCTCACTATTTCCAAGAAAGAAAAGCCAAAACAAAGATAATATGGTTTTTCTACTATAATAAAATAGAGTACCTACTATAAAGTAGTACTGTATAATGTAGCATACTACATAAAAAAAAAACTATGAAATACATTTTATTGTGTAAAATAAGTGCATATAAATTAAAACCTAAAAGTATACATTCAACAACATACAAATGTCAAACTTGCTTTTAAACTTTACTGCATTGAAGGTAGAATTCAAAATCAACTGTAGAAATTTGACTTAATATTGTAACAAAGTTGATAAGTGCCACGGCTCACAATCGATTTTGTAAAGCAACTTTTGCAAGGGTAGGTCATGGGATGGAAGAGCAAAAAATATGTTATCTCAAGTTACTCTGTGCTTCAGAAGTCATGTTGGTTCCAGCTTGCAGCTTGCACTATTTACTTCTAAAATGTTAATTCAATTTGATATTCTTATTTTCAGGTAGTGATGTTTAATATGGAAATAGGGGAAGCACCAAGTAAACCATCAGGCAAAGAAGAGGCAGATCACAATAAACTCGAAGATATGATCAAAGAACTGGCAACTACACTCAAAACGGTTAAACATGAGCAAGAATATATGCAGGTATAGTGAATATTAATAAAGATCCTCATGAATCACTTTGTCGCCATCAGCATGTGTAAGAATGTGAAATATTACATTTTCACCAGTAGGCAGTCATACATGCAAATCTTAAATAAACCATATGCCAAATGGTTTCATTAAGATTTGAGTAAAATATGACAATGACCATCAAATTAAAAGCTCATGCTAACTGAAAGTTGCATAGGTGCCATTACTTAATTATTTTTAAAAATATTTAGTGAATTATAATTATATGTTCAATCATCAAGCTCTAATGAATGGGGCATTCCACGCGAAGCGGACAGCTAAAAAAAGTTGATGTTTCCGATTTCAGAAATATTTGAGTATGTTTTACCTATACATGTCCTTGATACGTGTACCAAATATTTTTGTAATATAGTGCCTAGTTAGAGAGTTAAGGGACTTAGAAATTTTGACCAACGAGTGGGCATGCAGTACTTCAAAGGCGATTACCAAGTCATAAGATTATAGATATAAATAATTAAACTTATGTATTTATTACTTAATTTAATAAGGCTTTTAACTGAATTTTTAGATACGAAAAAAAAAATTATTTCATTGAAAAAAATGCGATTTAATTTTTTAATCTTCATTTTCACGAAGTTAGACCGCTTCGATATTTTTTATTTTTTTTTTCTAAAAATAGATAATATTATAAAGAACGTTCGTGCTAAGTTTTATAATGGGCGTGAAAGTGGTTTAGGAGCTAGACTAGAAACGCTGTCGAAGCGTGGCATCCCTGACTCCTGCCCTGCGCCACGCTTGACGCTTGCCACCTGCGTGAGCTTGGAGATTACAGTTTTTCTTTAAGATAGTTTGATATATTATGATATTTAAATTAAAACGTTTTTTTTATTAATTATATGTTTGTTTACAAATTTTACAATTTCAAATGCTTTGCTATGACTCGTGAGTTTTACCATAATACCTTCAGTAATAGGAATATAGGCATGATATTTTTTTTGTGCCTGGTATTGTAGTTGTCGACTCAAAACTGCTTTTAAAAAGCCATCTACTTTGTTAAATATCCTCTTTTCGAGCATAGAAAACATGCGTTTGGGGCAATGATTTTCTCGCCCATTGGTACAAGCGCTCGGGTGTGTTAATAGCATTGTTTGACGCCGACTCTACAGTCGGTGTCAAACAATGCTAGTCTACACTAGCTCGAGTCGCCAGACGTCTTAAGTTGCTCCCAAGTCCATCACATGGCCCTTTGCCATGAGAAGTGGCATGAAAATTAAATTCTGCCCCTGTACCAAAATCCTGTTTAAAATAAAATAGATTAATGATATTAAACCTGTTTTTGAATTACTGTGGTGCACCATCAGTAATATAAATATATTTCTTAGTTGATATGCTCTTTTCTTAAAGATATTGATGCAACAATTTTGAAATGTATAATACGTTGCAGTGTCATGTTTTAAATCATCAGATATCATTACAATGCTTCCGTGTTTCCGTGTGCAATTTTTGTGTTGGAAAAGGGGATATTCAACAAAATAGATTGTTTTTAAAAAGCAGATTTGAGTCGACAGCTACAATACCAGGCACAAAAAAAATATCATGCCTTCATTCCTATTACTGAAGGTATTATGGTAAAACGCACGAGTCATAGCGAAGCATTAATAAATTAATTTAAAAAATCGTTTTAATATAAATATCATAATATATCAAACTATCTTAAAGAAAAACTGTAATCTCCAAGCTCACGCAGGTGGCAAGCGTCAAGCGAGGCGCAGGGCAGGAGTCAGGGACGCCACGCTTTGACAGTGTTTCTAGTCTAGCTCCTAAACCACTTTCACGCCCATTATAAAACTTAACACGAATGTTCTTTATAATATTATCTATTTTTAGAAAAAAAAAATAAAAAAAATCGAAACGGTCTAACTTCGTGAAAATGAAGATTAAAAAATTAAATCGCATTTTTTTCAATGAAATAAATTTTTTTTTTCGTATCTTAAAATTCAGTTAAAAGCCTTATTAAATGAAGTAATAAATACATAAGTTTAATTATTTATATCTATAATCTTATGACTTGGTAATCGCCTTTGAAGTACTGCATGCCCACTCGTTGGTCAAAATTTCTAAGTCCCTTAACTCTCTAACTAGGCACTATATTACAAAAATATTTGGTACACGTATCAAGGACATGTATAGGTAAAACATACTCAAATATTTCTGAAATCGGAAACATCAACTTTTTTTAGCTGTCCGCTTCGCGTGGAATGCCCCGAATATCAAATTGGTATCGAAAACGTCGATTTTAAGTAATGATAATTTTAATGGACATTTGTGAAAGGAAAGATTTTGTAATTTATTATAGAGCTGAAATCTGACTGATATTAGCCCAGTAGCGCCACACACTCCTTAACTACATAACTTCGCTAATTGTCCCTATTCCGTAATAGCCCGATAAATAAGAACGATCTAGGTTCTAGAATTCATTTCTAAATCCAAGAGAGTCTAATAGACCACATAAACATATAGTACATTTATCATTATTCAAACTAACAATGCTTTTTTTCCGGCAGGTTCGAGACCGTATCCATCGAGATATCAATGAAAGCACCAACTCTCGTGTTGTCATGTGGTCCATATTTGAAGCATCAGTACTACTGGTCATGACTCTTGGACAGGTGTATTACCTGAAGAGATTCTTTGAAGTGCAGCGTGTAGTTTAACATCTGTCCTGCATCTATTATACTAACATGTTGTATATCTTAATGTATGCTCTATATGAACTATTTTCCCTACATTTTACGTTATAGGTTGTCTTTTTTTTATTGCTATGCAAACATTAAGAAATTACAACTTGTTGTATAGAATATAAAATGTGGTATAATATACCTCGCCCCTTGATATTATACTACATATTCATCACAAGTGAATTCTTCATTCATTAACACCTGTTTACACATGACACAACATTAAAATTAGTATTTATTTTCCATTTCGATTGTCCCTTTATGAGTCACGCACACAGACAAGCAATGTATGTAAATATGGCACACTTTTATATATTAATAAATCAAAATACTATGTTAGTAGGGGCGAGGCAAGAATGAACTTCCTGATCTGAAGTGTGCATGGAGTGTGTAATGCATTTTTTTATTAGAGAAATAAATTAATAATGTTTGTTTAAATGCTGATTTTCATTCCATCGCACTTTTGGATACCGAATTAATACATTTTTAATATAGGATATAAAGGTATTTAAGTTATAAAAGAAAGGACACTGGTTAACAACCAAATACATTTATATGATTACAACAGCTGGGACTATTTACATTTATAAAATCAGATCTATTATTAACTACATAAAAGTAATGTTGTTTCACAACTCGAGACTAAGAAACAGATTCATTATAAAATATCTATAATTTGTAACATCACAACCTACGTACAGTCCTTAATAAAATGCACTTTACGCATATATTATGCCTACAATACTAAAAAAGCTGCCATATAAACGCTTGAGACATGTCAGTTCGGATATATTTGTATGAGCTAGCTTTGAGTTCTTTTATATTAAACTCCTAATATGCGCATACTACCAATAAGTAAATGAAAAAATGTGACGTTGACGGATATCTAATAAATTGACATTTAGTGCAGCTTTCAAGGTGTAGAATAACTTCCGCGACAACTAAGATCGAAGGGCATCGAACCGTCCGGTGATGAGAGCCGGCACTACGCTGCCGGACGGTAACGTGCGCCCGGCAACGGCGCCTGATGGAGGCAGCTCTAACAGTACGCTTGCCCCACATGCGCTTAGTAGTCGACTGCTACACTGTTGTAAAATAATACATATTTTAATATAACAGTACACTTAATATAAACGGAGCGAGGATCGGATGCGGGAACTTTTTCAAGACAGGCTGTTTACCCGTTATGACTATGACATACCATGACCGCACTAGAAACGAGCTAGGTTGGTTAAAAAAAATCTATTACAGTATGTAAGGTAGATCAAATATACACTTGAAAATAAATAATCAACATTCAATATTTCTGCTATCATATCGCACGTTGAAAATGACAATGTCACTAACCAAAATCGACGTATTTTTTACTTTTGGTAACATTTTTCTTTGTTAAGTATAAATTTTAAAATGCAAAGATCCCTGTGAACGTAGCTTGCTTAGAAACTGCTAGATAGCGTAGTGACGATACGTTTAGAGGGGCTGATTACAATTTCTATACGATATCAAAACGTACGAAGAGCATAAACAATCACGCATATTGCAAAAAAACATGATAATGTCTTCTACACTGTAAGGAAAAAATAATTACTAGTGATTAAAAAAAACAACCTGATTCCCGAGTAAGGTAGCAACGGGCATATCGTCGGTGTCCGGGAATCGAACTGTGGCCCTAGCGTACTCCGGTCTCGAGTCTAGCGGCACGCATCCGTCGAGGCGCACCCTCATTATAGGCCACGCGGCGCCGCGGCCGCTGCTCAAGCGGAGAGCGCGAATAACGAACAGAAGACAACATACGTACGCCGATACAGGGTTACCTACAATTTTTCATTTATTTATTCAGGTTTATCAACATTTATTGCAGTAATGCATTCGATTAAAATTTAATTTAAAACAAAATGTCTCAAACAAACAATTACAGATACATACCACATACAACTACAAACTTTAAATAAACAAATAAAAAAAGAAGAAAATTGGAGATAATGTGCGTACGCGAATTCGCCCAGCTAAATTATAAGCTTCCAGTGGGTGAAATAATTTTAAAAATCAGTCCTGTAATTTTGGAGTCTATTCAATGCGAACAAACAATCAAAACATTTTATAAAATCAGTAATAGAAAAGAAAAAGATAAGATAACAAAATCTTATCTTGAAAATATATTTTATATGTAACAAAAATTCGATTAATTTATGACTAACAGCAATGGAATAACTTTAAATTTCAGAATCGCACAGACACGTAACAGTTATGCTATCACTACTGAGGTCGCATGAGCCGGCGGGGTAAGTGTAATGTCAATAGGGAATATGCACATTTTTGGAAAATGTTTTTATATGAAAATTAACATAGATATATAACTGTAAAAAAAAAACCCGGCACCGAAAAACTAAAATTTTGTAACATTAATCATTGATGAAAATAAGTAATAGCTACGAGCAGTTTAAACACCGGAATTTTTGCCGCGCTCGTCGTGACGTCAAAGTACACGACTAGAGATATGACACTTCAAATCAATATGGATTTTGATCGATTGATTATTATTAAATTACCCAAATCAATTAACAACTAATCGAGTTTTTAAAGTATAATGGACTTTTTTAATAAATCATATAATTTACCAAATTGGTGAAATAAAAATAAAAGCCTAAAACATCATTTCAAATGTAATCAGTTGCTTATTTTGCGACATAATACATTGAACGACATCCCTATACGTGTACATTCGTCACATCTGCTTTGACAAGTAGCATGGCGTTTAAATATTTTAAAGTTACCGCATATATTTTGCACTTTTTAATAATTATTTTAATTAAAAACGAACTGATATTGAAAAATATTTAGATAGACTTTATTCTAAAGCAATAACGATTTAATAAAATATATTTAACCCTTTTTTGAATCAGACGCATATTCTCTATTCGTACGAGTCATAAATGGTAATGAATATCGAAAAATGGTAATGACTCCAAATAGAGTACAGCCCTGCGATTCTGTAAAAATCCAAACCCGAATTCGAATTCACTCAGGTGTCCGAATTCACTTCAAAAAGCGGCATCCGCTGAACCTTGAATTGGTAATAACGTTTCGTGGCATAAGTGAAGCGAGCTTCAAAATGACATAGGAATAGAATATGTGAGACACGTATAGGTATTCAATCTAATTTGTTTTGTATTTTTATACAAAAAAATGGAATCAATAGAATTTCTACACTAAATGACGTGATTCGGACACATGAGTGAATTCAAATTCGGGTGTGGATTTTTACAGAATCGCAGGGCAGTACTCGATACGTGAAAAAATTAAATACAGCCTTGTGCAGCAACTAAATATCGACGCTGGAAAACAAACACGTAGTAACCCGCAAAACCAAAATGGAAATTTAAAGTGGAAAATCTTTATATTTAAAAAAAAAAATATCTTATTTCCGTATAAATTGATTAAGGAACACCTTATTTATTACCATGGTCGTTTATAGGAATTATTTATCGAAAAAAATAAAAGCTTTTCTGCTCTAAATAAAAATTTTGTTTTTGCGGGTTACTACGTGTTTGCTTTCCAGCGTCGATATATAACAAAAAAAAGGAAAACATAAAATTCTTAAGAATACCATAACTTCATTCATGATACATTCAGTAAATATTTTAATTTTTCATTATTTTCAATTTGTCAACGCATCTACTCACCGGGTAAAGCAAATATATATTTGGTTTTGCCTTCGAATTCACATGTGGCAAACGTTGTTGGCTTGCCGGGTTTCATTCGTACTCTTCCGAAATGCAAAGTAGCACCAAAGTCCTGAAGACAACATAATTTTTATTAAATCAAGGAACCTAATTTATTAGTTTAAAAGGTTTCTATGGATATTCCCTTTTGAATAGTAAAATCACAATACATAATTAATACTCTTTCTATAATATTTACAACTGTGTCGTATTTACCTCTGGCAAAAAGGCCCGTAAAGGCGCGGATCTAGTATTTGGCGTTTGGTTAGTGCTTCGACATATAAAACAGGCTATAGAAAAATAAAGATACCTTTTCGTGACGTGATCTCAAAAGAAAGGAGCGAAGATAAGGCACTCGCCTAAGGCGTCCCTAACCAAAGATCACAAAGTATTTTGTGAGCTTCGTTTTTTCGGCAACTTTAGGTACAGGGTACAGACTAGAAATACCTTGAGTAATACAGGCTTAAGTAGATCCCTTTCGCCCATAGACACGCCGCCAGTACACACTAGAATATCTGCACGACGCAGAGCATCAGATATTGCCGATACCAGAAGCTCTGGTGAATCACGTACTATGCCACAATCGATGCTATCGTATCCGTGTTCTCTAAAAATATCCGTACTATTAAAATAAAATATCAGTTCATCAGTGCTTTTCTGTTTAAAATACAGCGTTAAAGGTAAAATCAAATAAAACCTACTTCATATAATAATAAATGTTTTTTTTTATTGAATCTCTAATGCTGCTTTAGCGCTGTGTTCAACGCGAATACTCAATGATGATCAATCTAAATGAAACCATATAAAAAATTACGAGACTTTTACATATATACTACTGGATTAGAAACTGTGTGATACTGGCAAATTTTAAATTGCTCGCTAATCTGCTGGATATTTGGAAAAAGAAATAAATTGACATTATGTACCTACATGAGATTAAAAAAAACCTGCAAAATGCGAGTCGGACTTGCGCACGAAGGGTTCCATACCATTATCCATTAAAAATAAGAAATAACGATTGTTGTTTTCTATGGAGTTGTTAGTAATTATCTATTTAAATACAATTGAGCGACTATTACTCGTAAACATGTAAAGCCAACTTAAGTGTGATACTTTTCCTTTTAACTTCATTATTTAACATTTTGTAGCTCGGTGGCGTAGTGGATAAGCGCCGCGGCCCGCGATCGTAGTCGTTAAGCAACTTTCGCAAGGGTCGGTCACGGGATGGGTGACCAAAAAATTATTATCTCGAGCTACTCCGTGCTTCGGAAGGCACGTTAAGCCGTTGGTCCCGGCTGCATTTGCAGTCGTTAATACCCTCCAATCCGCATTGGGCCAGCGTGGAGGGTCATGGCCCATCCTCCTTAACCATCCATAAGGAAGGCCTGAGCCCCTGCAGTGGGGACGTAAAAGGGCTGGTGTGGATTTAAAAGCACTACTGTCGTAACATTTGAATTTTTACCAACGACCGTTTAGTTGGTAGAGGGGGGGAACACTCAATTGTAATGAAAATTAGCCCTTTAAAAGTTAATAAGTCACAAACGGTTTACTAAATTAACAGACGGCCTGCCCACACCCCCAATGTTTGAAAGACCTATCCAATGCCTCACAGTATGAGGAAGACGAATAAAAAAACCTTTTTTTTTTTCAATATCTTACTTTACTATTACGTCGGCGTAATTGACGTGTATACTCATGCCAAAGTTCCTTACTAGTACCAATAGTTTGAGCTAAACCGCGGACGGACTGACAGACGGACATGGCGAAACTATAAGGGTTCCTTGTTTACTACGGAACCCTAAAAATGATATTCCACAAATTAAATGGCCTTGGTGTTATGAAATTCTGGGACAACGAAGGTACCATAGCAGCCAGACACCAAACTATAGAAAATGTAATCATCAAATACCTCGTGTGTTCATAAGTTTTGAGACAAACTTTTTGCTTTGTTACGGGCTGTTATTTTTTTTATCGATTTTGAATTTGGAATATAAAATTTTATTTGTGTTGCAAATTCATTTTTTTATATTTTCTCGTGATGGAGGGAACGAAACAATTACGTGGAACCAGTGCCGGTTTTAGCACTACTAGCGCCCTGGGCGAAATTTCTTCGGCGCCCCCTAACTGCAATTCAATTACTACTACCTACATACTATAAATCAGTAACTTGTCTTTTTTTCGCCGACCCGGCCTACTTACTTGTAATTTTCCCTAAATTTAGGTAGATTTAGTTGGCGGCATAAGAATGGAACGTAGTGTTCAATCGGTTTAATTTCTCGAGAATCCCCGACTTTCCGACCATACAACAATGTGTTTTTCTATAATCGGGGATTCCCGAGATCTATTTCTTTTAATTTTTGACGAAACAGAACACAATCAACAATCATCTTCATGCTTGTCATAAGTGGACGCTCTTAAAACAATTATTCGATTATTTTAAAACAAACAAACACAGTAATTAAACGTTTAACGCTACGTTACGATGCTCTTGTTCCAACTATAGAGTGACATTAGTTTTATTTAAAAAATAGATATATAAATAGTGTATAAGTAGCTGTTTCATTTTGTCGTCCTGACGACAAAATATGCTGGGTATTCAAAAATTGATAACAACTTATAAAACCATATTTTTGCAAATAAAGATTTTATTATTATTATTTTGACGGATCACATCATTAGGTAAGTACAGATAAATTTTTGCTATCTATACTACACATTCCCTAATACTTAAAGTATATAAGATGTTAAAATAACAGGTTAATTATTGAAATTGGGTCCAGACTCTTTACTCTTGTAACATCCTAACAGGGTGTCACATAATTGTTATGTATAACTTTGTGTAATTGTTGTAACTTTGTGACAGTGAGTTTGCAGTGGGCCACTACTTATTATATGATCAATTATTTTGCTATTTCGAATAAGTGGCCAAGTAGCTGGATCCGCTATATTCGGGACAACAGTATCAACATCATCTAGTACATGTATTTGTTGTACATCAATAACAGATTTATCCTGATCAGCATCTGTAATCGTAGCACTACTTGCTCCCTCACTTCGGGATTTTTCATCCACAATCTCTTGAGTAGCTATTCCATCTGACTTGCCAGACAGAGGCTCCACTGCCGATGCATTCGTTTGTATTGCAGCATTTTAGCTTCAGCTTAACGTTTAAACATGCTCAAACGAAAATTTTCTTAAATGACCAAGCGATAATGTACGTCATCTTACCTAATAAAATACATATCTTCATATTGGTAATCGGTACGTTGTCCTGTTTACCATAATGTAATATTTTTCTTGTTAAGTTTCCTTTCAATTCATGCTGAAAGTGAGGCAACTTGAAAATAAAAAAACATCCTTACGGTTCTTGTCTTTTTTCGCCGACCCAGTAGGCCTTGTTCAAGGAGCGAGGGAACTATATATATATATTAGAAAAAAGACATTAATTCCCGAAATCAAACTAGATATCGCTACGGTACGTTCTTGATTTCTCCATGACAACCCTTCCAGTTTTCTTTCATGTTTAAAAGTAAATTAGTTTTCAAAATTCAATTAACAATTCATATTCTATTTGTACTTTTTCGTATTTGTATTGATATCTAAGTTTCAAACATTTCAAATTTCAGTTTTTTAATATGTTACTTAGAAGGAACGGAAATGACTGTCTCTGTTCCATTCGTTTCCTGCAAAAATCAACTTTTGCTAGAGTCGCCATCTAGTGGAGGTACTTTTGTAGTGCTTTCATTTTTTTTAAATATTTTGTAACGGTTTACTTAACCTCTATTAACGATAGTTATAATTTTAAAATTACTTAAGTCTTAAATATTTGATTCTAATCTAACAACAGAGAAAAAAGAACAATAAACAAAATAATACGTGTATGTACAAAATAAACTTAACTATCTTATAATCAAATAATATCAACTTAAAAACTGAATATAAAAAAATAAATAAAATATTCTAATAAAAATTAATAATAAATAAATACCAAAGCAAAGTAAAGACAAAGCGCTTGTATGTTAAACCTATTGTTCGTGCGCTCGCGCATCGTCGACCGAACCTGCAAGCCGGTTTCTTAACGGCGAGACACAATTTTTATACTACCGCAGAGTAAAGACGGATTCTCGTCAGTTGAACTATTTTTCTAAGCTGTTTTGCTTACTACCGAAATTCAAAACTATAATTTAAATATCAACTTCAAATTATTCCCCATATTAAGGGTAAGTGTTGCAAAGAAACCTTATAACATAATGTAATTTTCTTGCTGTAGTTTTAGCTGTGTAATGCAAATCACTCATTTTATTAAAGGTCACCTTCACTTATATGGCATAGTTTCATCATACAATTGAACTTGCTTTCTTTTAGATTTGTATATTTGCCTATGAAGATTTTAATGTTTTAATGTGTGTTATATTGAATTGGGCGACCTTCATCTTTAATATTCTAAATTAAAACATATTGGATACCTATTGTTAGATTTATCTAGAAATAAGTATTTATTGGACAGTGTTTCGTGAGACCTCTACTGTTTTAAATTTAAATGCGTTTATTAATAAAGCAATTACAGAAATAGGTCTCACGAAATAATTTTGTAGGATTTTTTTTATGAGTACCTACCTGTAATAATTTTCATTATTCAAATTTTATTGCCTCATCATTGACCACTATTTCATGCAATTAGTTTACCATTTGCACCTGTAGTTCGCTTCGCTTCTCCATCTCTTCGGCTGCAGTTTCACCGATGCATTATAATAGTGAACAATATTAAAATACCCGCTGTTACGCTATTCCAGGGTGCACCCCTACAGCAAGGCCGATTGGATATAGCTTTGGAGAAGGCCATCTCCTAGTACATCACGCCGTGGACGGACTCCTCCTTTACCAGGGCAGTGGTGTTCTCGAATTTTTTATTGCGCAACCGATTGTCGAATAACGAATCCACCCCCATGTTAATTGTAATTATTAATAAATTGTAAAACTGCATAATTTATCTCATTTACTATTTCCATCAAACCGGTACAATTTCCTCATTATACAGAATCCGAAAGAAGCGCCGGACGAAAAAAGGGCGCCGCGGCTTGCGGCGCCCCTTTTGGTCCGGCGCCCCTGGGCGGTCGCCCAACCGCGCCCTACTCTAACGCCGCTACTGCGTGGAACTGTCATTTCGCTATTTAAGGCAGGAAAAAAACCGATGCAGATTTTCCGCGAGCTGCAAAGTTTTCCTGTAAGCCGTAACTTCGTCTATTACACAATACAGCGGTACAAAGAGACAAGTTCTCTGCAAGATCGCCTAAGAAGTGGCCACGCTATGTGGGGGACACCTGCGAACATCAAAATAATCCAAGAGCGACTTCGCCAAAATCCATGTCGCACTCAGAAGAAACTCGCTCTGCAGACTAATATTTCGCGCGTTTCAGTAAACAGAATACTGAAATATGACCCTAAGGTAAAAGCCTTTAACCGTAGGAAAGCTCACTTTTAAACGATCATCTTCGTGAGTTACGACGCGATCGTTGTCCATTGCTGCTGAGAAGACATGATACCAGGAAGATACTCTTCACCGACAAGAAAATTTTTACTGTCGACGAAAAGTTCAACCGCCAATACAATAAAGTGTACGCTAAAAGTAGCAAGGATGTCCCAGCTTCTGCACAGAATGTCTCGCGTACTCATCGTCTGGCTAGTGTGATGGTATGGTGGGGAGTTTAGTATGAAGATGTCACTCCACTCCTTTTCTGCCAACAAGGTGTAAAGGTGAAAGCCAAGAATTATCAGAATGACATTTTAGACCCCCTGGTCAAACTCCTTTCTGATATGTTATTTCACAATAAGGATTGGGTTTTTCAGCAAGACTCGGCGCTATCCCATAAGGGAAAAAGCACCCAATCTTGGTTGAGGGAGAATGTTCCGGCCTTCATCGCGGCGGATAAGATGCCTTCCTCCAGCTCCGACCTCAACCCGCTGGATTATTCTTTATGTACTGAATTGGAGCTCAAGGCCTGCCGAAAGTCCCACCCAAACTAAGAGTTACTGAAGCGAATCCTTGTTCGAGAAGCAAAGCGAATTCCGTTAGAAAAGATTCGTGCTGCCATTGATGACTGGCCAAATCGTTTCAGGGCCTGTATTAATAACAAGGGCGGTCATATTAAATAAAATATATATTTTATTGTTGTTTATTATCTATTTAATGGTTAATGAAAATTTTATAAATATATTTTAATTATTAAAAAAGTTACGCAACTTTTCGTCTCAAAACTTATGAACACACGAGGTATGGACTCGAACGGGAACCAAACCCGGGACCTCAGATACGACACCTCGAAATCAGTGTGAGGTACTCAGCCACGGAGGTCTTCAATAAAATATTATATGGTGTTATTATGCTATAAATAATACAGGTTACTTACCTTAATAGCGTCTTAATCATAGTTCTATTAGAGTCCCTTATATGCGCAGGTCGCAATTTCAACTCAGAGGGCTCTTGAAGCTCATTACCAGTCGACATAAGCGCCACCTGTTTTCAAAATACAGAATTTCAAGTAGTTTTGATAGGGCGGATATTATTAATTTTATAAGAATGCTAGCTTATTGCCATGTTCGAGTGGATCAGGGTGTAATATCGACGTTTTGAACAAGCAGTCTATGAGTTTAACTCGGAATTCTAGCCATCTCTTCATATCTAAGTGTATCACAATCGAATAAGAGTTTTTACCATGAAAGCATCAGATTACTATATCAAAATATAGAGTCTATATTCTTCTTCTATCTCTATAGACGTGATAGTCTTTTTTTTTAATTCTGACATGTTCGAAAAAGGTGGGATATTTAAGCTCTATACAATCGACTACAAGTGTTACTTATGAAGAATAAATATTTAAATAATTGTTTGTATTGAATAGGCTCCGAAACTACTGGACAGCCTTTAAAAATTCTATCACCTAAGGGAAGATATACGTAGAATAGAAAACTCAGAGTCTTTCAATATACCTTAGATTTATACTAGCATTTTTTAATGCCCAAGGCGTGATTATCCTAAGCAATAGATTATTTTGTGAGCGGGCTAATCCGCCCGGGTTCAATGTGGACCCATATAACCATCTGTACTTTATATATGCAGGGCAACAAAGGTCTACTTAAGTTGTTCCGTTTGTAAATGATCGAATTCGAAATGCAGCAAAACAAACAAGCAAGATAAAGGTATTATAGACATTAATATCTTTTATACCTTTGGGTACGCCCGCACTGTGACATTTTGATAACCCGCTCCAGCTACCATACCAATTTGTGCCGCATCAAGCACGTCACCTGTCGATAATATTTAAATAAACACACAGAAACAATATCAACACTGACAATAACAGGGCAATCCTACGTAGACATAACATGTGTTCTTCAAGCTGTTCTTGTTCTTTTTACAATATTGTTCATGTGCTTATGGCGTCGTTTACCGTCTTACAGATTTAGATCTAGTTTGACAGATGCTATACTGAACTTTGGTGTAACAATACTCTGGATTCTGCCGAAATCTAAAAAAGCAACGCCATTGATTAAAAAGAAGAAGAAGAAATATATACAATTATCCAAGAAATTTGTAAAGATTCTGCTGAATAAATGTTTTGATTATTATTTGCATGACCCGCAAAATCTGCAGATCTATATTAATTAATATTATAGATATAAAAACAGCAATGAAAGTAAATGACAAAGATTTAGGTGAATAAATAGCCTGAACATTGAGATACGATCACTGACCGCAAAAGTTACACACAACCAAAACAGTCGTAAGTTTCGCTAAGATCTCAGGTAGATAAATGGTAACAGTCGTCCAGATTGCAAAAGGGTCGAATAATCTCGGGTACCTGGGACTACTGATATTTCAAGTATTCTTCTATAAGATAAATTCAAAGCACATTTAGTTCAACTAGAAGAACAGTTGCCTGAATACTTGTAATGTAGGAGTCTAATTTTTCTCTAAATCTCTGACATAAACTCTTGAGTCACGTTTCTCTCTCACTACGGGATGTTGGCAAAATTTCCGTGTATAACGGTACAAGTGCATATTTAAAAAAAAAAACTACCTTTATCTACCAGCACAGTGCCCATAGGTATGTCGAAGCCAATTGGTCGCACGTCTTGCTGAGGTTTAGGGGCTACCATTATTTCCACCTCTATTTCAACCTGCCCATCTTCAGTTGCTGTTATCAATTTGGTATCTTCCACCTATAAAATGATATTGTTTTTATCAGATCGTTCGAATAGTATCAATATTTTATAAAATGATTCTGTGCCATTGAGTAAATACAGTATGTATTGGTTTGCATAATAGACAAATTAGGACCATTATAGTATACATCAGCATTGATACAGTCTCAAAGACATACTTACGAAGGGGAGGGAAATTCTGCTAACGTAATACTTTAATGATAAATCGACACAATTTTACAGTTTAATTTTCAATCTTAGAGTGTTTACACCAAAATAAAACAGTGTGTCACGAATTAGTAAGATACAACAAATATTTTCAATTATTTCGTCGTATGATAATTTACTTCGTCCATGACCTTTCACCACCCGGGTTACTGTTCTAACCACTGAGCTACCCAGGACCTAACAGGACTGAAGAATCTTTCAAGCACTTGTTACTTTTTCACTACTACAGAGCGTATTATCATCAATGTGCCGACAATCCGCCCAAATAGCCGAAAGAAATATTTTTACAAATATTTAAACTATCGATAAAGATAAAAAAATATCTAATTATTATATTTCATCAATTTTCATCTCAGAGTGCCAGGGACAAAGTGAATTAAGCATTTTTCCGTAAGCATAAGATTCATACATTAATAATGGCACGTTCATTCATCTTCGGAATTGATAGCTCTGTTAGTCAAATGAAGATTGACAATAAGCTATATTAAATCGAATCTTGCTGTACTATAACCAGCATGCTTACTTTCGAACGCAATCGCAACCGATGCCGTTTCGTACTGTTGATTGGGTATACTAGCGCCAGAGTATGCTAGTGAACTAATCAAGAGGGCGGAACGGCACAATTGCAATGTCGATCGGTCACAGTTGCGTTCGGTTGCAATTCTTACAAACACAGTTTACAGTTTACTTGATTTTTTACATTTCATTGTAAAAGTAACCGTCAAATCAACTGTACAGACTCAAATTGACTTACAATGTGAGTATCAACACGCGCCTTCTTATGTTTGAGGTTTAACAACAAAATAATGGTACGTACGAATTAACCAAACAATTTTATGAACAGCCATAGCTTTTAAAAAAATAGTAGGCATCATTCCAATCGTATATTTCGTGACAACAATGAGGAATAATCAGAATAATGTACCTGTACGACGCAGTCAGCGCCGGCGGGTAGCGCGGCGCCGGTATTAATACGCGCGCACTCGCCTGGCAGAAGTGGCGACGTGGGCGCGTCCCCAGCTGTTAGAGCGGTACGCACGCGACGAACGCCAGAACCATCGCTGCTTATACACGCGTAACCTAACACGTTGATACATGTAATTACTACCAGAGGCAAACAACTTAATTGTCTAGCCATAGGATACAGCATATAAGCCATGTATTGCCGATATTTCGTTTCATTTTACTACTTAGATATGCAACAAATAATGAATGATAAAGGATAATGATTATGGATTTGACAGCGGCGTCGCCAACTGAAATATATAATTACGCCATAACATCGCTAAAATGTCGTATCCTTTGACTAGAGTCATGGCCAGAGAGTAAGATGGTCGTATCCCTGGAGATATTACACCAGTAAAAATATACATATTATTTAAAATAGGAGTTGTTTGATGTATATTGCACCTATACACACTTCCGTGTTCATATGAACAAAGTTTCCAACAACTAACCAACTAAATATTTAAATATCCAGAAAAGTAAACTTTCTAAATCTCAATAAGGCATGGAAATGAAAGTCCCAGGCATATCCAAGTCATTAAAAAAAAAGTTGTTTAATTATAAAAAAAAGAATTTATAAAAAATGATCCGTGTTAATTTTATATTAAACTAGCTGTGCCCGCAACTTCGTCTGCGTGGGAAGTATTTTGGTAGAATTCTATTATTCCTATGAATGGAGTCGAATCGAATAAGATCAATGGGCCATAATTCACTGTGCTTAATGCGGATCGGTGGGTGTTCACGTTGCTGATGCAGCCAGGACTAACAGCTTAACGTGCATTGTGCCAGTGCTGTTCACAGTGCTCAAGATAATAATGTTTTGGTCACCCATCCTGTCCTTACGAATGTAATTTTCCTATCTTTTTTCTCGTTTCTCGCGCTTTGGTTGTCGCCTGTGTATGAGAAATTTATTCGTACCTTGAAACTGTCCTTCTTTTGTTTTTGATATTTCAAAATTATTATTATTTATCTAGTTGAATGCACAATCAGCTAATTATTGTTCTATTTTCCATGTAATGCTAGGTTGCCTGGAAGAAATCGCTTGATAGCGATGAGTTTGTCGTTTGTACTTAGTTATGTAAAATAAGTATTCAAGTATATCCTTGTTTATTTCACTGCAATTTAAACCGAATGCGCTAACCCACTACGCCATCGGACCTCTTTTACCTAAGGTATACTTATATTAAAAAGGGGAAAGATTTGGTTGTTTGTTTGTTTGCATTGTTTTTGCCCCAAAATTACTGGACCGATAGTTTCAGAGAGATTCTACCTACGGTAAGCTACATCACGGATGTCATAGGCTATAATTTTGCGGCAAAGTTGCGGGAAAATAGCTAGTTCATTATACCTTGTGAAAACTTATCTGCGGTACGCCTGTGGAGTATGAAGGCAACACGGGTTGGCGGTAGTCGAAACTACTTTCTCGATCTCTATTGCACAAACTGTGAGCTCTTTCAGAGACCAAGCGCATTTCTCTATCAAAAGAAGTTTCATACTCATACTATACTGCATGTATGTTACGGTTAGCAGTTAGATGCGCTATGCGATCTTCAGAAGTTTCATGAGATCAAACGCTTGTTGTATGAGTTCTCCGAGAGCTCAAGAGAATGTCCCTGACGGTAAATGCTTCAGATTCAACTTTATAGTGCATGAGCATCGCGATGGGTAGTCAAATACGCTTGGCGTAATTCAGGTGTTTCCCTAGACCGAACGCATTCCGTCCAATCTCTTTCTTTGTCAATAAAAGTCGGTCGGTACAAAAAATATATACATATTTTAATTTCGACTTTCCACACTCGAAGGAAATCGTCTACTAACACGTACTTCCGAGAGGTGCTTAACTGAGCTTCCGTCAGACTGGAACGGCCCTCATCATCATCATCAGCCCTTTTACGTCACCAACTGCAGGAGCCTTTTGGATTAAGGAGGATGTGCCACGACCTTCCATGATGGCCCAATGCTAATTGGAGGATATCAACGACTGCAAATACAACCAGGACCAATCGCTTTACGTGCCTTACAAAGCTTGGAGTTGCTTGAGATAATATTTTTTGGTCACCCTTCCTGTGACCGACCTTTGTGAAAGTTGCTTAACAACTACAATCGCGAGCCATGGCGTTTATTCACTACACCACCAAGCTACTCTGAACCGATCCTCAGACTCAAGTAATATTATATGTGTTGTGACAAATGAATAAACCATTGTTTCCGGCGAAGACTGAAAATACTAACTTTGAAGTACGTATCTACAGCAAATTTGTATGTTAAAAAAAAACAAAAGTTGTATTATTATTACATAAAAAATTGTAATAAGACAAAAAATATATATATCATCGAGTTGTCTTTATCTTCTTAACTTCAGTTGACGTGAATCTAACTTTTTTAACGTCGTGAAAAAGCTTCTGACATTGTCTCTGCTACGTGGCAAGCAACAAGGGGTGAGTAGGATTCTCCTCCGTGAACCCGATAGTGAACTGCCCTCGGTGGCGTAGTGGATAAGCGCCGTGGCCCGCGATCGTTGTCGTTAAGCAACTTTCGCAAGGGCCGGTCACGGGATGGGTGACCAAAAAATTATTATCTCGAACTACTCCGTGCTTCGGAAGGCACGTTAAGCCGTTGGTCCCGGCTGCATTTGCAGTCGTTAATACCCTCCAATCCGCATTGGGCCAGCGTGGAGGGTCATGGCTCATCCTTCTTAACCATCCATAAGGAAGGCCTGAGGCCCTGCAGTGGGGATGTAAAAGGGCTGATGATGATGATGATGACACCGTCTCATGGGAGATGAAACCCGGCAAGCTATGGCCGCGTCACCAGAACACTCAAGTATTGGACTTGACATTGGTCCCCTTGCAGATGGAATATTGGATAGGCTCGGGTAAATCGAGTGCCTCTCTCAGATAGACGAAACCGTGCAATGCGGGGGCTGCCAACCACCTCTGCTAGCCCCGACGACGACGTGAGCCTAATCTGATAAAAATATGCGTTCACTGTAAATTACTCGATGCTTAATTGCATCATCAGAAGGCTCTTTTCGCTTGTTCTCCAACTCGCGTGATCGTATACCACACCTCCATTATAACCTGAACCCTATTTAATATCATTGCCCATTTATAAATGAGGTCAAGTTACTTTGGTGTTTCAAAATTTTGGATTTTTATTTTTATTTTTCATCATACAAATTATCATTTTATAGACAATATTAATTCGTAGCTAGGTGGCGCTACGGATAAGCACCACTGCGCACGATCGATATTGCTAAGCAATTTTCGCAAAATTTGTTCACGGGATGGGTGACCAAAATTATTAAACAAAGGCCTGAGGCCCTGCGGTTTGATTGTCAAAGAGTTAATGATGATGATTAATATATCAAAGACGAAAATTTAATAAAACTGTTGATATTTCATAGCAATTTTGGCGACCACGTCACTTCAAATTGACATAACTTTTTTATTTGTGAACCGATTGAAATAAATCTTACACTAAATGTTAACGGAAGAATGCTGCAATATAATAGTGAAAACTGCATATAAATCGGTTCAGTCGTTTCTGAGATTATCGTGCACAAACGCACAGACAAACAGACAAACCGACAAACAGACAAAAAATTTAAAAATCATTGTTTTGTGTTCTATTACGCTTATAAATGTCCCTCATAACAGTTTTTTTCATATATCTTCAATGTACAGACATCGATCGGTTACGTTTTTATTATAGTATAGATTAATTGTTACTATTTTTATCCACTTGGGCAGTATCATAATATCAACTATATCTGCATTCTTGTCGTAACACCTTACTAAAATAAGTTTATTTTCTATGGGCAAACAGGCACATAGACAGAATACATGAAATTCACATAGGAATATTACAAAATAATTACACCACAATTTCTCACTTGAGTAAACAGAACCTAGTGGAACTAATTGTAGGTACTCCACTGGAAAAAGAAATAATTTTAAGTCTGCAATACATTAGGTGAATATGTTTATAAAATATCAAGTGATATAAGGTGTGTTAATTATTTGTTAAAAATTAAATAATTATAAATATAACTAAAATTATAGATTTTTCATAAATATTTGAAACATCACACAAGCTAAGTAGAAGGTGCTTAAAGGTCACTTATAAAAATTAAATAACTATATCACTAAAATAACAGAAAATATTGTATCTTCAGACATATCAGAAAAGTGTTTTACATAATAAAAAAGATCTAGAATTTATATTTTACTTAAAATTATTTTAATTTTTTTATAATGTTAATGAAATTAAACTTACCATCTTTAATAGAAGCATCAAATGGTGGCATAGGTTCCATAGCACTTAGTGCCTGTGCTACAACCCTGCCCATAGCATCCTCCAGTGGCAATATTTCAAAATGCTCAGGCCATTGAGATATAAGATTATCAACTATTTTCCAAGCTTCAGACATTTCCACCATTGCATATGGTGATTCCCTTGGTCTAAAAGCTACTTTGGTGACATCAACATTGCTGCGGTGAGGACATGCATGTCCAAACTGCATTGAATTATGAATACTCCTTATTTCTTTGAGATTGTTTTGGAGTAATGACATAGCATGAGATAAAACTGGTTGTACCACTTCAAAACATTCTAAAACAGCTTTTTTACTACCAGGGAAATTAATTATTAAAGTTTTATCTCTTATGCCAGCAACAGAACGGGATAGCATGGCCATTGGAGTTTTCTTGAGACTCTCAACTGTCATAGCAACGGTTATTGCTGGCACTTCTTTTTGGATAACAGCCTTAGTTGCTTCTGGAGTGACATCCCTATGAGCAAGTCCAGTTCCCCCAGTTGTCAATACTAAGTCCACATTAGAATCGCAGTAATATTTTAATTCTCTCTCTATAAGCTCTCTCTCATCAGGAATGATTAAAGTATGGATGTTAGCTTCAGGGTACAGTTTGCGAGCAAGTTCAGCCAGAGCCTGTCCCGATGTATCTTTAGAATGATCTTTGAAACAAGTATCACTCACAGTAATAATCGCAACTGCCTTCACCATATTTGAACTATTGATGTATACCTGAAGGTAATTCAAAATTTATTGTAAGTACTGGTCATATAGAATTTACATTTAATAAAAAATATAAATATATATCATACTTACTTTAAAAAAAATCTATACAAACACACGATACTTTTCAAACTAAATTAAACAAACAAATCAAATACGACAATAAATTTCTTTCACCTGTTACGAAATCAAAATGTGGAGTGCATATAAATAGTTTTGAATTAACAAAAGTTAAATAATACGGAGGTATTTTTAAATAAAATATACTTGCCGTCCGGCGTGGCGTCTCACTTTTGCGTTCACAATAACACTGTTTAAATTGATGCCGATATTTACATAATACCGATACGAATTACCATTTCAGTTAACGTTCACTCATCGAATACTTCATTACGTCATTTAGATAACAGATGTAATGTGTTCCTTCACCGATAACAGTTAAAATATATATCTGCCTACAGTTTCAATAGGTATGCGATACATTGGCGGTACGGTTTGTTTTGTTACGTCTAATTTACCTCGTTTGACAGCTGCTTAACCAGCTGATCGTATAGAACAAATTATTTCGTTTGGCAACTCTCGAAATAAACATAGGGCAACCTAAAAAGAAAATATTAAAATCTCATTTTAATGTACCTAATATTTTTAGCTATAAAGATTTAATTAATTAATAATTAAGCTATAAAAAAATCATAATAACCAAACAAAACTTAACTGGAATCGCTAGAGTAATATCGTTATGTGCACCAGATTTCGGGACTACTCATACAAGATTTTCGTGTTCCTGATTTTATATTGGGCAATTCAGTGTAAATTATTTATAATAAAATGTTGAATTATTTACAAAAGGGGTGATAGAAATTCATTATAATATAATTTATAATTTTATTAATTCACACACATACGATATATTAGATTCATAATTAACATAAAAATATACAAACATCGATCTACCCAATATCGAAAATTCGAGTTTTCTCACACAACAGTCAAATATCAAATGCAATCATCGACACATCAGCTTAAACGAATTCTGTCATTTGATTTTCAACTTAAATTCTTCAAAAATACACTTTATAATTATCAATTTGATGTATAGTGGTATCTGATTTGTTGCGTGTGCCGGGAGGGAGATTTCACAATAATAACTTTGCGATTCCGTTACTAATTGAAATTACATTGAACAGAGGAATACAATTTATTGAAGAGTTAAATTAATTAAATATTCAGTTCTCTTATTTAATTAATTTAACTCTTCAATTGTTGTGTTATTTTTATTGAATATAATTAAATAACTGTTTCCAAGTTTTCTTAATTTTATTATGATTGTATGTATAAATCAAAAAAATACTTACACAATTTTTTCAATATAAATAAAAATTAACTTTACATACCTAATCAATACAAATAAAATATTTAAACAAGTTTTCATATGTTAATACAGTTGCATAATTTTTTACTTAATATTACATATTACAGTTTTAAAAATACAAATAGTTATTTAAGACAAATCATCTGACTAAAGTTAAAATTATTAATGAAAGAGAAAGTTTCTATTCTGATATACATACGGAGATTCTGACTTATATATATTAAGAATAAGACCTTCAAACATAGGCGAATCAGTTTCTTTGGGAATCAAAGTTCAGAGCGCCAGGGAGATCAGTTTTATGGCCGTCAACTTTTACAATCAAGGGTAGACATTCGGCTGGACATCAAAATCCAGGGGGGTAGCGTTCCTCCTTTGACACCAATATGATATTTTCACATAATTCGACTTTTATATTCAACTTTCAAATCATTAATGTCGTCTGACTGCAGTTTTACAGTAACACAAGCATCGATCAAACGTTGCAATGGTATATAACGGGCGAGTGCGCGAGAGTTTCCCACTATAATCAACTTATGTTTGGCGCGAGTGACGCTCACTGCTAATCGACGTTGGTCGTTTAACACTTCACCTTCCTGCGAAAAATAATAATATTAATAGAGTTTACAATTAGACACAACCCGCGAGTTTGACGAATATAGAAGTTGATCCATTCATTTCTTGTGTTAATTTAACAAGGTATATTTATAAATTGACATTAACCTATCTAGTGTAGAGCAGGCAAAATAACAGATAATGGCCCAAAGTATTATATGAGCGTTGTTACATTGGTACTTCTATACCAGGGATGTTGCGAACATTCGCATCCGCATCCGCAAATGCGGAACATCCGCATTGATTTGGACATCTGCATCTGCATCCGCATCCGCATTAATCAATGCGGGTGTTCATGCGGATGCGAATATTATACAAGTAGCGACAAGAAAGAAATTGGGCGGGTCCGGTGATTGACGCGTGCCGGTCGCGCGTGACAATAACCAATGGGAACGAAGAAATTGGTGACAAGATTCGACAAGTTTGTTTGTTCTAGCTAGTGCATCATTTGTTTCTTGCAAATGAATAAATATTACGCGTTTGTTTGCGCTGTGAAGTGAAAGTGAACTTTATCGTATCATAAAGATAGATAGGTATTTTGAATGTTGTTGTGATACAGTGGTCATTGTGTGTAAATAAGAAGAGTTTACAAGATAACTTTATATTACTTAGACTAATATCCATAAGATCGCAAGGTAAATTCTATTATATTACACCGGTAATACGTTTTATTGTAGGAAAAATTATAGTTTTATGACGAAATTCGTTATTTTTCCAGTGTGATTCCCGTTATTGATTCCCGTTAGTTAACAAACAATGTCACCACCGACCAAAAGTAATATATGGGATTATTTTGAACCAAATAAAGAAGACCAGGATAAAGCTAATTGTAAAATATGCAACAAAAGCTACTCTCGTAAGGGCCGTACCACATCGTCTTTGAAAAATCATCTTAAGTCGATGCATTCAGAAGAATTTTCTACATTTGAAAACGTTACTAAAGAAAAAAAATTACAACAGATGAAATCTGACGCAAGTAAGTTTCATCATTTATAGTTTTAATTAATTAATATTTACTTGAGGCATTGTTTGGTTACTATAATAAAAACATAGTTTTAGTTGTGGTTTATTGGTTAAGTTTCCACTCAATATTATAGTTATTTGCTGTAATATAACTCCGTCAGTTGTAAAAAGACTGACGTAATTCATTTATCTATTTGAAATACTTTTTTTTTATTGAAATCGTTTCAATATAAAATAACCTGAACATAAATATATATTTTTAATATGATATTAAAATATTAATAGTGAATTAACTCTAAAACTACTTGGCCGATTTCAAAAATTCTTTCATCATTGCAGTTTCAGCATTGTTTCAGCTACATTCACGCCATATTTAATGTTAATGTTAGAAAACATTAGGGATCCTTCCTTATTATTATAAATGTTAATAATGAATAAAATCTTTTTATTTATTTTTTTTGTAATATAAGTTGGACATTTGATTTTGAAAGTTATTTACAAAAATATAAAGAAAGGTTTTCTTTTATTTCGAAAATTTAAAGTGTCCTCACTTATTAATTACTTTTAAGTAAATAGTTTTTTATTACGAAAATTATTATTCATATGTATATTTTTTAGATAAAGTTACCACTCCTTTGCAAGAAGCAAAGAAACAACTTTCATTAGAAGAAGTAATTCTAAAAGAAAAGAAGTGGGACGTCAATAATTTAAATTCTAAAAAAATTGATAAACTCATTGGAGAAATGATTGCGCTTCAAAATTTACCGTTTAATTTTGTTGAAGGGCTGGGTTTTCGTAGATTGATGCAAGAATTAGCACCAAGATATAATTTTAGGGGACGCAATTTTTTTACAGATTTTGTATGCAAGGAATTATATAGCAAAGTGGCTCAAAAAGTTAAAGAATTAATTGAAAATTTTGATAACATGTCGTTTACGTCTGATATTTGGTTGGATCCAAGCTCAAACGCTTCCTTGCTTAGCTTGACTTGCCATGGAATTGCAGAAAACTTTGATAGATCATCGATAATATTGAAATGTGAGACATTTGACGGCCGTCACACTGGTGACATAATTGCTGAAAAATTCAGTACCATGCTTTCTGAATGGAATATTAAAAAAGAACAACTGCATTGCCTTATCAGAGATGAAGGGTCTAATATGAAACGAGCCGGGCGATTAGCAGCATTGAATGATATAGACTGTACTGTTCACAAGATACAACTAGCTATCCGTAGTTGTTTAGGTTCACAAGAAAACATAAAAATACTAAAACAAAAATGTAAGAAAATTTCGACCCATTTCAATCACTCTACCATTGCCCAGAAACAACTACAATCAATTCAGGACAGACTGAATCAAACGCACCTGAAAGTGTTTCAAGATTGTGTAACGCGATGGAACAGTACATTCTACATGTTCGAGCGTTTTTCAAAGGTAAAGGATGCTCTGAGTCTTTACACGAATGATAATGAAATTGATCCCATTCTACCAGAAGAATGGAAAATCATTGAAAGTTTTATTCATTTACTGGGACCATTTGAGGAAGCAACGCGGGAACTGAGCAGCTCTTGTGCTCTTATTTCATCTGTGATACCGATAATGCAAATGCTTGAAAAAAAAGTTGATGACTATTTGACAAGATCACAAGAGTTTGATCCGATTCGTCAGGCTGTTACGACTTTGAAAAACGAACTTTCAACAAAGTTTTCCAGCTTGAGAGAAAACAATTTATACACCATCGCCACCTACTTAGATCCTCGCTATAAACACAAATTTTTCACACCGGTGACTGAAGAAAAGATTAAAGATGACATTTTAAAAATGATAAATACTGAGAATGACATTTTTGGATCTCTTAATACCAATACCAAAAGGGCTAAAATAATTAAAATATCTGATTGCACGGAAAATTATACGGAACAACTAGGACCAGGGACTTCAGGTTTCAACAAAAAGCCATGCTTACAAAACGACCTGGCCATGATGTTAGATTCGTCGAGTGAAGACGAGAGTCAAGATGAGCCAAAAAATGGTAGCATTGAAGCTGTACTCAAAAAGGAGTTACTTGCTTACCTTACTAAAAAAAGAATAAATGTGAATGAAAATCCTTTAAACTGGTGGAGTGTACATCGAAAGGAATTTAAGGTATTATCGCCGATAGTACGAAGATTTTTATCTGCTCCACCGGGCAGTGTTCCTAGCGAACAACTATTTAGTAGCGCGGGTTTAATTTACGAACCTCTGCGTAACAGACTTGAATCAGAAAAGGCGGCAATACTACTCTTTATCAAGTATAATGCTCCCATTTTTAATTTCAATTACTAAAATAAAATCCAGTAGGTGAAGTTAAAAAAATAATTACATTATACATTGCTTATATTTAACATAAAAATAAGTACTTATGTTTGATTACAGTAAAAATGTTAATAATTACGTTATCATTGTTTTAATTCTTCATTAATGGACTTTATTTACAAAATATCTTAAACATCCGCATCCGCATCTGCATCCGCGGATGTGAGCCTGCAAAACTCCGCATCCGCATCCGCATCCGCGGATGTGAATATATCGGCATCTGCAACATCCCTGTTCTATACATATACGAACTCAAGAAAATAATTGTTGGTCACCAATTTCATGACCAGCTTCTGCAGTATCATGACCTGAACGCACTAACCACTTCGCCATCGAACTCCCTATCTAAATATAGCATACAGTAAAATTCAAATATGTTTTGAAAATTTATTGCTTTTCATTTTAAAATTAACATCGTCAATTCTCGTCATCAATGTTCCTACAAACAAATGAAGAATTATATTTCTTATATTTGGAATTATATCATAAAAGGACTAAGGACGTGCGCTCTCCTGATAATTTAATGGGTATTTGTAACCATAAAACTTTTCAATGTCGTATCTATACAACTTTGACTTTACCTTGACTTTCTTATTTTCCTTAACATCGTTCCTAGTGCAAGAGTAAATGATGACAGCTTTGTCTCTGCCTTGGAATTGATCAACAGTGCTCACTTCCACTAACCCTGCCAGAGATCGCTTCAACAAAGCGACTTGATCGCGATACGGAGCCACTACACCTATGTCTGTCTGTTTCACATCAGCCTGCAAAATAATACTGCTAAATCCGACTAATGCTAAACGCGTAGTAACGCTCGTTATCAAGAAGGCAAAAGAGACTAACACCCATTTTCACTAACCTAGAATAAGGCATAGGTTAACTAGGAAACGCCTAATAATAGGAATCAAATCAAATCACCAGCCCTTTTACGTCCCCACTGCAGGGGCTCAGGCCTTCCTTATGGATGGTTAAGGAGGATGGGCCATGACCCTCCACGCTGGCCCAATGCGGATTGGAGAGTATTAACGACTGCTAATGCAGCCGGGACTAACGGCTTAACGTGCCTTCCGGAGCACGGAGTAGCTCGAGATAATAATTTTTTGGTCACCCATCCCGTGACCGACCCTTGCGAAAGTTGCTTAACGACTACGATCGTGGGCCGCGGCGCTTATCCACTACGCCACCAAGCTACTCGTAGCTAATAATAGGAATCGCCTCAGCAGATTTGTTTAATTCCTAATAAATATTGTTTTATTTTATCCCTTGATATATTTATTACCTGTCATATACGCAAATGCCTAACACAAGGTGCCGGATATAATAAATTTAGATATTGCTTAATTTCGTTAAGTGTTTCCTGGCGAACGGTGACATGCGTTTTTACCTTAGGCGATTCTTAGATATTTAGGCGACAGAATTGGGCAACTCCTACGTTAAGTGAAAACGGGCATAAGTCTCAGTTGCACCATAATTGCAGTTAAAGTTAAGGTTTATGTCAAATTTGACAATATCTTTTACGCTGACTTTAAAATTGACTTTAAAGTTATAGTTCACAGTTTAAGTTGACGTCATCCAACCATTGCCAAATGATAAATCATTATTATTTGCTTAATAACCTGGTACTTTAACTTGTTTGTTATTGTTAAAGTAAGTTGGCGAAACTAAACCTAATTTAAACTCGCACACCAGAGTGGTCTGTTAAAGTTTTACGTTAACTCGTTCACAAATGAGCGCGTTAAGAATTTGTATGCAGATTTGTAGTTTCTGATAGTTACCTGCCGTGTAGTACCGGTATAGAATTGTACTACCCCTTTTCATCCCGTGGGTGTCGTAAGAGGCGACTAAGGGAAATTTAACCCAAGAAGATGGGCAGCAGCGTCTTCTTGTGCGGGCCACAGAACCGGACCATACTGCGATCGCCAACCCGCTTGCCCAGCGTGGCGATTATGGGCATATCCCCCAAATGCGAAAGCACAAAAGGCCACGGCCCCTAGTTCCCGGCGGCCTCGCTATTCCTGGTCATGGTGGCGACCATGGTAACGGCAAGGCAGGGGGTGCTAAGAATCTCCGGGCTACGGGAGGCCGCCACAACCGACTGACCCTGGCGACGTACAACGGACGCACGCTACGGCTTGACTCGCATCTGGCTCAACTTGAGGTGGAGCTTGGAAAGATTAGGTGGCACATATTGGGATTATGTGAAGTCCGAAGAGAGGGGGAGGATACCATAACCCTCGAATCAGGCCACCTAATGTACTTTCGCGAGGGAGACCAACAATCCCAAGGTGGCGTTGGGTTTCTTGTCAATAAGTCCCTTTCTGACAACGTTGTAGAAATTTCCAGTGTGTCGAACAGGGTAGCGTACCTGATTGTAAAGCTCACTGAGAGGTATAGCCTCAAGGTTGTTCAAGTGTACGCACCGACCTCGACACACTCGGACGATGAAGTGGAGAATATGTACGATGATATATCGAGGGCACTCCACTTCACTACTAAGACCCACTACAGCGTTGTTATGGGGGACTTTAACGCTCAAGTGGGAGTACAAAATTGCGGCGAATCGGTAGTAGGATCCCATGGATTTGGAAGCAGGAATAATAGGAGGCAAATGCTCGTTAACTTCCTCGAACGGGAGGGGCTCTTCCTTATGAACTCGTTCTTTAGGAAACAGCCCCAAAGGAAGTGGACGTGGCAAAGCCCCGACAATGTGACAAAAAATGAGATCGACTTCATTATAGCGGACAAAAAACACGTATTCAGAGATGTCTCCGTGATCAATAGGTTTAATACCGGCAGCGATCACCGACTTGTCCGAGGCTCTCTGAATATCGACTTCAAAGCTGAACGTGTCCGCTTGATGAAGGCCAGGCTCCGACCTACTCCACTCCAAACCATGATGGAATCTGAAACGTTCAAGTCAAATCTTGAGAACCGATTCGCTGCCATGGAACCCACAATTGACGTTGACGAGAACCTTGAAAATGTGGTTCGAATACTCAGGGAAGAAGGTACGAAATTTTGTAACATGCAGCGTAAGGGCGGGAAGTCTAAGCTCTCGGATAGAACTTTGGGGCTTATGAAGGAACGACGTGAAAACCCACCTGTCACTTCGTCAGGAAAACGTGCTCAAAACCAGGAGATCAGCAAACGCGTACGATATGACCTCCGGTGCTCCAACACTCACGCTATAGAAAGAGCGATCGAGCAAAACAGGGGGTCAAAAGTATTCGTACAATCTCTTGGAAGAAGCCACTTGACGAAGTTGACCACAGCAAGCGGGGAAGTCGTTGCTTCGAAGCCAGCGGTCCTCTCAGAGGTGGAAAATTTCTATGCCCGGTTATACGCTTCGCATGCACCTCGACCTGATCCCGGAAATGAGGATTCTAGAGCCACATTAACACGCCACTACACCGAAGATCTGCCAGAAGTCAGCATTGGCGAAATCGAGATCGCTCTGAGACAGCTTAAAAATGGAAAAGCCCCTGGAGAGGATGGCATTACAACCGAATTATTAAAAGCAGGAGGTAAACCAGTACTGAAGGAGCTCCAAAAGCTTTTTAATGCAGTCCTCTTCGAAGGGAGAACTCCGCAGGCGTGGAGTAGGAGTGTAGTCGTCCTGTTCTTCAAAAAGGGAGACAAAACCCTGCTGAAGAACTATCGACCCATTTCCCTTCTAAGCCACGTCTATAAGCTGTTTTCTAGAGTAGTCACGAACCGTCTTGCGCAAAGACTTGACGAATTCCAACCACCGGAGCAGGCTGGGTTTCGGAGTGGATACGGCACCATAGACCACATCCACACAGTGCGGCAGATTATACAGAAGACTGAAGAGTATAATCAGCCCCTGTGTCTAGCATTTGTGGACTATGAGAAGGCCTTTGACTCGATTGAGATCTGGTCCGTTCTGGAGTCCCTGCAGCGATGCCAAGTCGATTGGCGATACATCCAAGTGATAAGATGTATTTATGAGGCCGCCACCATGACCGTCCAAGTACAGAATCAGCAGACAAGTCCTATACCGTTGCATCGAGGAGTGAGACAAGGAGACGTTATGTCTCCGAAATTGTTTACTAATGCAATGGAGGATATGTTTAATACGCTGAACTGGAAAGGACGTGGCATCAACATCAATGGCGAGTACATCTCTCACTTGAGATTTGCTGACGACATCGTCATCATGGCAGAAAATCTGCAGGACCTACAACAGATGCTGAATGACCTGGCTGACTCTTCTATGCGCATCGGCCTACGGATGAACTTGGATAAAACCAAGGTCATGTTCAACGAACACGTACTACCGGAACCGATTGCAGTATGCGGTGCCGTTCTCGAAATTGTTCCAAAATATGTATACCTCGGGCAAACATTGCAGTTAGGTAGAAACAACTTCGAGAGCGAGGTAAATGGAAGAGTTCGGCTAGGTTGGGCAGCGTTTGGAAAACTACGTCAGGTCTTCACATCGTCGATCCCGCAGTGCCTAAAGACGAAAGTCTTTAATCAGTGCGTCCTACCCGTTATGACATACGGAGCCGAAACGTGGACACTGACGGCACGGCTGGTCCACAAATTGAAGGTCGCTCAGCGGGCTATGGAAAGGGCTATGCTCGGCGTTTCTCTGCGGGATCGAATAAAAAATGAGGTGATCCGGCAGAGAACCAAGGTTATCGACATAGCTCACCGGATTAGCAAGCTGAAGTGGCAGTGGGCTGGCCATATCAGCCGCAGAACCGATAACCGTTGGAGTAAACGAGTTCTTGAGTGGAGACCGCGTCTCGGCAAACGTAGTGTAGGACGTCCTCAGGCGCGGTGGAGTGATGATTTGCGCAAGATGGCTGGCACGAGCTGGATGCGAACAGCCGAAAATAGAAGTAGATGGCGTGCAATTGGGGAGGCCTATGTCCAGCAGTGGACGAATATGGGCTGATGATGATGATGATGATGATAGTTACCGTTAGGGGCGCTATACCGGTTTTCATACTAAAACGTTAACGCGTACGAGCGAGAACGTAAACGTTAAACTCATATCAAAGGCTACATTGTATATATCAAGCCCTCAGTTCGCGCGGAAACGTCAGACAGAATTATTATGACATTCACATGTGTATATAAAATAACGTTTCATACGCCTTATCGTTCTGCTTATAGTCTAGCAGTTTTTTTACAATCAATAACGTATGCTACATAAATACAGTCACGTATAAAATATATATACAGTTAGTTGTTTTCCCTCGACTTCGTCCGCGTAAATTATAGGCTTTTGTCACCCGCGTAAAAGTTTAAAGGGTTTTCATACTCAGATCAGTATTATTTTTAGTTAGTAGAAACAATAATTTTAATGAGGAGTGTGAGTGAGTGATGATTTTCCTTCATCGTCAACTATATTAAAAAAAAATAGATATAAGTTGGTATCGACCAACTTATATTTTCTTTTTTGAATACCACATACCTTCATTAGCGCATTTATTAGCGCTAGTACCAAACAAGCCTCAGTATCATTAGTGCAAGAATTAACGTTATCATCATCTATAATTTCTGCCGAAAGATCTAAAAACACAGCCGCATGTTCAGACTCAGGACTGCAAGCCAATGAGACCCATTGCGAAGTTTGAGTGAGATTTGAAATTTTCTGTAACAAATAAAATTAAAACTTGCTTCTTAAATTTTTTATAACAAAATATTGTATTTAATTAAATACGATAATAACATTTGTCTTCTATTCATACTTTTAATTATGAAAACACACAAGGGCCAACAATTTCGACCTCGAAATTTAAATGTTCTCTATTCTGGTATGCAGAAAAGTAGACCTATTTTCCTGTAATTGTTTTTATAAATTTTTCTATTTTATGTATACGGATATTTTATAATTATGTGACAAGTAATTGATACATATAAACTATGCGAAACATAATCGCGGCGGCCATGACAGAGCATATGACGACACATTTCAATAAACTACTCAACGTCACAACTCGATATATCACGTGACTAAGTACAATGGTTTTCCTTTTTTGGTAAGTTTTTGAAGAAATTTAATTCAGATAGTGGTTTAAAAGGTTCACATTAATGTTTTAAAATACTTGTTCAAAACAGTCAAGAAGCCATATTTATTTTAACACTTCATGCACAGAATACATTGGCGGACTTAATGCCTTAGGCATTTTCTACCAGTCAACTGGATGGGACATGTGGAAATAGAAGGTGGTATAGAGTGCACAATTGAGGTGGAGATAAAAATAAGGGAAATAAAACCTATAACAAAATACATAAACTTACATTAATGGTATAAAGATATACGTTCATAACTACATATAGTAATATGATGGACATTCGGTTGTCCAGCGTAAGTTTGAGTAAGAACGAAGGTTTTTGGTATGAGTGGTACATACAGAACAGTACAGTACAGTATGGTACAGAAAATACTTATGTACAACTCATATAAAAAAATAATCAAATATAATAATAGGTAGAATATACTTACTGTAAGGTCGATACGGAGTCTGGAATCTGCGACATTATCTGCAGCACATTGCAGCAGTCCATTGTAAGCCACTCTATTGGCAACATGTGTCAACTGACGGTTCATTCTGTACTGCAGTTGTAGAGTACACGTAGCCTCGTCGCTCATTAAACGATGAAACAAACTTACTTCCATACCCAACCGCCTGTATATCAAAACAATGTAATATGGGTCCCAATAGAAGTGTTTAATAATCATGTGAAAAGGTATTTTTGCGGATCATAATTTTTGTAAAAGTACCAAAAAATATGAAATATTTAACAAAAACTAAACACGACACATTAATTTTTATAGTTCCTCATTTAACAATGTTAGAATAATAGGAAGAGATAGTTATAAGAGTTAAAGTTACTGGATATAAATATGTTATTAACAATCCAATAAATGTATTTTTATTTATATTTTATTTTTTGTTTTGTTCTTCAAGGTTATGATAGTAGATGTATACCTAGCTGTTCTACTCCGGACGACAGGAGGTAACTGTTCAGGATCACCAACAAGAACGAAACGCTTCGCTGCGAATAACGGCCGCAGTACAGTACACTGTAAAACCTTCACATAGAAAACCATATATTAAGTATACCAGAAACTATTTTTTGGGTTGGAAAAGCATATAAAACGGGACGCTATCACTAAAACTGTCTCGATGTTGGCCTCTTCGTTTGCCAACAGGCAGTGATCTCATGAACTGTGATAGCTAAGTCCGTTTTTGCTTGTTTTTTAATAATCACTATACCTGAGTGAGAAGTTACAAACACACATAATTATCATCTACCAAACGACATATTGTTATATATATATTTTTTTATTATTATGAGTGTTTGAAATTATACTTTTCAGTCTTAAATGATCAAAATGTAAATAAAATATTTATACCACGAAAACAAACTAATACCCTTATGACATCATACATCTATAAATAAAAATTCAACCTAATTCAATAAAAAAAAACCATTTTTATTTACTGAGTTCACTGTATGTAACGGGATATATATAAGTATATACGGAAATAATACAAAATTTATTATTGTTAATTAAAGTTTAAAAATGTGTCCAATTATTGAATGAGATTTCTGAGGTTTTACTTAGTCAGTCCAAGTCAATTCCTACACGAAATAAATATACCTGTATACATGTAATTTTTTGATAGACTATTACGGGAACATAAAGCTCACTGCAGTAGGCTCTCCGGTTATTTTCATTTACATACAGTATTTAAAAATATACCGTTAATAATCTTTACCTGCGTCGCTTCATCGACTATACACACATCGAACGTTGTTCTACTCAACATGGCGTGAGTCGCCCCGAGACAAGTCACACCGACCACTTCCTAAACAAAAATATTTACATAGTTTAAATCAGTGATTCCCAAAGTGCTTGCGGAGTTGAAGCTGCTGAGCTGAAAGCAGAGGGCACATTTCCCAAATAAATGTGCCCTCTGCTTTCAAATTATAAAATTTTTGACATTAGAAAGATGTTCACGGACTTCACGCTATTGGCATGTGAAGGTGATTGCGCTAGCTACGTTTTTTTTTATAGATATTGAGCAAACGATATCGTTTATTTAAAGTTAATTAGAATTGTCTAATGCAAGCGCTAGACGCAAATATCTTTGAAAACTATATGTATAAGTAAAAACTATATATAACCTGAACTTATACTAATCACGAATTAATATATTGATATTAATCAGTACCATGGAATCGTAAAGTTGTTCCAATTTCAGTGTAGTGTCACATTCGGCTGCCAACTTTTGCTCACACCGACCAACTAATCCGGCAGCAACTCGCGATTGAGCGCCCAATCTCATTATACGCATCGACTCTGGCAATCTAGAAGAACGCACATAATAATTCTTTGTTGTGTGTTTCTAAATCTATGTTTGTTAGCTATGTTCTGCTAAACTGTTCCTTTAACGTCAGAGTATGCACAAAGGTTACCTTTATTTTTAAGATCGGACTTTTCATCCCAAAGGTCAAAATTGATATAAAAAGTAAACTACAATTTCTTATTAATTTCCAAAAAAAAAATCCTTAGAATTAAATCTGACACATGAAAAATAAGAAAGTATTTGACTAATAAGAAATCGAAACTCGTTTTCATATACGAAATGATACAAATTATATTTTTATTAAAATTACAATAATATATAGAGTGTGTGAACGACACATAAATTTAAGGGATATTTTTCGATTCAAGATTTCCAGACATATCCATACTATGATAACATATGTTAAGAAATAGAAACAGCTCTACCTAAAATTTTCACTAAATGCTAAAAACTAAAAAACGTTTAACATTATTTATAATTGGCATAACAAATACTTACCTGGCTAACACCGTGTCGACGGCGGAGTGTGTATGAGCGGTGACAAGAACTCGTTGTTTCAATCCCACCAGCATCTGTATCAATACACTGATAGTCTGCGTCTTACCTGTAATCAATGCATAAATCAATTATTTAATATTGTGTTCTTTGCAGTAAATAGTATTTTACAATCATTATTTTCTTCTCTGTTTTTAACCTACAAAACGTATACAGAGATAAAAAAGAAAAATATGTCTACAAACATGTAGCTAATTATGATATTTCTTCTGTACCTAGAAGTTAATGGCCGATTTTTGACGATTTTGTTTGTTTTCTACATCTATACATACATCTATATCTATATATACTAGCAGTTCTCCCGCGATAAAATTGTAGCCTATGTCACCATGCGTAAGAATGTAGCTAGCTATTTCACCTACGTAAAATTAATTTTAATATCAGTACAGTAGTCTAGGAGTCTATTCAAATAAACAATCAAAGCTTACCTCTTAATAATATTTTTAATATAGATTTCCAAAGTACCTCTCTAAGTGAAAGAACAAAAAAGACGATTATACTTGTACTCACCAGTGCCGGGAAGTCCCTTCAATAAAGCGTAATGTTTAGCTGCGAGTGAGCGCAATACCGCCCTCTGTTGTTGTATGTTGAGAGAGCGCATCAACTTGGTGGCCAAACGTCCTATCTCACGCGGTAACTTCTTTTCAAATTCTGGTTTCTCTTTATCTATAATCAACCTAAAAGAAGCACAACAGAAAGGTTATATTGCGCAAATAAGTAAATCCTCATATGTCTATTTTATTGTATATTATATTTTTATAATAATGTTTAATAAGAAATTGGATTAATATAAAAAAAATGTTTAGTTTATGATTTAGTTATAAATCAATCATACCTTCTGAGTCTTTGTGATCTATCACTGTCATCCAATAATACTCCTAAATTAGTTAAATTTTGAATGGTACTTGCGTAAGACTCATATGTGTCTATATGAAAATTTGTACTATTGTCATATCGACTGCTTAGATCCCTGAAAAATATACAAAAACAATTCTTATGAACGTATCAATAACTACTATGTATGTATTTTTTTTGAAACGAATACTTACCTTTCCAACTGCATATGTATTTGGTCATTGTTAGTACACACTATAACCCCGGCAGCGACCCATGGTCTACCATCTACGCTGACTAAGCAGAAATCGCCTTCTTGTGGCCCACTGTACCTAGTTTTGGTATTCCCAATAGAATCTACAAATATAATAAACAAACGAATTATTCATATTCCTTTCTTATGTATTATAATAAAAATAAATCGGGATTCCCGAACAGGATAGTTGTATTCCTAAATAAAATATAAATAATATTAATGGTGTTAAGATTTTCCACAGTGAAAAATTGCTATACCTCCATGTTTTGTAGCTCTGCCAAATATATGAAGAAATTTAACACCAGTCCCTTCCACAGACTTCAATAGAAGATTACCCGCACAAGTACCTCTATTTTCTCTGAAATCAACATATGATTTGAATGTTATTATATTTTCGACTGTATTCATACTTCAATACTATATACACGCATAATTATATCACAATATTTACAAAAATATTTAAACAAATAGCGAGTTCATTCATTCTGACGCAATTAAGTGTGAAATCGCATAGCACTATTAAACAACTATTTTATTGCCTATAAGTTATTATATAACAACAATAGCATTGACATATTATTGAAAGTTGCTTACAGTAGTTTGAAATTACGAACTGTAATCGTATTTAAAATGCCTACTGTATTTATATTTTTTATAAAATAATCTGTATAATAATATTTTGACAAAATATTCTTACCTTATCTCAACACTGTCAGTCCATAGCGTGTGTAGCGGCGAAGACGATTGTCCTATTTCCTCAATCCTGAGCAGCGTCGTCCAATGTAAGAAATATTTTATATGTTCAGAGTTTAAATGACCGAGCGCCGATTCACGTAATGTCGACAATGGATGAGTGTCTGACACTGTGGTATCATTCGTGTGCCTGTTGAAAGGACACCTATTGTTTATATTTTGACATATCATCACCATTATATTAATTTCCCCAGTGCTGGGGTACAGGCCACCCTTATAGACGGAATCGCACCGAATTTTGTACGAAGAAATATATAATATCACACAGATTTAAAACAGAATTAAGTGATGATGAACGTTGTGGCTTTGTCATAGAGTTGAATTTGTTTAAAACAAACATGCACAAGAAAGTTTTCCCCTCGTCTAAACGAACGCTAATAAAAATGAATACATCGTGCTTTGACTATTTCACGAAAACATTATTGATTAAGATATAAATACTAATAGAAGTAAGGAAATAAAACTGTTTTTAAACTAGCCGATTTTAAGTTCTTAGGTACCTCCTATTTTATGCAGGAAAAAACAGAATCGAATTTACACAAACGTAAAAAAAGATATTTAACGTATATTTTTTATTAATGTAGATCAGTAAATGAATTACCATAAATGCAACGAGCATATAGTGAGGTATGGGCACTTGGAGCAGACATTCTGCCTGTGGATTGGTTCTGGGAGCTTCTGCTGTAGCAATGATGAAGCCTCTTCAATGTCCACTAACTGTTCTGTTGTATAATAATTTTGAAAAAAAAAACAACAACCATATAACAATGCAAACAAGGTATATTATAACTTACAAATTGTTTTATAAAAATAGCCTTAATTTGCTACGGAACCCGCTCTGTCTTAATTCGGCACTGCCGACATACTACTATTTAATCTGTCATCAACCTGTCACCCAGTCATCAATCATTCTTTTTACACGCTGTATTTTGTACATACGTCATTCTCGCTATGTGTAATGTTAATTCGTACGAGTAGTAGATACTTACCGGTGGCGGCAAGTTTAGGACCAGCAGCTAAGTTCTGAACAAGTTGATTTCGCAACATCATCAAGTCGCGCCGCTCTGGATATCCACAAGAAACTTCTTTGAGTTCCACGCGATCCCTGTGCCAACAAGTAATAGTATCAAGGAAACGCGTTTTCAGTTTAGGCTGTTAAAAGCACATATGAAGGTCAACATAAATACACCAGTGGTTCTTAAAACTACAGCGCATGATCTTGTATTCAGAAAAGCATCTCTTGCAAGCATGGGCAGCTTTTATCTTCAAGCAGTTCAGTTAAGAAAAAGTTTAATCAGATTATAAAGTTTTCCATTGCAGTATTATACGAAAAATAAAAAAGATAATTAATTCATACATTTTGAATTATTTCGTTAATTACTAGTTAAATTTTACTAACGAAAATCGGCGATTTTTTTTTAGAAAAATATACAGAAAATACTTCTTTTCCTATAAATTTATAATAAATATATTATATAAACATTCATTATCATCATCAGTCGTATCTCCACAACAATCGGTCGTGAGCTGCATAGCTGGCTATGTGGCCCTATATTTATAAACACTACATAATTACTTTAAATATAAAAGTAAGCCGCGTTGTTCCGTCCGGGTGGGATCCTCTCCTCGTTGTGCGGTCAGCATCATGCCGTACAACACTAACTGTCCGCGATGCTCCGCAGACATAGAAGCTTTACCGCTTTTCAACTCTAAAGGAACTACTTGCCGATTGTCACCTAATAAAACAAATTTGCCATAGAAAAAATACTTCAAAAAATCAATCAAACTTATAACTAAACAAAGCTAAATTAAATGTTTTAGGCTGCTCATTTATATTACCTTTTCCAGTAGGTACTGTTACTTCTAATGTCACATCAATTTTTCCTTTTAAACCTAGTTGTGGAGAATATAAATTTTCTTCTATATCCAAAACTCTTTTTATTTTCCCATTCCAAATATCTCTTTGTCCTCGCTGAAATATAGCGCATGAAATATAGCAATATATGTACAGTAAATGAAGAATCAGTATAGGTTTCGTATAGGTAAAACGATTCGACCGGTTTTACGAATTATACAAGCCACTCCGGCACTCAATATTTTCTTCGACATTTATAATAAAAAGAAAAAATAATAACTGTTCTAAAGCAGGGGTGCGCAACCATATGAGATGGAAGACCTAATAGCTGTAATTTATAAAAGATATTTGACATTTTATTTAAAATAATACCTTCACTCGGTCATAGGTCATATTTCAATCGTATTAAAGTATGGGTTAAGTACTTAACCATGGCTCTATAATACGATTTGAAGCGTTTTAATAGTATTTTTTTTTTTTAAATAAACTTGTGCCGCAACTTTACATCGAATAGGCCACAGGTTGCCGACACCTGTTCTAAAGTACAACGAATCGCTGCGAGTCAAAGACAAAGAGCAAGAGGTCACGATACTGCAGCGCTTTTCTGGTTACGATATATATTCACACTAGATATTAAAACAAGTCATTGTCAAGCACCATAAAGAGAAAAATGCTACCTTAAAAATATCACATCACAATTAAAAGATTACTATAAAGATTGCACTATGTATTCATATAATTTATAAAACCGACTCTATAATTTACCAGGGGTTACCATACTTTTTCAGCAGACAACACATTTATAAATATCATAAAGGTATTTTTCTTTTAATAGGGTAGTTTCGGTAGTGGCAAATAAATAATGAAATTGCCGAATTACTAAAATTTAAATTGAAATAAACATAAATAGGAGTCATAATATCTTATGATTATCATATTATCTTGTTGGCGCGTTTTAGGGAGCCACGGAGCACAGATTGAAAAGCCCTGCTATATTCCATAATATTTGATAGTATAGGTACTAAAGGTATCTTACCTATACACATATCTAAGTCAAGGCATAAGATCTCCATTAAATAAAACCACATTTACCGTCATAAGTGGTGCAGTCTCCGATTTTAAAGCAAAATATGTGTTCATAAAATCACCAAGGGGTGATATATAAACTTTCATATTATTATTAACTTCCTCCTCTGTCAGACCTGCATCATAAAGAAGCTGTATGGATTCTTTTACTATTCTTTCTGCTTCAACTACTATTTGTGTGACATCAGTGATATTTTGAGTTAGCACCTTTTGCACTAATTCATGTATAATTATGCCAATAGTCATCTGAAATTTCAATAAAGTGATACATTAAGAGGGGCGTAAAGCTAAAAGACTGTCCCTGTCTATCTAATTGCACCGAGTAATGAGTTAGATAGGAATAGAGGATAGCAAATAGAGTAATTAAAAACTGTTTTCAAATTATTACTTTCATACTTTTACAGTCATATGTAATAGTTTATTAAAAACAGTACAGCTCTTGGCTGGTTTTTATATACAAATTTTTATTTTTATTTTTTTTTAGAAGTATATCTATAATCATTAAACATTCACATAATAAGTTAAAATCTAAAAATAAATTTAATTTCCAAATTTTACTCAAAAACGCCACTTCTATCATGGCGTCGCTATGACGTTAGGTCACTCTCAAATGCATATTGTTCTATGTATACATAAAGTTGAATTCTCTGAGTAAGTAATGTAAGAAGGCGCAACGTCATGCGATGTTTGCGGTCACTTGACAAAAGCATAAAATATATATTTTTTTTTCATAATTAGTTTAAGCAATATTATAAATACATATAATAAGCATAAAAATGTGATTATGGGCATTAGTATATTAAACACTACAAGAAAAATAATATGTATTTATTTTCGTTTACTGTCTACACCCTTATTATAACACTTAATGCAACACATGATGAATTGACAACAAACAAAACTCTCTGTTTGGTGATGAATAGTGAGATGGCAAATTGAGAGAGCTAAAATCTGTTTTTAAATTATTTCTCTCATCACTATTACAGCATTTATTACTGAACTGAGTTTAGTTCGTTATCAATTAATAATGTGTTGCAGTAACTGTTATAGTTTAACTATTTGTAAAATTTACCTATAAAACAGGCCAAGAGCGAGACACCACTCGAACACTGAGGGTTATTTATTTATTTAACTATATTGACTAATATAAAGATGGTACAAAAGGCGGACTTAATGCTAGTAGCATTAAATCCCAGTCAACCTTCCTTTCTTTCCAAATTATAGCAATTTCAGACTTAATGCAGAAGGCATTCTCTACCAGTCAACTGGTGAGTATATACAGGAAATTTCCATGCCAGTGTTAGATAAAAGAAAAAGGATTTATGCTTCATGAAAAATAAATATTTGAAATATGCACATGTAGCAGATAGATTTCATTAGATAAAAATGTATATTTTTCAGATTTTACTATTCAAAGCAAGCATCTTTTTTTTATAATGTTAGTAGAGGAATAAGCACATACAGCAGCATTTGCAGGATCAATGCCTCTCCAACGCTCTTGTAGAACAGCTTTTCTTTTACAAAATACTCCAGCAACAACACTGGTAGAAGACATGAGGTAATCAGGATAAAGAACTAGCAACCCTGACGAGTTGTTAATACAAAACTGCCCAGAAGAATTACGAAATGCAATCACTCCAACAATATCTCTGGAACTTAATGGAGTGTCTAACCTGAAATAAGATTATTTTAAAAACAAGAAGTTTATGAGGTTTTTATACATAAATAATGAAATTAAAAACCAAACACTAAGAAAATAAGTAAATAAGGTATTCTTTTCAATAAGACCTTTGAGTTTTCCTTTAATTATTGGACAAATTTTTTATTTAGTATTAGTGACTTACCAAATTCCTTCAATAAAGCAAGTGCCCTTATTATTAGTGGCATTCTTTAATTTAACTTCTATTTTAGCAGGATGTTGTATCACATTGATAACTTCACATCTCTGCATCAAAGTAAGATCTAAGTCTTCAACTTGATCCTAAGAATAAAACATAAATTAAATAGAACAATTTTTTACAATATTAAAAAAAACTCTCAAATTCAAATACCATTTCAGTGATATTATCCAATTCCCATTCATCACCAAAAATATCACCCAAATCATCACCATTTTGTATAGCAACAGTAGACCCTTTCTTGGATGGGGATAGCTCTTGTACAGAGAACTTTTCTAAAGTTAAAAATCTTAATACCTTCTTTGGTGAATTTGAACTTTCTAAAAATGATCAATAAATAAGATTCAATAAATAAACACAAATATTTATTTAAACTTAACTATGATAACAAATTTGTTGTACCTTTAGTCGGACTATTGATTAATTTTTTATCATGATTATAAATATGTACTTCTTTTTCTTGTGATCCATTACTTTCAACATGATTGTTTTTGATTTTTATTGGTCTAAGCTTTGATGGTGTACCATTACCATGTTTTTCGTTTTCTAAAAGCATGCTCAGGGGAGATCTCTGAATTTTCTTTTCTGGTGTGTCCATAAGCTTTGTGGGAGTCACCGCTTTATTTTCAACATTTCCTTTCTGTGATGATTTCTCATTTTCATTCAATTTCGACTTTAACTTGACATCAACTTTAGTTTTTTTGATAGATTCATCATTATTCTCTTCACTAGTATTGGCAGCTTTTCGTTTGCTTGTTTTGATTGACGCCGTGGGCTCCGAAGTTTTTGTTAATGATTGTGGTTGACTTGATACGTTATTTTCATTTTTAAAGAACTGTGTAATTGCTATTTGATTCTTCTGGGAGCCAGATTGATGGGCCTGTAAAGTGGACAATGACGGGATATAGTGGCTTTTAGAATCTCAGACCAAATAAAAAGTAAAGTACACATAAGTAAATTAGATCAAAAGCTACTCCATTAAAAAGTTATTGTTACATCTTTAAAATTACACCTAAGTAGTAAATAAATACCTTCTTCAAGCTTAAGACCCTAGGCATATTTTACATCCAACACATTAAGAAACGCTGTAGATATTAAACTTTTGTAAAACTAATCAAATTTAATTATTCAATTCACACTTAAACCTTATCAAAAGTAAGAATAAAATAAACAAAACATGAAAAAATTTTCGCGCCATTGACACAAATGTTCACTTGACATTTATTGACAAGAGCCAAAATTTTTTTTTTTTTTTTGGTTCAATTTTCCCGTTCCTACAAGGGAAGGGGAAGGCAAAGGGTGCTTAGCCCATACAGCCTTATCATTTGCATTTATATTCTTAAACATTCTTATTCAACGGCCACAGCCAAGTCTTTTTTAATAGAAATTTGTATTCTCAGTCTAAGTCAAAAGGCCGAAGCCAAGTCTTTTTAAGTTTTATGTGATTAAATCTTATTTAAAAATTAACAAGCAAAATATACAAACGAAGGAAATTGAGAATAAACAAAATTAAATTGACATAGAAAAAACAACCAAGTTAGATTTCCCCAATGGTTGAGGTTATATATTCATAAATATATACAAAGCACTCCTTTTTCTTCAGAAGTTGCTGAAGCGAACAAAATTAAAGACAAAGGCTTCAAACTCGAGGCGCGAGCACAGATAGGTATTACACCTCACGCAACAGAATTGCGAGTTGTTTCGAATGAAAAGGTGACTCGATAATTACTCAATATATTCAATATTGAGGGAATGGGTTAATTTTTACGAGTTTTTTGGAACGATTCAGATTTGTTTATGTGTTTGTTCGCAAATACGTATTTAATTTTCTTATAGATAAATGATATTAATTAGTCTAAATAAAAACCAAAGTTAATAATAATGTATCGGTTTTATTTAGAAATATATTTATATGATTGTAATTATAAATGATTAATCGATTTAAAAATGGAACACTTGACAGTATTAAAAATAAGTTGCATGTTGTGGTCATTTTTATCAGAATGTATATAATGAATATAGTCTAGTAAAGTTTATTTCTTAGAATCTAAAGACCAAATATGTTTTATTTAACATATCCGACTCCCTCCCTCATTTTGTACCAAACGGCAACGATGCGCGCGCCTCGCTAAATGTTCATTCACTGCTATTGTAACATTACCTATCCTCACCTCAAATGAGGGGTAACTCGCGAGCTCCTCACGAAGGAAAATAAGATCCTCACTCATCCTCATTAAAAAAGAGTGAGTAACACAACGCTAAAAATAACACGTATATAATAATGAGGACGTATTTAAAAAAAAAACCCTGGTTGGCTGTATCATTGATACAGCCATATTTTATGCGTGGATACGTCTATGTATGAATGGATATATGAGTAATTGATAAAAAAATAAATAAACAAATTGAAGACACTAAACACTAAATAAATAAATATTCGTTGCGTTCATTTGTTGAATGAAAAAAGTATTCTTTAGCGCCAACAGATGGCGTTAGTGCATATACTCCTGCCGACAGAATGCCCCTCCCCCTGCAGAGCAAGCATAGTTCACTTATACGCCAATAGATGGCGTTAGTACATATACTCCTGCTCACAGAATGACCCCCCTGTAGAACGAAAACATAGACGTATCCACGTCAAAAAAAAACACCTCATTAGATGGCGTTTCCACTGAAGTTTCTTTTTGCAGGAAAATGGACCAAAGATAGTCATTTCCGTCCCTTTTAACTAACAAATTAAAGAAAAGCGGAAAGGTTTTCATGGAGAAATCAAGCGGGTACCGTAGCGACATTTAGTTTGATTTCGGGAACTAATGTATTTTTCTTAAATACTTCCTCATTTGAATGAGGGCTCGACCGGCTCGATCTACTTTTGCGCAATCTCATATACACGTGTATACTAATATTACCAAATCGTCACAATATATTCAATTTAACAAAAAAAATGGCAATATCCTTGTTCCATAAATAAGTGAATTGCTCGATGGTGTAGTGGTTAGCGTGTTAGAGCTGCGATTGCAGTGTTTAAGGGACGATCGCAAAGGCCGGTAATAGGATGGGTGGTCAATTTTTTTTTGGAACGATTGAGAAGCACCACATTCTCCCAGTACGAATTACTGGATAGATTGATTTCATCCATTAAAAAAACCTGTACTTTAGCACCACCAAACCACATTGGGGCCACCACATGGGCCTAATGAGGAATGCCAGGTGGTTAACGCGTTTGATCAGCGATTTGGATGAGAGACCAAATTTTTTTACTTTACTAAGCACAAGAGAAGAAAAGAGAATCAATACCAAACCTAACGTGCTAAACATCATCCAAGTATACGCGCCTACGGGAAAGGCACCGGACTGGGAGGTTGATGAGTTCTACGAGGTGTTGACTACCACTCTAAGCAAAATTCCGAAACAGGAGGTAACAATTATCATCGGAGATTGGAATGTTAAAGTTGGTGATACTACCAGCGACGACCTCATTCGCAATATAGTAGGCAGATTTGAACTTGTCAGCAGGAATGACCACGGACAAAAGCTCCTTTAATTTTGTATTGAAAAGGGCCTCTGCATTGCCAATACGTTGGTTCAACACCATCCTAGATGTTTGTATACATGTACATCCCCAGGCGGACGATATAGAAATCAAATCGATTATATACCTGTGAGCACACGCTGGAAAACGTCTATAAGGAACGCGAAAACATACCTTGGTGCTGAATATGGCTCGGACCATAGACAAGGATGTCACGAGATTTGCATTGCGCCTAAAGTCTCCCAGAAAATCGACTAGAAGCCGTATTAACAACTTGGAGCCCCACGAACGATCGCTTTTCAGAGCATCTATCGAAGGTAAGATTTGTAATCCATCTGTAAACGCAAACACCTGCTGGAACCATCTTAAGCAGCAGATATATGAAGGTCTAGATGCAATTGAAAAATCAAGAAAAGAGAGGGACCGTAAATACAAAACCAAGTCATGGCTTGCTGAGGATACCTGAAAAATGATACAGAAGTACAAAGACGAGAGAAACAAAGGCGTGCGGGATATTTCCACCAGAAACAAATTACTCAAATCTCTGAAATACTGTAAAAAAGATGTGCCATAGAGATAAGAATAATTTTCTTTCCAGTATCTGCACGGAAATAGAAACACACTCTATGAGATTTCAGACATCAGACCTCTTTAAAAAAGTTTAAGCCTAAATTGGGTAATTAATGACGAAACTTGTAATGCCATTCATGATAAAACTGCTATAGCTGAAAAATGGCGTGTTTATTGCGTAAAATTGTATGACCAACCTTTGGAGACGAATACATCTAATCCTAACTGGAGAACTTTAGATCTGGAGCCATCAATCTTGCGATCTGAAGTTACTGCGGATATTTCAGTTCTAAAAAACAGGAAAGCTCCTGGGCCAGATCAGATAACGGCAGAAGTGCTTGGGGCTTTGGGGGACAGGACTTATGAACTTTGACTGGCCGAGCTTATAGAATGTACTTGCTGAACTTGGAGAACCGGATCATCTCACAGCCCTATTGCAATCACTTTATCTCAATAATAGAAGACACTTTATCACAACCCTTCCGATTTAAGAGAGGAGTTAGGCAAGGCTGTGTTTTATCTCCAATTCTCTTTAATATATATGGAGAATACATAATGAGGCGAGCCTTGGAGGACTGGGGGGTGGAAAATCCATTGGTGGGGTAAAAATCACGAACTTGCGGTATGCTGATGACACCACACTTTTTGCGCCCAGTGAGTGTGAAATGTCTGAACTATTAGAATGATTGGAACATGCCAGCAGAGTGATGGGGCTGAATGTAAATATGGCAAAGACTAAAGTGATGGAAGTAGATCGCAGCAGATCCCTTGCCTTGACCAACTTACTGAACTTAGAGTTTTTTTTTTTAATAGCTGGTTCCCCCACTTTTTAGCAGGCTGTCTTATTTATCATTTTTTAGCTTGTTTGCTTTCTTTTCTTTTTTTCTTTATACAGGTCTCAACTTGGAGGTTGTGACAGATTTCATCTATCCGGGTTCTATTATAGCGAACGATGGGTCAGAAGTGTGAGAAAGACGTAAGAAGACGAATCGGTATAGCTAAGATCGCTATGTCACAGTTGGGAAGAGTATGGGCTGATAAAAGCATCTCTCGAAAAACAAGGAAAAAACTCGTCAATAATTTTGTTTTCTCCAATAAAAAAATGGACGGGGCTAAAACCCTCTACAAAGTCGATGGTCTACGTATTGATGCATTTGAGATGTAGTGTTGAAGAAAGATGCTCGGACCAACGCATCGGTTCTGGCCGAAGTAACGATAAAAATAAGATTATCCTCCACTTTTCTACGGAGAAGTTTCGAATTCTTTGGACACATCGCTAGAAAAGGAGGCGATAATCTCGAAAAAACTTTACTGACGGGGAGAATAGAGGCCATCCATATCGCCGAACATAGGGCAAGATAGGGCGAACAATTGTCCACAAGAGAGTAATTCAACGAGGTCACGACCCTCCGACGCACCTTGCGACCCGACGCATTGAGGATGAAAGACGCAAATAGGAGGATTTAAATAATATTGATTTATATCGAATTAATATGATTAAATATGATAATATAATTAAATTATAGATTTCTCGTCGGATGATTTTTTTACGAATTAACATTCATAAAGAACATATTAGATTACTCAAAATTTCAAATTACGAAAGATATGTTATAAAAAAAATAAAACGTTGCTTAATCTTTGCAATCGCCGATCAAACGACCTAACTAATAGTACACGTGCACGTGAAGCCGTAAACATACACACTTTAAACTTCATTAATAAAAATATATTGAATTTAGTAAATGTTGTTTCGGATACAGATTTCTAATAAATTGGTCGAAATGCAACGCGCTCCATTGGTACGAACAACAATTTTAATCGATGATAGATTTGATATCGATCGAATAGCCTAAGCTGTATGTGATGTCCACCTTTGCTACCATAAGTTTTAAAATTATTTGAAGCAATTTGACAATTGTGAAATTAAAAAATACATGTTATTTTTTGTAGGTTAGTTAGGGAGGTTATTTTTATTAGTGGTTACAATTTTTAATGTTTTGTGCTCTACAGTATTTTTGCATACAAAAAAGATATTTTTGACTTACGAAGTAACCGAGGATACGAAAAATGTCTAAGAGACCAGAACACCAAGCACCCCCGGAAGTTGTAAGGAAAAGTATTTATTTATTTGCGTTTGTTTTGAATAAATATTTAATTAATGTAGCTATATCTTCACGATAAAACAATTGAGCAATTTATTACCGCTTCGTCCTGGTTAGACTGACGAATTATAATAAGTTAAAAATTAATTTCTAAATCAAAGTTCTGCTATACTCAATCTAATTTTGATGTTTAAAGCACTCCTAAAATTGGATATAATTAGCTGAAGAAATTAATTATAGGCATACAATTTTACACTTACTCGCAACTTTATTTGAATACTAAATACTAATGCTTGTCATTCATCACTCTTCATACATGCTCATTCTATCAATGTGTTGATACTTAATCAATCTCTTTTTATTATAGTTCTACAATGAAGAAGAGGCAAGAAAATATACTCAAAAGTGAGTCATACATAACGACTGAATTACTAATATTCACAAGAAGTTCACAGTTCACATATTACATATTTATATTATATATTACATTATTAACATTTCAGTTCAAGAATTATAGATATTCAAGCTCAAATGACTGAGAGATGCTTAGAACTGCTTCTACTTCCTGAAGATACTCCTTGCTTGTTACTGGATGTGGGTTGTGGGTCTGGTTTATCTGGTTCAGTACTTGAAGAAAATGGACACATGTGGATTGGTCTCGATATATCTCCTTCAATGCTTGGTAAATGCCATTATTGTAAGTTAAATGTAATATTGATTTTGGAAAATGATAAGAAAAACTTATTCTAAGAAACATTTCAGATGTGGCATTAGAAAGAGAGACTGAAGGTGATCTTGTGCTCGCAGATATGGGAGAAGGTATTCCATTTAAAGCTGGTTGTTTTGATGGTGCTGTCTCTGTATCAGCTTTACAGTGGCTTTTTAATGCAGATAAAAAATCACACAAACCTGTTAAAAGGTTGTACACATTCTTTAGCACATTATATGCTTGCTTAGTAAGTATCACAAAAATATAACAATCATGGTATACTTTTACTATAATTGAAATAGATAATTCCTGGTTGGATCAATGTAGAAGATGAACTTTTCTATATTGTCTTGGGTCTTAGTGTTATGGTACCTTCATGTCTCAGATACTCCATAATACAGGGGCTTTAGCTAGTCATCTTGGAATCTGAGCAATGTATGTGATGTTGTTTATTAATTTTTTTTTTTTGTAGTCTAGATCTGCACGTGCAGTATTCCAATTCTACCCTGAAAATGAAAGTCAATTGGAATTACTCACAGCACAGGCAATGAAAGCAGGTTTTTATGGAGGTGTAGTCATTGACTATCCCAACTCTGCCAAAGCTAAGAAATTTTTCTTAGTACTCATGACTGGTGGTTCTGGGCCATTACCGAAAGCCTTAGGTAAAAACTTATGGTTTAACTAGTTAAACATATCTATTGTGTTTATTTATTAATATCTAACGCTTAGCTATATATTACTTTAGGTACTGATGAAGCTGAGGAGAACCTTCAAGTAAAATATGCAAGAAGAGATGCATCAAAGGCTGCCCGTGGAAAACCTTTAAAAAACACTAGAGCATGGCTATTAGAAAAAAAAGAAAGAAGACGAAAACAAGGCAAAGAAACTAAGCCTGACACAAAATACACAGGCAGAAAGAGAAGTGGTAGATTCTGATAGCAAACAAATTAGAATACATTATATTTTTATTTATTAAGAATTTGTTAAATATAATATTATCTTTTTATTACATATTTCCATACAGTATCAACACCATGACCTATAATTTCAATTGGTGTCATATTAGGTAATGGGAATCTGCAAGCAACTACTACTGTATCAGGGTTAACTTCTTTTAACAATTTATATTCAAAATCTTCCATCATTTGTTCCACTCCAAAAATTACTATTACATCATATGGCTTCAAATTAAAAGTCCATAAATTTTGTCTGTAAAATTTTGTGCCATAGAACTCTGGTTTCAATAAAGCTGCTAATCTTGAGTAATATACGAGCCAAGGATTCAGTTCAACTCCTTCTGCTTTAAACCCCAATTTGGCTGCAGTAAACACAATTCTACCATCACCAGATCCTACATCCAGCAGTTTTCCGTGATGGTTTGCTAAAGCTTTGGATACACCAGTTAATTGTGTGGTTGTTGCTGGCACAAACGGCAAACAAAACTTTCTTAAAGCTGGGGAAACAAACGAAATACAAACAACACTAACTCCAATAGCAAGCCCTCCTGTAGTATATATTAATGCCTGACCGATAGGCGATAACTTTGATTCTTTTTTGGAGTTTGTAATTAGTACGTCCATATTTTCAGTAAATTTTTACACTTAATAAATTATAGTAAAAGTACCGAATACATAAACTAGTATTTGTAATACATGCATTTAATTATTATAAGTATAGAGAGTATTAAATAAATAATATGAAAAATAATATTGAGATAACCTCACAATATTTGACACAAGGAAAAGGGAACAGCTCTGCCACAGTACAAGTAGGGTGCACTCGAGACCCAGTGTTACCAACTCCCAACAACAAAAACCCTAAAATCAAACTCAAATAACCCTGAATGACGTCATCAAAAGCCCGAAAAACCCCTGTCCTGCCTGTAATACCCACAGATTTAATGGTATTGTTTAAAAAAGTTTTCTGTTTTATTAAGGTGAATAAAATAGACCTCAGTTTTAATTTAATTAACTTTATTAGCACAGAATTTAGTTTTAATGAATGAAGTCTTTAAAAAAAAAATTAGTTCCCGAAATCAAACTAGATATCGCTACAGTACATTCTTGATTTCTCCATGACAACCCTTCCGGTTGTCTGTCATGTTTAAAGTAAATTAATTTTCAAAACTCAATAAACAACTTATATTCTATTTGTTCTTTTTCGTATTTGTATTGATATCTTAGTTTCGAACTTTTCAAATTTCAGTTTTTTATATGTTAGCTAAAAGGATCGGAAATGATTGTTTTTGGACCATTCGTTTCCTGCAAAAATCAACTTTTGCTAGAGTTGCCATCTGCTGGAAGTGCCTTTTTAGTGCTTTCTTTTTTTTTAAAAAAAAGGTAACCGCTTGATCCCTTCCAACTAGAGGCCGATTGCTATAACCCCTTTGCTTTCAAAGATAATGGAGCCATTATCAACCGCCAGCTCCTTCGGTACCTAGAGGATCACCAGTTGCTTAGTGACCAACAATACGGATTTCGTAGTGGTCGCTCTGCTGGCGATCTTCTAGTTTACTTGACACATAACTGGGCTAAGGCAATTGAAACAAAGGGGGACGCCCTGGCAATAAGTTTGGACATAGCGAAAGCTTTCGATCGGGTGTGGCACAAAGCTCTTCTATCAAAGCTTCCCTCGTATGGGCTTCCCGAGAAATTATGTACATGGGTCACTAGTTTTTTGGCAGACAGAAGCATTAAGGTTTTAATCGACGGTGAACGCTCGGACCTATTGTCTATAAACGCTGGTGTTTCCCAAGGATGTAGGACACTTTTTCTTCTGCATATTAATGACATACTGCAAATTAGCGGTATTCATTGTTATGCGGATGACAGCTTGAAGGACTCCACCTATAACGGTCGTGCTAATATTTCTCGGGAAAGCGTCATTGTGAGCCGGAATCTACTTGTGTCTGATATTGAATCTTCGTAAGAGGAAGTCTCTAACTGGGGTCATCTTATTTTGGTCCACTTCAACCCTTCTAAGACACAGGTTTGCGCGTTCATCACCAAAAAAGCCCTTTAGTCGTATCACCTAGCTTTCAAAACATTCCCCTAACTGCCTCAGCCAATATTGAGATTCTCGGTGTCGACACATCGAGTGAGGTCCAGTTCCGTGGTCACTTAGAGGATAAAGCTAAATAAGCATCTAAGAAGCTTGGTGTGCTTAATAGATCGAGGCAGTATTCCACTCCGGTGCATCGCCTGCTGCTTTACAAGGCGCAGGTTCGGCCCCATATGGAATACTGTTCTCATCTTTGGGCAGGGGCACCCTAATACCAGCTTCTGGACCCTTCTTTTGGAACTTAATACTGGACCCCCTGCTTAACATACTCACCTTGGCTGGAGTGTACTGCCAGGCCTTCGCCGATGATGTGGTCTTAATAATCTCGGCGGATAACGCCCAGGAAATAGAAACAAAATCTAACACAGCACTAAATAAAGTCAGAGAGTGGGGGATATCTAATAAATTGAACTTCCTTTCGGATCTTCGGATCCAAGAAGCATCCCGGCTTTATGAAGCTAAGCGCGGGAAACCCCAGGGAATACTGAGCGGAAGAAAAGTGGAGGAGAGGGTATCCTTGCTGGAGTCGAACCACCCCGGCAGCCTAAGTATGATAGAGTTTGAGTGTGTGGAAAACGGCGAGGAAGATGGGAAAACAGCAGAAGGCCAAGTGAAAATCTATACAGACGGCAGCAAACTGGAGGGAAAAGTCGGTGCAGCCCTGACCTGTTGGAAAGGGGCTGTTGAGATCGTTTCCCGAAAGTTTAAAATCGAGCCGTACTGGACGGTTTTCCAGGCCGAGTTGTATGCCATCCTCCAGGCGACAGAATGTATGATGAGTAAAGAATGGAAGGAGGTAGCGGTGCTAAGCGATTCGTGATCCGCCCTACAGTCGCTGCAAGATCCAGACTCCTCGCACTAGATCACGAAGGCGATCCAAGGCAACCTGGTCCAACTTAGGGAACTTGGTTGCAAGGTCTCCCTATTATGGATCAGGGCCCACGTCGGCGTGGTCGGGAACGAGAGAGCGGACGAGCTGGCGAAGGGGGCGGCTCTCGGATTGAAATGCAAATCGCATTATGACGGGTGTCCCATCTCCTTCGTCAAAAGGCATTTACGCAATTCGACGAAGGTAGAGTGGGACAACCGTTATATGAGCGAAAGCACTGCTGCCACGACGAAGGTCTTTTTCCCAAGCGGGGAAAAGGCCTTCGGCGTCGTAAGAAAGATGAAGAATGATAGATGGGCTGCACAACTGCTAACGGGGCATGGAGGGTTTAGGTCTTACCTCCATGATTTTAAATGCAAGGATACCCCATACTGCGAATGCGACCCTCAAACGAAACAGGATGTTTTCCACGTTATTTTAGAATGCCCCATCTATGGAAACATTAGGCACACTCTACAAAGCAACATAGAAACAAAACTTAGCAAAACAAATTTTGAAATAATAATGGTAAACAAAGACGAAAGAGTTGTATTTATCAAATATGCATGTGAAATGATTAAAAATGTTAATGCTAGAAATAAAGATTAAGATAAGGACAAGTAAACAAGAAAACTGTGATATTAGAAAGTAAGTAAAATAATCTGTCACCGTAAACAATGTACACTAGAATTAATAAGATAAAAATGTTAATAAATTAGAAATAACATACAAAGAAATATATAAACGATGTAAATAAGAGTAAGAAAATAATATTAAGACAAACTGTAAAGCATAAAAATGAACTATGTATTAAAAATAAGAAAAGTATTTAAAAGAGGGAAAAAGAGCGATCCCCAACAGGCTGAATAACCTGTACAAAGAAAAAGAAAAACAAATTAAAAAAGATAAAACAGCCGACCTGCTAAACAGTGGGAGAAACCTGCCAAAAAAAAAAAAAAACAGCTTCTCCCTCTAGATCGCATTCAGCGGAGAGCGACTGGAATCGTCGATTGCCGGGACACTTCAAGTCGGCTTGATCCACTGGCCCTGCGTAGAGATGTTGCTTCACTGTGCATCTTCTATCGCATCTATTACGGGGAATGCTCCGAGGAATTGTTCGGACTCATACCTGCCGCTACTTTCCGGCATCGTTTCACGCGACGAGAAATCCATGCCCATCATCTGGATGGTTGGAAGTCCTCAACTGTGCGTTTTTCTAGAAGTTTTCTGCCTCGCACATCCAAACGCTGGAACAGTTTGTCGCCAGCGGTATTTCCGAACCGACACGACCTTCAAACTTTCAAGCGTAGAGCATATTCATCCCTCTAAGGCCGGCAGTGCGCTTTTAGCTCCTCTGGTGTTACAGGTGTCCATGGGCGGCGGTTATCACTCACCGTCTTCTCGACTGCCACATATTCCATAAAAAAAAGAACCAAAAAGCACATACCCACCGTACGAATTAACTTAACACATGGCTCGACGTCCGCCGTCGACATGCAAGATCAGTAGCAATAGTTTATTAACTGTACGTGTCTTTGTGATTTTGCAATTTAAAGTTATAACCTTGCTGTTCGTTTAGAACAGTTGTTTCTTGTTGATTGGTGAATGTTTATTAAGATGATTTAATTATGAATATAAGATTTAATACCTGATCATAGTTTTTTAGTCTTAATTTCAAAAGCACAAGTTATTTGCACAAACGTATTTTAGCCAGAAGGCATGTTGTTTTGTTCGAATACCTAGTATATTTGATACTTATCGGCTAAGTATAAAGATAATAAACGGTTTTTTTATTATAATTATCGTTTTTATGACTTTGGTTGCTGATTAAAATTCCCTATTTATTCATTCACCATACATAATATAAAAATATTATTGAGACTTGATGTTGTTTTGTTGTTGTAATTTCAACAAACAACTAATAGCAATAAAACTAACTTACCTAGTTGTTATTGTTTTCAGAACTTTTGTTAAATATTATAATCAAAAATTCGAAGACCTATTATGGCATAAGTATTTTATTTATAAAAACTATTTGGCGGTAATATTATTGTATACTGTAGCTAAATGCCACTTTTAATTATATCACAGCATTAATGAAATTGATTTCCATAAATTTAAAAAAACCTCTGTGCTCACTTCTATTATGTTCGTTTCCATTTTCCTCTATACAAATAAAAAAGAATTTTATTCAAAGATTACTTTGTATTAATCGAGTTGCGTTTGCATAACTCGAACTAGTTAAATTTCAACTCGATATTAATCCGAGGTATCGATCCATAACAACGCTGACAATTCTATTCTTTTTGGTTTAACGTCATGAATTGACATTTAGATCCAACAATTTATGCTGCCATCTAGTGTTATAAATTTTTGTAGTTTCTTTATTTTTTTTTTAAATACTTTCTCATTTAAACCACATATACATCATCCATATATTTCAAGACTTATGGTAAAAATAGTTGTTAGATTTACAATGTTCTTATTTTTAAGTGAAAAAACGTATTGCAACCACTAAAAGATTTACTTGGACAAACATAAACGGAACACTTTTCACCATTTGAACTGGAATATAATAATAACCCAAGATTTGGCTGTATAGCTTAGTTCGTTAGCCGGTCTCATGGATGAAACTACTATTCATATATCTTTTCTCTAGTTTTTGAGGCAATACCTACTTCATTACCATTACTTTTTAAAATGACTGCGTTTGAAGAGTTCGGTGTATTACCCGAACTGGGAAAAGCAATAGAAGAAATGGATTGGACGTTACCCACTGATGTCCAAGCTGAAGCCATACCGTTGATTCTCGGTGGAGGAGACGTGCTTATGGCAGCCGAAACTGGCAGTGGTAAAACAGGTGCTTTTTGTTTGCCAATTCTGCAAATTGTTTGGGAAACTCTTAAGGACATTCAAGAAGGGAAGACGAGTAAAGTTATAGCACAGACATCTTCAGAATGGACGATGTCGTTCTTTGACCGTACAGATGCATTGGCTGTTACTCCTGATGGTTTGCGTTGTCAATCTCGTGACCAGCAGGCCTGGCACGGTTGCCGTGCCACTAAAGGTGTGCACACTAAAGGAAACTATTATTACGAAGCCACTGTTACTGATGAAGGCTTATGTCGAGTAGGATGGTCAACTCAAGCTGTTAGTATACTTTTAAACTCTATGGATGCTAGAAAAAAAAAATATTTTTAATTTCTATAAATTCTTTTCAGGCTCGGTTGGATCTTGGTACAGACAGGTTAGGTTTTGGCTTTGGAGGGACAGGCAAGAAATCAAATGCTAAACAGTTTGATGATTATGGTACTGCTTTTGGGAAAAATGATGTTATAGGTAGTTTAATTAATAATATATATTTAGTTAATCAAAATTTTTTTTTATAATTTATGACACAACTTCAGTACAGATGAAGGATTTTCTATTCATATCCTTACATTTTATACAGGTTGTCTTCTTAGCTTGACAAATGGTGAAATTCGTTATACAAAAAATGGTGAAGATTTAGGAGTTGCATTTAAATTAGATCAGTCAAGACGATTAGACTGCTATTTCCCAGCTGTTGTACTCAAAAATGCCGAAATGAGTTTTAACTTTGGAGCGCAGCCATTCAAGGTAGCATCTTTTCATATGTTATTAAGACTACTAATTAAAATATACCAATACCACTTAACAACATCATTATTGTACTTATAATTGCTTTTTTGATATATATATATATATATATATATTTATTTTTTATTGTTATACCTTATGCAAAGCTTACTAGATGTTGATGACAATCTGAGTGATGACTTTTTATTGTTTAAGTCTTCATCGGAAAGTTCAAACAGTGATGACAGTTTCTCTAGTTTAACCATTTTAAATATATCTCTTGAAAGTGCTGTATCTGATGTCCCATTAAATTTCAATGTAGTGCATATCAATGCCCAAAGTGTCCCTACTCATTACCTTGATCTTTTAACAACTTTTTCTAACAGAAATATCCATGCAATTTTAATTTCTGAGACATTTCTCCACCCTCGCCTTCCATCTAATTCATATTGCTTACCTGGTTTCAATTTAATTTGCAACAACCGAACTTATACTTCTCATGGTGGTGTGGCTTTATAACTGTGGAGCCATATTCCTTTCTCGGTCATTTGTAGATCTGCTCAGCCCCTCCCCTCTCCTGATACAGCAGAACATCTTTTTATCGAAATTACAATTTCACACACTAAGGTGCTTCTTGGAGTTTTCTACAGTCCATCTTTGAAGATTAATTATTTTTTGTCTTTTCAGAAACTCCTAGAGGATTTTTCTCCCTCTTATGGGCACTCGATCATCATGGGTGATTTTAACACCTGCCTCCTCAAACATGTGGCTTTATAACTGTGGAGCCATATTCCTTTCTCAGTCATTTGTAGATCTGCTCAGCCCCTCCCCTCTCCTGATACAGCAGAACATCTTTTTATTGAAATTACAATTTCACACACTAAGGTGCTTCTTGGAGTTTTCTGCAGTCCATCTTTGAAGATTAATTATTTTTTGTCTTTTCAGAAACTCCTAGAGGATTTTTCTCCCTCTTATGGGCACTCGATCATCATGGGTGATTTTAACACCTGCCTCCTCAAACATGACTTCCGTTCTACAAAGCTCAAAACACTGGTTGATGCCAGTAATATGTGTATTCTACCCTTAGATGCCGCTCATAATTTTCCCTACTGTGCTCCTTCTCTTTTGGACTTGATGATTGTTTCTTCCCTGGATCATGTTGCTAAATATGGTCAGATTTCCGCAGATGCTTTTCCTTATCATGATCTTCTGTATCTATCTGAACAAAATCGTCCTCCAAAAGCTTAACCTGAAACTATCATGCTTCGTAATTTTGGCAGTATGAACATTGATCGCCTCCGAACTGATGCTCTTAAGACTGATTGGCTCGCGATCGATAATGCTCGACCTTCAATGAACAGGTTAATTTATTCACTGATTGTTTGTTACACCTTTATGACATTCATGCTCCTGTTCGTCCGCTAAAAGTCAGCCATCTTCCGGCTCCTTGGTTAACGGATGACATATGACGTTTAATAGACAAAAAAGCTTGTTCTAAAACAAAATATAAATTAAAACCTACAGACCAAAATCGGTCTAACTACCATGCTATCAGAAATCGCTGCAATACAATGTGTGCACAAAAACGCCATATACATAAGTCGGCAAATGGTGATTCTTCCAAAATTTTGAGGTTCCTAAAATCATTAGGAGTAGGTTATTCTCGCTACAATTCTGTTCCTCATCCGCCTGATTTCGACTTCGAATCTTTAAATAAGCTTTTTTCTTCTTCGTCTGCTATGAATAGCAATATTAAAAACCAAACCCTACAATATCTTTCTTCTTTACCTACTCCGGACCATCCTGCGTTTGTTTTTAGTCAAGTCACCGATTGTGATGTTAAGAGAAACATTCTTGTTGTAACTTCGAATGCCATTGGTGAAGACTGCGTAAGTCGCAATATGATATTTCCTTTACTCGATATCCTCACAGGTCATCACAAAAATTCAAATTTCAATCTCCTCTTCTATTTTTCCTGATGAATGGAAAAAGGCTCAAATTATTCTATTACCTAAAAAATCTAAACCTGTTAATATTATTGACTTCCGCCCGATTTCCATTCTTCTTGTATTTTCCAGTGTCTGGACGCCTTATTCAACAGCAGCTAAGCCATTTCCTCAACAGGCATAAGCTTTTTAACCCCTTTCAATCAGGTTTTCGTCCTGCACATAGTACCACTACTGCCCTGGTCAACATCACCGACGATTTCCGGAAAGAATGGAAAAGCAGCAGCTTAATGTGTTAACGTTACTTGATTTCAGCAACGCTTTTGGCACGGTTGATTTTGACATCCTTTTAGGTATTCTGCGTTTTCTTAACATATCTCCAACGGTGGTTGACTAGTTTCGTAGCTATTTAGAAGGTCGTCGGCAACGTATACGTGTAAAAATCCGGTTTCTACGTGGTCTTCTACGATAGCCGGTGTCCCTCAAGGCGGTGTGCTCTCTCCGTTATTGTTTTCTATTTTTAATAATTCCATCACTCGATACCTTTCTTCTCCCTATCATTTGTAAGCAGACGATCTTCACGTTTACTCCCAGAAGTGCTTTGAGCAGCTTGGTGATGCAATCAGCACTATTAATTCAGACTTGGCTCGAATTGTCCATTGGAGTAACTCTTTTGGTCTTAAACTAAATCCTTCCAAGACACAATGTATTATAATTGGAAGTCCTTTTTACATTTCTAGGATTAAAACTGATCAATAACCCCCAATTAAATTTGATAGGGTTTGTGTGCCTTATACTGATGCAGTAAAGGACCTGGGTATCATCCATTACATTACGGTATCTTGTTGTGAAGATGTTTGCTGCGTTTGGTTCCTTTAGAAGACTTCATAATTTCTTGTCTACTTCTACCAAAATTACACTTGCACATTTACTTCTTTTACCTCTTCTTGATTATGCTGATGCATGTTATCCTGACCTTCATTTATCTTGACCTTCTAAATAAACTTGAACGTCTCCAAAATCTCTCAATACGGTTTATATTTGGCTTACGTAAATATGACCATGTTTCCGAATTCCGTAAGCAACTCCAGTGGCTTCCCATCCGTCGACGTAGGGATATGCATATGTTCTCTCTTCTCTACTCGATACTATTCAACCCCATGATTCCTTCCTATCTTAAAACTCGATTTAAATTTCTCTCATCTTCTCATGATCTATCTCTTCGCTCTTCTAATAATTATCGTTTGTATACACCTCCTAATCTGTCTTAAGTTTTACAGCAATTCATTTACATTACAGGCCACCAAACTTTGGAACTCCTTACCCGAGTCAATACGATAGGCAAAGTCTTTAGACATTTTCAAGTCGCTGCTAAAATCTTTATACCTGAAGATCAATCTTCCTTTCCTTTCTTCCTCTCTTTTCTTTTTTTCTCTCTTCTTCTCTCTTTCCTGCCCCACATGTCGCACTTTGTTTGTCGCTAGTGTGCTTTCAAGCTTTGTATACCTATATGAGTTCTGTCATTTCAATGTATACTCACTTTTGTTCTATTTGTACGCGTAATTTCGATATATTAAGCTTGCATTATCTGCTGATATTTTAATTGTACTAAATTAAATTTCCGTACTTTGTTAGGTTGCCTGGCAGAAATCGCTATCAAGCGATAAATCCGCCTATTGTAAAATTCTTGTGTACGATTATCGTGTATTTGTCTCTTTTCTATTGTGCAATAAAGAATATTTATTATTATTATTTCCACAGCATTCACCACCAAAAGATTACATTGCAATTTGTCAGGCTCCCAAGGAATTTGTAAAGCATAATGTTGTGGCTGCCGGTGCTGCTGCTGACAATAAACCAGTCAATAATGCTCCACAAGCTATCATAATTGAGGTGAATACCTAATTGATAAACATCTTCTATATGGTTGGTTGTTTCTGCAACTCCACACCCATTGCCTATTTTGCATGCAACAGTGAAGACATGCAACAATAAGGATTGTAGTCTAATTGATAGATTTAAATCAACTATGAAAAATGCAATGTCTACAATAATTGACCATCATGCCATCATTGACTTCAAATGTAACACTATTTCTTAAAGTTGCAGTTATTGTAAATTTCTTAGCTTACTGTATTATTATCTAACTCGGAAGGTCATTGTAGTATTAGTAATTATAGCTATTGACCAGTTGGTTATGAGATAAAATACATGAGTAATAGATGAAACAATTTATTTAATGATTTTTATGCAGCCATCACGTGAATTGGCTGAGCAGACATGCACACAAATCACAAAATTCAAAAAATATCTTGAGAATCCCACAGTACGTGAGTTATTGGTAGTGGGAGGTGTCAATGTTAAAGACCAGATAAATCAGCTTTCTGCAGGCATTGATATTGTGGTTGGAACACCAGGACGTCTTGAAGATTTGATTCAAGGAGGTACAATTCTACCTTTCTATTCTGATCATCAAGGAAACTAATAAAAACTTTTTTTATTTTGAGTAAATAAATAGTAAGTTATGAATGATTTTGATAGTAAGTAACAATTATTCACTATAAAAAATAATTCACAACAGGCTACTTAGCGCTGACCCACTGCAGATTCTTTGTGTTGGATGAAGCAGATGGCCTACTTAAGGCAGGTTATGGTGAACTCATTGAAAGATTACACAGACAGATCCCAAAAATAACCTCAGACGGTCGTCGCTTACAGATGGTTGTTTGTTCTGCTACTCTGCATGCATTTGAAGTAAAGAAAATGGCTGTAAGTATATTTGGATATCAAATAATACACATACATTATACACCATAATTGAAAAGTTGTCCTCATATTTCATCTATGTGTCATGGGCCAATCGTTAAATCGGGCTCAAGATTTGCCAGGGAATATCACCATATACCGCCATTTTTTGATTTAGCCATCTATCATCCGCCATATCTTTCAATGCCTAAGATTTGACAATTTGCCTGACTATATTCAAGCCAATTGATTTTGTAGGGTGATCAAAGTACTATGTAAGCAGAGATGGGCAACAACCCGGGTTTTCTCCTGCCGCCCTTCTTTGTATGTAAGCAAATAAACTGAAGTTGAAATAATAATTGAGTATGTAAGAAAAAAGACTGTTTTAATTGTGTTTTTTATTATCCTTAATTGAAATACAATTAAAGTACAATCTGAAGTACATAGAATCACGTATATCTTAATTATAATATTTTCCCAGCCTAATGTCATTTACGTTTTCATCGACCTGTCAAACTCTTAACCGGCCCAATCGTGATTTTCCTGGCCAAATCAAGAAATGGCGGCATTTTGTGATATGCCCGAGTAGATCTCGATTGGCCCAATTCAATTATTGACCCACGACATAATTATGTAAGTTAAAATCAACGACAGTCTACTGTAACTATGGATTTAACATTTAGGTATAGATTGGCGATGGAATGTTTTGTATCATATTACTGTAATATATCGCATTAGATTAATCTAAAAAATAAAAGTAATAAGTACTTTCTGAAAATTCAAATAATCATGAGCAAAATATGTATTAGACTGTGGGAGAGCCACGCTTCGGCATGAATGGGCCGGCTCGACCGGAGTGATACCACGGCCTCACAGAAAACCGACGTGAAGCAACGCATGCGTTGTGTTTCGTCGTGTGAGTTAGGGTCCAACCCCTCCCTATTCCCTTCCCTCTACCCCTCAACTCTTCCCTCCAAGGCCGGCAGCGCGCTTGTAGCCCCTCTGGTGTTGCAGGTGTCCATGGGCGACGGTAATCACTTACCATCAGGTGATCCGTCTGCTCGTCTGCCCCCTATCTCATAAAAAAAAAATTAGAATATCACAAAATGAAAAAGAAGGGGAATCTATATAATTTGTTACTAAAACAAATTAACTTTCTAGGAAAAACTTATGCATTTCCCAACGTGGGTGGATTTGAAAGGTGAAGATGCAGTGCCTGAAACTGTTCATCATGTTGTGGTCATGGTAGACCCTCAAAAGGACCGTCAGTGGGAAACATTGCGCAGGTAAAATGTAAAATCTATATATTAAGGCTTACTATTGATTGATAGAACTTAACATTGCTGCAGATATTTTTTTTGTTTTCTCTATATGTGAACCAACCAATCAAGAAATCAATTAAAAACAAAAACAAAATTCATTAAAAATGATGATTTTATATTTATCAACAGGCACGTCCAGACAGATGGTGTACATGCTAAAGATAATATTCGTAGTGGCAATACCACGCCAGAGACTCTTTCTGAAGCTGTTAAGATTCTCAAAGGAGAGTATTGTATACGTGCCATCAGGGAACACAATATGGATAGGTAAATTACTTTTATTATCTGTAAAAAATTGTAAAAGACATACTTGTGCATTTCTTATTGCATTTTGTTATAAATATGTGTTAATATTAATTGAATTTTAACAAGGGCCCAATGCGGATTGGTGGGTGTTAACAACTATAGATGCAGCAAGGACCAACAGATTAACGTCCCTTATGAAGCATGGTAGAGCTCATGATCATAATTTTTGGTCACACATTCTATGACCAGCCACTGTAAAAGTTGCTTAACAATCGTAATTCAGACCGAGCACGCTAACCACTACGCCATCAAGCTCCTCTCGTGATATATAATTCTAAGATATAGTCGTGATATAAATCAAATTACTTCGTAAATAAATTAATCGTGTCAAATTACTTCCTAGGGCTATAATCTTCTGCCGCACTAAACTAGACTGTGATAACTTGGAGCGTTACTTCAAATCCTTTGGCAAGGAGTTCCCGTGCGTTTGCTTGCACGGTGACCGCAAGCCGGCTGAGCGCAAAAGCAATTTGGAGCAGTTCAAGCAAGCGAAAGTGAAATTTTTAATCTGTACCGATGTCGCTGCTAGGGGCATCGATATATCCGGATTGCCTTTCAGTGAGTTTTTCATTTTTAACTGACTTCAAAAAACAGTAGGTTCTCAATTAGACTATATATCGATATTTTCGTCAACAGGGCACAGAATTAGATGAACCCCTTTTATTAAACGCCCTTAGTTTTGTAAAATGTTTAAAAGTACCAAATTAAAATAAAGTTATATATTTTTATCTATTTGATGGTCTCGTATTAATTACTAATCCTAAATTCACACAATAATCTTTTAAATGTTCAACTAATATTAAATTTGTTTATTATTATAAGATCTTTTTTTGATAACATCACATACATGGCACAAACTTTTGTAGTTGTAAGTAGCTAAAGCTTGTTCTATGAAGTATCTAAAACAATGAAAGTACTGCAACGCCTAGGCGGGTTTGGAGTCTGGACCCGGACAATATAGAGGTAGAAAGTGCATTTTAGACAGTGACAACGGGAATCGAATCCGGACCCTTAGAGGTTGAAACCGCTCTGCTACTGAGGTTCTCTTAATATGAATGTTTTCTAGTGATCAATGTGACGCTTCCGGACGAGAAATCGAATTATGTGCACCGCATCGGTCGAGTGGGACGCGCGGAACGCATGGGTCTAGCTATCAGTCTAGTATCATCCGTGCCTGAAAAGGTAATGGAATTAGTTACTTCTACTGTTTGGTGAAAAGTATTTTAAATCTTTCATATGATGATAATATTTAAAAACTATCAGATATATTTTTCTCCAAAAGTGTTATTAATAAATTAAACCATATTTATATTCATCAGTGACGTGTTTTAGTTTATATTCATCAGTGACGTGAGTTTTCGAGCCGTGACGTCACATTTAAATAAACTTAAATATTGGTTACATTCGTAACAAAGACGTTGACGTCCAGTTTATTGAAATGTGACGTCACACAATGCTCCGTTAAGGCCCATGGCGTTTCGGTTCTTATAATCGATAAATTATAAACCGCAAGTTAGTTTTGCAAAAATATACTTATTTATTTAAAAAAGTACTACATAGTTATTGTTTACATATAAGTTACCATTTCCAACATATTTCATAATTTATTGTTATATTATGTGAAGTAATTTTGTTGGTTTCATTTCGATCTTAATATTGTGACTGGTATACTATCAGGTGTGGTACCATGGTGAATGGTGTTCTACACGCGGCCGTAACTGTTGGAACACGAATCTCATTGATGACCGACCCAAGGGTTGTTGCATGTGGTACAACGAACCTCAGGTATATACACTATTTTTAGTAAGAGGTGGGTTTAGTAGCTAGATAACTCTTGCTTTTTGGAGGTTAAATAATTGAGGTTACTATAATCGTAGGCCTATTTTTTTTTTTTCTTGTATATCTGCAACTTAGCGATCTGTGTACATACAATAAGCCAATCAGTTGGTGGAAAATTTCGGTTATGGCAATACTAGCACAAAGAACTCCTTATATTCGTTCCTTAATCAAATCTCGCAGTTAGAGTAGGGACATCATGCCGCTTCAATCTGTTGTGTGACACACTTCCTGTACCATGTAGTTTAGAAGCCAGCTCATTGACGTGAGTTGATATTCGAGTTTGGTAGGTTATAGTATGTTTTGAAATCTCCTGTCTATCTTATATTGGCAATAAGTCAGTGGCGGATTAAGAGCTGATAGCTTCCTAGACAAATGCTTTGCCGGCCCTCTGTCGAAATACGAAATAGTTCATGAATTTCTGTGTCATTTATATAATATTGAGAACTTTTTACTTTTATGTATGCAAAAATACTAGCTTACAATTCACAAAGATGAAGAACACAACAAATATAACTACGAGGAATTAAACTATATTATCTCTGAGGTCCCGGGTTCGATCCCCGGTCGGGTCAATGTAGTAAGTGAACTTTTCTATATTGTCTCGGGTTTGGGTGTTGTGATACCTTCATTGTCTTAGATACTCCATAATCTGAGCAATGTGCGTGATGTTGTTTAATATTTGAATATTAATATTTAATATTAGTGACATGACGCTCCTAGGCATGTGCCTAGCTAGCCTTATAGATAGTCCGCCGCTGGAATAAATTATGAGCCATTCCTAGTAAGTGCAGGCTCTTATACTTCTATCTAGCTTAAAAGAAAGTAGGTAAAATAAGTTAATTTTTCATGCGTTTTAAGTTTATTTGTTGGTTAGTCTTTCTGTTATAACCTGCGTTAAACCATTTTCAGTATTTGGCGGACATAGAGGACCATTTGAACATTACTATTCAACAAATTGAGCCAGACATGAAGGTTCCCAGTAACGAGTTCGATGGTAAAGTGGTCTACGGTGAGAAGAGAAAGCAAGTCGGAACTGGATATCAGGTTTGTGTCTGTTTTTTATGTAATTAGTGGTGTAGCTTTGGCTCACACTAAAGAGCTAACACCCAGTTTCTGAATTGAGTTTTTAAAGTTAAGCACGTCTCAAACTGTATTTAAACGCCGCTTAAAAAGGATTTTCGTTTCTGATTTTTAGTTTTTTAATGACTCTGAAATAAGAAGAAAAACTAAAGTTACAGTTATAATAACACGTATAGATCATTTAAAGTAGGTCTGGACAACAAATGGAGCAAACAAGTAACTTTATGGTAACCAAGAGAGGACACTAGAAGAAAGGGGCGTCCAAAAATAAGATGGAATGACGATATCCACCTAACCTTGGGACCTTATTGGACCAGAGTAGCAGAAGATAGTTTAGTGGAGAGAGCTGGAGGAGGCCTATACCAGGAGGCACACCGAATTGCGAGACATACTATAACTAAACAAACCCTGAAAAATTGTATCTTCAAAGTTGTAGCAAGTTCGGAAGAATGGGCCTTAATTTTATATTATTACTAGCTGACCCGACAGACTTCGTCCTGTCAAAAAGATTTGTAATGTGGCAGTTTTTTTGCCTACGTATTTAAAAAAATTCTCCTGAACAGAACCGTCACCCTGGTGATAGGGCGTTGTGAATAAAAAATAATTAAATAAAACATATATAAGGATTTAAAAGTAAGTAATCGCTTTATTGTTAATCATGTGAATCATAATTATTATTGCAATGTATTAATAGTAATAGTATTAAATATAGAAAAAAGAGATTTTTATGATCATAAAAACACATTACACACAACAGCATTATAAAAGTAAACTATTCGAATTAAAAAAATATATAAACATTCTCAAGGAAAAATGCTGGAAGAATCCATCTACCTGTACCCCGGAATGGGACTCGAACCCATTCGCGATCCAGGGACTGCTCTAACCAATGAGCTATCTAGGACCCAACAGCTTTGCTACTACAGAGCGTATTTTCATCAATGTTCCGGCAATACATGTCATGACGTGGAAACTGATGCATTTTATCTCGCGTGCCGAAACTAATACAAAAGAAACGCGAGTTTCGGAACGCGACATTAAACTCCTCCAACTATGTATTCTGTGCTCCAACGCACACACGCACATTGTTTTGATAGATATGATCTTTGACGTTAGGAACACACCTACATTGCTTAGACAACAGTGAGTGCTTGTAATTTAATATGAGCTTTATACCATAGCAATAAAGCTCAAATTGACTACGTTTTAGTTACAAATCATTTGTATGGGAAAAAGAAAAGGGCTATTTTTAGGGTTTTTCCAGCAATAATTCTAATTTTTCTCCGTAAAAACCATCCTTGAACTTCAACGAACATTTTAAAAAAAGATTTGGTCAAATTGGTCGAGGCGTTGTTGAGTTATGCGCTTACCAACACATTTTGCGATTCATTTTTATATATATAGATGATAGCAGTTTGATAAAAACTACGACTTTTGCCTTGTGAAAACTAAAAATCAAATTATTGAAAATAATCAATTGAGATTTTGTACTTTTCTCAATTCAGAAACCGACTGTATATCAAGTAGGACAGTTTTAAATAATTTGAATAATCGCTAGTCTGATTGACAGAACAAGACCGCAAAAATAATAATTCATTGATAATTCAATTCAAAATTGATTGTCAGGGCTTTTGTCGGCTATTTCAGGCAAACTAATACATAAAGAAAAGGGCCTTGTAGGCAAGATAACTATTTATACCAGCACAAACGATCGAACTCTCTTCAGGATTACTTATACATCTTTAAGACTTTAATATAAATCTCATGTATCATGTATAGTCGTATTGGTCGTATCTGTTACAAAAATATTTCTGTTATCTGTTAGTGATTAAAAGTAGACAGGACTTTCTGTTCTAAGCTGGCGGAGCTTTTCAACGTGTGTCTAAAATACTCCCATTTGCCATCCAACTTAATGAAAACAGTTGTGGTACCTGTTGCTAAACATAAGACGGATGACCTGGGATCAGCGAGGAACTACCGACCAATATCTCTGGGTGCAACTATTGGAAAGGTATTTGAAAAACTGCTACAGTCTGAGGTTTCGAAAAACATTGATTATGCGCAGTATTTCGACGTATTCAGCTACATTCTGATTGAAAAGTACTGTTACTTATTATGTACGACAAAAACATCTGTATTTGCATGCTTTTCAGAACTATGCTGTGCATTTGATCTAGTGAATTATGATATTCTCTGGAGTAAACTGCGCAGCACTGGTGTGCGTACAGAAGTAGTGGATATGTTCGGTTACTTCGGGGTATGTCGACGATATGGTGTTGCTAGCCCCCTCGATTAAGTCTCTGTAGGCTGGTCTCAGTCTGAGCAATATGCTGTTTCACATGGGCTGAGTTATAATGTTTCTGTGCAGAGCAGCACATAATACTTCTTGTATATCTTTTACTTTTTTATTGAACTTTTTCTTTTTGGTTTTTGACGTATTTTGTTTTTTATGAAAAATATATTGTGGGTCTGAACCGAACAACCTTTACAGTTGAATCTTTATAGTTTCAAAGACAGAGCTTATGGTTTTCAAGGCGGGGACGGGCCCGAAGAATATACCAGACCTATATTTGAATGGTGTGGCACTTCGGTTTGTGAGCGAATTTAAATATCTCGGTCACTTTCTAGCAGAGAATTGAAAGGACGACCTAGATATTGATCGTGAGAGACGAGCACTGTCAGTTCGATGTAACATGCTTGTTCGGAAGTTTGGCAAATGTGAATGTGAATATGACCTTATTTAATTCCTACTGCCAATGTTTCTATACCTGTCAGCTGTAGGTAAATTACAGTCGTGCGTCATATTCATCCATAAGAGGTGAATATATGACGCATTTCATATCCTTATGAGACAGCCACGTTACTGTACTGCGTCAAGTATGTTTACTGAAGCTCGCATAGCTGTCGCTGTTATTAGAGGGAGCATCGCTTCATTCTGGCAAAAAAATGAATAATTCCTGCAATTAAAGGAATCGTAGAGACGTTAAACAAACCTGTATACAAGCACTGGACTCCGGTGCACCGGAGCGGAAATCTTAAATAAATAAGTGAACATGAATTGATTTAAATTAGGTAGCTCAATTTATATTACATATTATTATTGAGTCTTATTTGCCTTTAATAAAACTATATTATTACTAAAGCAAATATCGTCGACATCTGTTTTAGTAGAAAAGTTGGATGATTTTTCTGTTCTATGACACACAGGACTAAAGTTAGTACTTAGTTTAAACTATTGGTTGTCTAAAGCAAATAGGGTATTCCACTCTGTTTGAAATAATACTTGTAACAATTTATTTTAATTTAAGAAATATAGTAAAATTAACATGTTTTCTTACCTTAAAATTAAATCAAAATTTAATCTTTTTTATACCCGCGAAAACGCAGTCCGTAATATCCATGCTGATATGTACACAAAATAGATGGATAGAGTAGAAGATTAAAGCATGTTAATAAAACAACGCAATGCTATCTGATGGTCGATCGAAGCTAAAAACAGCGCCATCTAAGAATTTGATTTATAATAGGCATATCTTTTTTTTATATGGACTTGTTCCGCTATACACGGAAATTTTGTCAACATCCCGTAGTGAGAGAGACACGTGACTCGAAAGACTGAACGGTAGTTATAATTAACCAAATTTTTGTTGAGATTGTTCTGTCTCTACTAAAAAAACAACACAAGAGCAAATATCACTATAACTTCAATCATTTAAATACATAAAAGGACAACACAAAAGCAAATAACACTATAACTACTATATTTAAATACATAAAAGAGGATTTTGCAACACTTATTTTTATAATAGGCATATCTTTAATCTGACAGCTGTCGCCATAGTGACGTCACACAATGGCGTGTCGTGTTTCAATTCTCATGACACATAGACAAAACATACCTACACAGACCCTATTGACAAGGATAGAAGAGAAAACGTCACATTGAGATTTAATTAGGTGGAATAGTTTATATCTGGTACTTGTCAGTTCTCGGTATATCTTTCTAAGTCTATGTTTTAACGGCTTCTTCTTCTTTTTAATTATTGGCGTTTTTAATAGCTTGAAAGCGATGCTTAAATAAATAGGTGATCTGCATGTAATCAATAGTCGACACGAATCGCGTATATTTGAATGTTCAAAAAGTGACATCTATAAATAAAGTCAATTTATATACATATTCACTTTAAGAGGTCGAAAATATATTTTAGCAGACTATGGGCTGAGTCAAAAAATATGACGTCTTATAATAAAAAAGTCACTGTTTGAAAGTTAAAGATATTACCAACAGGTTTTTTGCCTTACTTTATTTATTTTTTATTTCCAGGATCACGTTAGCCAAATGGCGCCGGTTGTACGATCACTGCAGGAACTAGAGTCGCAAGCGCAACTGTATTATCTCAAAATGCATCATAATGTTACTATAGCGTAAATTTTTGCAAACAATATTTATTACAATTATTTAAGAAACTTGAAATAAATATTTCAATGTATCAGTCTTCTTCTTTTTATTTATTGCAATTGCCCTTGTGGATTTCACCAGAATCCAGTGTTTCACTCAGTTTATTTGTTTTTAGTTTATAATTATGTTAACATCTTTATGGAAATTCATAACGTAACTCCTATGAATGAGGCCAAAGAAATGTTCTTAAATTTCTAGATTTTTCTTAATTATATAGATGAGAGCTAGCAGTGGAGACAGTGTGGCCTGCGTTCCACGTGTGGATCCCGCCTTATGGCTCAGTTACTTTACTAAAACATTGGTCGCCTGAAGCAAATTAAAAGAAGATTAGAGGAAAATGTCAGACATTATGAGACTTATTTTGATCGGATAATGGTTTAAACTTAATATTAAAGTTAGTCCCAGTTTTATAATAAGACGGCATATATTTTCATACAAACTATTCTAAAATTTCTGTCGCCTCCTTCATAATATGATTGTGAAATAATTGTGCGTTAACCATAAAAAGATATGTACACATTTGGGTAACAAAAAATACTGTAACATTTATCTGAAAATAAGATTGGTTAAAAAATTAAACAAAGCAATCAAATCATATTTTATATTTCACTCAATCACTACTTATTTATCTAGGGCAGTGCATAGCGGCCCAAATTTTTATAAATAAATTATTAAGTCTCATAACACCGCTATGTAGGAAAATAGCTGTTAGAATACTGTTGCTACAATCCAAAAGGACTTAAAACACAAATATTATAAACTGTCAGGGACAAAGTAACATTGAAATGTATAAAAATAGTTTTTGAACTACATACATTAAAAAGGGAACATCTGTTCAATATATCTGCAGCATTCCATTATCTAAAATTAAATGAGTAATTTGATTTCCGCTTCCGGTAATGAAGCAGTTTGTGTATCTGTTGTAGTTCGATCGCAAAATACAAAAATAAATTTATTTTTTACATCTAACTAAACAATTCGAAGTGCAAATCATAGATCAATAGAAACGATCACTACACATAATTCATATTTAAAGAATAAAGTCTATTATAATAATTAACGACACTATACGAAGTCAGTTGGTATGAATAGCGTTTTTATTTAAACCTACTAAAATTTTATTGTGCATTTTAGATTCATACGCATTGCAAGCAAAAGTTGATATTGCAGATTGACAATCTTATTCCTTATGTATTGAAACCAAAAAGCTAAAAAAAAGATTGTTCATATTCACGAATATTACAATTATGAACTAAATAATAATAGAAATTCGATTAGTTTCAATTAATTTTATACATAATTATAATCCCCAGTCCATTAAAAATGTTCCATTTCTCTGATATTAAAAAACCATTCCAAGACTTGATCGTTTTTAAGTTACTTAGACAAGGTTCCAGTGCATTAGCAATTTGCGGGACTTACATCTCTAATCTATTTCAAATGTTCATTAATCAAATAGCTGTAATTGCACTCATTTCGCCATAGTTGCCAATCACTGATGTGTATGAATATACAAATTACCAATCACCTGGGTATTGGCGCGGACCTTAACTTACAATGGAATTTATTTTTAAATTAACGGCCAGTTACACAAATGTCCATTAAGATTTAATGACGTTATGGTCTAATGTATATCAAATTTATATGGGTAATGTTGCTTTAAACTAATGATAATTTAAATGGACGTTTGTGAAACTAGGTGTAAGTCTTCAAAAATATTTACTAAGAGGACATTTTCAAATAGTTATTTTAAATAATTAAATTCTGTTAATAAAGGTTTTAATAAAGTAATTACATCATCATTTCGATTGCAATAAATATAAAATTTAATACATTTTAAAATAAATTCTTAGTGCATAGAAATAATATCAAATAACTACAAACGACGAAAACTATTCCATTACATTCAACTTCATAATAACAAAATGCATCTCATACAATTATAATATTTATTTGTTTTAGTTACCCTAGTTTTTGAAGTATGAAGTAACATTGCAAAGCTGCTAAAGATGTTTTTTAAAAATACCATATACATTTAATGTTAGTTTAGTGTAAAATATAAGCTTTTTTAGAAAGTGTCGATAATAGGATAGTTAAGTAGGTATTCACACAAGGCGTTATAATGATGGGGAATAGGAACTACTGAAGCTATATTATTAAACGCGTAATATACTGTTTTAGGGTTCACACCATAATATCAGAATTAATGTCACATAATACACATTTCATTATTTCTAACGGACGATTACTTAGTCTTCTTATTTTTAAGGATTAAAAAGTTGAAGTGCTACTATATTTTAAGTATCCTTAAAATGAAGAAGATCTAAAGTTATTATTTTAATCAGTAGCCTTTATTACTCGGCCCTAAAAGAAGTGTATGAATTCGTTTGTAAATATTAAAAGTTTTCATTTTGTATGTACATAAATAACATATAGTATATTAAGAAAACCAGCCAAATTAAAAACAATAGAGAAATAACCTAATAGATTAATGAACGTCTCGAGGAGGCGAGACGTATGTAAGGACCGGGCTTTGTAATGCCTGAATGCCTAACATAACGAATTGCTCATTTACACTAGTCGACGATGACTTATCTGGCTCGCTTTCATTGGTCAACCATTGTTTTTTCGTCCAAGACATGAGCCCGCCATGGTCACCCCTGAGCGGAGTCCGTCAATCAGAGTAACTAGACCAGAATTTAAGACTCGTGAAGCGCTCGAGATTTGAGAAATTGTCTCGCTCTATTCTCCAGATCATGTTACATGACCTGGTCCTCTCTGCCAAGGGATTCGGCGTGAAGATATAGAGTACACATATAGGTATATCACACAATATTATTGCCAATGAACATGGCGATATTTAATTACTTATTTTTTACCATTTTTCGATACATCGTTTTTTGCACAAGGAGAATTATTGTGACTAATAGAAAAATTATATATACTAATACATCCCCATTCACTTGATAACATTACACATAAAGTTATATTTTTAATTATGCGTCATTCATATTCGAACCTTTTATGTAACTATGTTTGCAATCTTTAGGTTTAAAGACAAATACATATTTTGTGTCAATAACTAGTTTCGAACACCTTTAATAACTAAAATATGTAATAGGTTTAATTAAATAATACGATAATTTGGTGACCACATTGTTAATTTCCATTATAACTAAACTCTGATACATGTAAAACTATTATTATTATTGTTATTATTTTCTATAAACTTTGTTGTCGAGTTACAACTTAAAACCGCATGCCTTTGATATAGTTTTAAAAAGGCATTTTAATTTTTAGCAGTTAGCATTTTCAGTGGTGTATAGATATTACGGAACCTCACGTAATATACCCCTCTCTGATGGAGAATACACAACAACAAATCCATGACATAATTCCATATTAGACTCTGGGATTCAGTCTATCACACATACGCTTATAATTTCTAAAGTCATAAACAGACTTATTACACAATAGAAATGCACGGAGATCTATGAATCGGGGTTCTATCGAATTCAATTTGCCTATCAAATGAAAGGACGTCATTTATATCCGAAGTTCACATTACAATCGTTTTGAACATGATATTCAAATATAAGATACACTTGATTACCAGTCTATATTTTTTATTTAAAATCTAACGTAATGAGAATTCCAAAATTTCAAATGTTCGGTTCGCAGTTCGTGGTTGTGGTGCCCGATTATATTTATGATAACGACATACATGCGTTTTGATTGCGGTGGGCAAAGATATGAATTATTCGAGATACGTAATAATACATTTTCAATAAGTATTAATAGATTATTGAATTTAAGTTTTATTACAAAATTAGGACACTCGAACATTTTAATTATAAAAAAAAAACACGAACAATTCTTCTAACCTCACGTAATTTATTATTATATATTCTAATAAAGAACATTAAAAACATTATACTAATCATAAATACTTAGACTATTCGAGTTGGTGTCGTAATCAGGATACCGTCATTGAAAGATTCCTCTCCTGATATTATGTAATTCAAAGACACGTCTTTTAATGTTGTTACGACAGATTACAATGCGTTTACGTCGTAATAAACGTTTTGTACCGTGTGATCAGCGTCTCTGGCTTATGAACTTCAAGTAAACGGGATATCGGGCCGTTAAAATGTTTCAGATCTGTATTCAAGAAATCGTAACAAAGGTAAAATGTCTGAGTGGTTTTAGCCCTACTTGGAGATAGAAACTGGAGAAGGAGAATAAAGGTAAATTATCTGTCTGTGTAGTCTCCCTCTGTCTATTTGTTAATAGTCGGGATCTATGACCATGGGAATGTGGTAAACGGGATGCTGTACTTAAACAATGGTCTGTTAAGAAATCAAGTAACTCGTTCGCTTCATTCTTAGGAAAATTAATCATATTAGTTAAGAAAGAGTTTAAAGGCATATGAATTGCCAGTTATAATTAGTAATAAATTGTATTAATGATATCCTGATTTCTGATATGAAACATTTCATATATAGTTCTTAATCCCATTATCTTGTACTCATTCTAACTTGGCCTCCTATAAAATTGTGGCTCAATATTGTGCTAGTTGGTGATTGCATAGAAATGTGCAGCCATCTACTTCCCTTTATTATAAGGCAATTTTAATTCTCGTCTTAAATTTTTTTTATGTTTCAAATTTCTTCGTATAATGTATACAAATCAATATTTATCTTCAACATTGTCGATAGAGTTCAATATGCTATTTACAATATTAAAAACTCATCCCTTCATAATAAACATACCCTGACAGTGTTTTCTCGGGTGTTAAAGTTGTCAAGTATCGGCATGTCGTCAGTGATCTACTAATTTATCAAAGTACCTAAATCAAGTGTTTATACAACACATCAGTTGGATACAAATTGAAAGAAATACAAATCCTTCCTTGTCATAAAATGCCCTATTTAAGTTATCACAAATGTCAAGTTACACTTTTATTACCGTATACGACACAGATACCGCCCTTCATAGATACAGGAGCTTTAATAGCTCTTCTTAAAAGGCCTCTTGGTTCACATAACAGTTCATTCAACTTTGATATAGAAGTGTCACCAAACTCCATTACTCAATAAACACTACACATTCTGATAATGTCTTTCATTAAGAACGGCATAAGGCAGTGTTTCCATTATCATCCACGCAGTCCTCATATCAAAACTAGAGTTAGGCCACTTGTCTCACTACTTAACAATACAATACACATTAGTCCTTAAAAACAACTTTGACAACAAACTTCATAACTTAATCTAAATTAATAAATAATGCTTACTAGTCCAACTGACATTTTTGGATGCATACCTGTTAACAAATAATTGAATCAAATTATTTATTTATCAAACACATTTTCAATAATTTAGATTTTTTTTTTCAATGTATGCAAACATTTATAAAATGAAATCCTCTGCGACTGAATGGCTCACATTTCAATTTTAAGTTAATTTTACTGATCAAGTTCGATTCCAGTTAAGTCAATATAAAAACTTTTGCTATAACTTCTCAAGTCATGTGTGTGTGGCACCTTCATTATTACCAATTACTCTCAATACTCACAAAATCAATAGGAAATATGCGTCTAGTTCAAAAAAAAAAAGGGTTAAATATATTTATAACGATCTTTATATAATAAAATCCATTTTTGTCTTGAAAATAATTATTAAAAAGTGCAAAAAAACAAAGTGCGTAAACTTCAAAATATTTAAACACCATGCTACTTGTCAGAGCGGTTGTGACGAAAATGTGCACGTCTAGGGATGTCGTTGTTACAAAAAGTTAACATCCATGCAATAATATCGGTGCATTATATCGCAAAATAAACAACGAATTACAATATAAATGATTTTTTGTTATTTCACCAATTTGGTAAACTATATGTTTGTCCAAAAAGCCTATCATACTTTAAAAAATCGATTAGTTGTTGATCGATTTATATAATTGAATTATAATCAATCACTCAAAATACATATTAATTTAAAATGTCATAATTCTAGTCGTGTATTTTGTCGAAACTACTCGTAGTTGTTACTTATTTTCAACAATTATAATTCTAACTAAATTTTAGTTCTTCGGTGTCGGGCATTTTTTTACATTTATATAACGATGTAAATTATCTTAAGGAAACATTTTCAAAAAATGTACAAAGCAGAAAAAGAAGCACGATGACATTAAATAGTATCTACAACTCACCCAGGTCAGAGCGCAAGCCACGGGTGGTGTTGCAGGGACTCCTTGGAACGGTCACCGTAATCGTATGTGAGCTCCTCGCCGGGCGCGATGTCATGCGCGGCGAGCAACACTAACCGCGGCCCGTCCACCCACACCGCTTTGGTGGTCAGGTTGCCGTTACGCGAATGGTTCACCAGGCGACCCAGCCGCCCGGACTCGGCTGTCGCATCAATACTGATAAACAAATATAACTCCAAGTCAAAATTGATAGCATTAATACAACTATATTCATAGTGCGTGTTATTTTTATATTATACATTCAACAGATCAATTTAATGTTACGATAATTATTAGAGCTTCAACTATAACTCTTTTAAAGCAACATTACCCATACAAATTTGACATTCATCAGAGCTTAAAGGTGTCATTAAACCTTAATCGACGTTTGTGCAACTAACCGTTTATGACACAGTTCTTGTTACTACAACACAAATTGGTAAATATATATGTCTCTATTGATTTGTAAAGTTAGTAATATTTGTTTAACATTGCACTAATAATATAGTTACTTCAAGAAGATAGTACAACGTGAAAATGCAAGTAGGTAGTCGTTTGAGTTGTAGGCAGAATTGAGGCATAGGACTTTTTCAACTGATGAAAAGAATAGGTGCAAGAAATTACGTGACACCATTTACAAAATAAAAAACCACGTCTTACAATATCAGCAATTTTGAATTGTAATTAGTACAGTATAGAGCATCTTTCGATATGTCATCTGTTACATCTGACACATTAAAATAAGCTTGTAATTAAATCTCTCTTATTTACCTACAACTCGGTGAAAAGAAATAAGATCTGAGGCCTACGACACAACCTAAGCTTTTGCATACATCAATATCATAGAACAATTAAACCCAGGTTCAAATTCATATTAAAGTGCCTCGTCCTGGTACAGTGAAACTTGACGGGTTTATATGTATATTGCTTAGGAAATAGATATTTGATTAGGAGTATTTACTCGTATTGTTTCATTCCTAACCCAGTCTGATTCTATTAATTATTTATTAAAATATTCTTGACCATTGCAAGGTTTCATGCGAACAAAAAACTCACCAATACTGCTGGTCTCCATGTCGGAAGTAATACATGTAGCAGCCGGCGTTTGGATCTTGAGCGTACAAGCGTTCCCGGTGACGCGCTTCCGCCACACCAACCAGTTCTCCTGCGTACTCTACCACGAATTGACCACGTCCAAATGGACGAGTAGCGATGATACCGCGGCCCTTTTCTTCGAAGTACGCCACCTTACAAATATATATTATTTTTATAATAGTGTTGTCTTAAGAAATCTGTAAAGATACGTATCAATAAGCTTAAACGCTGCATATATAAAAAAATGTGAATGTGAATATTGGGTCATTGCAATAAAACTTGCGATTTTTTTAATTCTTTAAATTTATGATGCAGATTTTTAAGCTAGGTTATCACAATTAAATGTAGATTACTTTTTGTACATTGCTCTTTGTCAGAGGACGCTGTCTATAACCAGCCAATCTTAAATAATAAAATAACTTAATTATGATTTAATAAAATATGAAAAGTGTATGTAATAGAAGTACAAGACATAAAAAATTGGGTAACAAAATTTCACTCACTTGAAGTCCATCTTCTCTTTGTTCTCTTACAGCTCTCTCCAAATCTCGCATTTTCTCCGCCATAACACATTTCGACGTCTTCCTAACACTGCGCCTCACCGGGAAATATTCAGTCAGCTTATGGTTAGTGTTACCATTTGCAACTTTGGTTTCTACATTCACAGTCTTGTCCAAATGAGGCGGAGTGGAAGGTCTTTCGATTTTAGGACTCTTGAGTTCTTCTTTGAAATATTCGGTCAGTTTGTGACTCTCGTTGGCTCTGGCGGCGGCGCGCGCCGCTCTCGAGCGGACTATGTGACCGTTAGTCATATTATCGATACCGTTACTAGTCTTCAGTGGTTTAGATCTTAGTTCAATCTTCTTTGATGGCGGTTCTGTCTTCAAAACATTTTCAGTCTTCGGTTGCGTTGCAGCTATAATCCTTGACAAGAAATCAATAAAACTGTGTGATCACTATGAGCTTGTTAACATTACACAATGAAATCTATATTAATGTGAAAGCAATGAAGTAGCTATACTGCATCGTTAGTTAATGACCCCAAAGCAGGGGTCGGCAACCTTGTGAGATGGAAAAACAATAACAAAAATTTACAAAATTTCAGTTTTAAAGAGCCACTAATATTTATTTGCATTATATTGTGTCATATAATTTTTGAAATTTAATTTAAATTAAACCACTTTATTATATCTCCATCGTATTACAGTAGTCGACTATGGACTTGATTCATAATTTAAATGGTTTAGACAGTAAAATAACTATTTTTGTAAATGAATATTGAGCATCGCCAACTTACATCGAAAGACCCACTTGCGGCTCACGAGCCGCAGGTTGCCGAACCCTGCCTTAAGGTCATTATGGTTTCAAGTTCATTAAATAACAAAGAAGATATAATAAATAATAGAATAAATATAAATGATTGTATAATTATCGAATCATTTATATTAGTAGTTTCAAAATAGATAATGACAAAATCAATTAACCTAGTAATTAGTGGAGCATATTTTTTGAAACATTCATTCAGATTTACCATCATATTTATTATCTTAGTAAGGGTTTGTTTAAAACAATATAGGCTTTAGGAGTGGTCGTAATTTTTAAAGAATAATTAGGAAGGAGCATAAAGCAATAAGAATACCTCTGCCCAACTCACTGCGTCCAGCAATAATAAAGGTCAGAGGATGGAGAGTTATGTTGTGTGGAAAATGGTTTTCAATTTTAAATTTATTTAATTGCGAACAGACTTAATGCTAATAGCGTTCTCTCCCAGTCAACCTTTGGAAGAAAAACAAAAGCCAGAGCAGTAGAGCAACAAGTGTAAGAAAATTAAAAATAACTTGTTCATGGTGATAATCATACATAAACCAATAAACCATGTATTACAAAATATAACATACAATGTTAATTTACTTATTTTAACTCCTAAATATAGAAAAGTGTGAATTTTAGGGATAACATTGTGATTTTTTTGAACTAGCAAAAATAGTGTTATTAACAATAAATAGATATTGCCATACAGATAAACAATTCATTTCATTGAAATAGAAAGTTGAGTGTTGCATTAAACAGATTAAGTTTAAAACCAAATTTCCGTATTTTTAACTGAACTATGCATGAGATAAAATAAAGACAACCTAAAACCTTATTTTTTCTTTAAAATAATAACAGAAAAACTTTGGATGAGGTCCTGACTCTTTGCAGTGTATGGTTTTCTTAAGCCAATGAAGAAGCTCTTTCAGCATAATTGTGACTGTAAAGAGTTGTAAGGTCTTTTTTTAAATTTAAGTATACAAAACCTATCAGAAGTTAAGGCTTGGATAGGGATATAAAATACCTAAAGCGAGTCAGTTACCTGCGCTTTCTATAGTTGCGCGTAGGTCTGACAGGCTGCTCCTCGCATAATTCAATGCGATGTGGAGTCTTCACTCCCTCTTGTCCCGCCATCAATGTATTGGCTGAAATATATAGCCCAAATTATGCTTTAGAGGAGAAAGAAATTAATAATGTTGTAAGGTAAACCAATCAATAAACAATCTAATTTCTGTTTAATTGATAAACACTACATACCCTATAACAGTGTTTTTCAACCTGTGGTTCGCGACCCCCCGGGGGGTCGCGAAGCTTCTGTAGGGGAGTCGCCATAGGTCGAGAGAGCTTCAGTAAAAAACAATAAAAATTAAAAAAATAGATTTATTAAGTAATAGAATTTTAACAAAAGGATATACCTACTCATAAATATTTGTATGTTAATACAAAAAAAAAATTAACAAAAATAATATTCTAAGACTAATGTGAAGGTTGTGTCTTGTTAATGCATATGGAATGAATATTTGTGATACTGTAAGTAACCGTTACAGTCTAACATACACTAAATAAATTATAAAAAAAGGAAAGGTCGAGGGTCACGAAATATTTTTCATACCTGGGGGGGGTTGCATCATGAAAAAGGTTGAAAAACACTGCCCTATAATAAACTCATTCATATATTGTTAAAAGTATTATAATATATTGGTAAATATTTATAAATTACACATAATAGATTATATTAATATAGTGGAAAATAGTGAAGAATGAAAATTATAATATTATTGTGATCCAAAAATATGTATATTTATAACCTTCACCATATAAGCCTATTATAACACATGTTATAAACTTAAGAGCAAATACTTATATAGTAGATAAAACTACCTGCACTAGTTTCAATGTCTGAAGTTACACATTATTTTATAAAGGTGCATGTTTAAATTTCAAAAATTAAATGAAACAACTATATAGATCAATTTAGAAAAAATGCTAAGACAGAGGGTATAGTGAACAAAGGATGTTCATACAAATTTCAAAGCAGTAGGTACTAAAGCATTATGTATAGTTATGTAAAAAGTACTAACCTCGAACCATTTCAACACGAATTTACAAAAATGGGGGAACACTAAACACCATCGATGTAATGTAGCCAGCAGCTAACTAAATGTTAATTGAATAATGGTAAGCTTCTGTTACCAATGTTTAGTAACAGACCTTGTCATATTAGAAGGAATATATCATGAAATAATATCGTGTGATTTCATCCATTCGATGTCAAGAGAGATGCATTTTGCAGATATTATTATTTTTTAGTTACAAATGCAATGTTACAATCGTTACTATACATATATAATTAGAATAACGATTTAAATTCCACATAACGTATGGTCTAACATGCAACAACAAAACGTCAAGTAAGATTGATTAGCGACTTAAATAGAAAATGGACGCTTGTTTTGCTTTTGTGAACTTTCTTCCCATTGGATTACCGGGAATAGAAACGGCCAATGTTCGTAAAATGATGTGATTTTATCCAATAGCAGCAAGGTAAAGTCACAGAATATTTTTGAGAACAAGTTTATAGACTCTCTATTAGTGAGGCTATTTAAAAATAAAAATTAGTTTTTAAAATAAAACTAGATGTCACTAGCGAGTATCGGATAATTGTCTTTGATATTATTTTTTATTTAAATTATATCTAAGTCTGTGATTATACTATTGCTTCTAATCTTGCATGTCGACGGCGTACGTCGAGCCATGTGTTAAGTTAATTCGTGCGGTGGGTATGTGCTTTTTGGTTCTTACATCAATATTGTTAATAATAGATTGACTTCCTACACAACCTACTTTAGAAATCAGTTTTATTGAAATATATTATTTACTAAGTACCTAGAGTAGTCATGCTCTCTTAAAATCTCTGCGGTGGTGTTGTGTGCGTTAGATTGTTACGTCCCTCAAATATAGTATAGTTGAGTTATATAGTTGAAATTAAAAAAGCAGCCCTTGCTGAATTTCTTGCCGATTCTTGTCAGTACAAGATCTCCCGTCTTAGTTTTGCGAACCATTGGCAAAGTTTTCGACTTTTACAAGTACTATGTAACAGCCTAGACTGAATTGATTTTGATATTTATATTAATATCATTCATTTTGTGGATACATAATTAATGACGCATTAAAATACAAGCTGAATTCTACACTCCGCTTTTTGTTCTTCATTTCAAACCTGAATTCGGATGAAAGTTACGAGCAACCAATAAGTTGGCTCATCATAATGTTGACGTATCAACCAAACATCGTTCCTTTACACGTAACATAATAAAGAACTTAAACTTACAATTTAAATTAATTAAAATTAATTTGAAAGTTAGATATTATAAGAAACACAAAATGATGTCATATTTATTAATTTTCGTTACTCAATTTACTTTTATTACGTCAGAAACAAAATTTGAATGAATATCATAAACAAAATTCAAACATCGCAATTGACATCTAGTATGATTTCAAGAACTAATTTTTATTTTTTAAATACTTCCTCATTGACATTTAGATCCTACCATTTGTGCTGCCATCTAGTGAAATATTTTTTTGTAGTTTATTTATTTTTTTAAATACTTCCTCATTATACGTTAGTAAGTTATTAGTATTTTTATGTTATTTAGAGAAATAATACTTTCATTGTGTTTGTTTAAGACATTTTTAATATACATTTTTTTATATGAAGCCGAGCTAAACCTACTATCCAATTATTGTCTTATGTCACTGTGCCATCGAAGTTTCTGGTATCAACAAATTTATTAAAAAAATAAAGTAGATGTGTAAAAGCATTTTCTATTTAAATATTTAAGAAAATTGGTGAACTGTGAAAAATAAAATTCACCACCGCAATGACGGAAAAAATCACTCTGAAAACCCACAAACGAATTTGTATAATTTCTGTCTTTACACGTAAACGTCTATCTTTAAATGTACTTTTATGTGCACTGTATGAAACCGATACGCTTCTGGCGCATATGATATATTAATGGCAAATCTACTGAATATAAGCTGGATGTGCTAATTCCCTTTGCAATTATTTATAAAAACAACAATATATTTATGTATGACAGTATAGCGATAGCGGGAATTTTTGCGAGGTGGTAATGAGTAAAATATAAATTCTGTTGTTTGTGCGAGTATTAACTTAATATGATTTCTAAAAGAGTAAGTTATATATGCGATGATAATTTGATTAATCAGTGTAATCGTTTACCTGCTGTGGCTGGGAGAGTGAGTAAACACAGTTATTTTGAAACTTATAAATATTTCTCAAAACATTGTAAATTAACTATTAAATAAACAATTCTAGGCTTCAATGGTACATAAGTTGATTGATTCTTATGGCCTTACAAAATCTTTAAAGATTGTGCGACCCACATTTGCTTCATATCATGATCTACGAAAGTTTCATTCCGAATTATATGTAGATTACTTAAAATCCATTAAAGAAATTGATGATGATTACATGGCTAATGCTGAAGATGAAGAACATGGCATCGGTAATACTCACTAAGAACTTACTTTTAAAAATTTATTCTAGTCATAAAAACGAATATAAAAAACAGTTAGCTTACATTTGTTGTACATTTGTATTTTATCTATTAAATTATTAGTTGTTTTGTAAATACAGACTGTTTTAATTCAGAATAATCAAAATATACTATTTAGTTGCATTAATTTATTTTTAGGATATGATTGTCCACCAGTTTCAAATATGTTTGATCTAGTAAGCACAATTGCTGGAGCATCCATAACAGCAGCTAGATGTCTAGTGTTTGGTATTGCTGATGTTGCTATTAATTGGTGTGGAGGTTGGCATCATGCACAAAGGTTACACTGAAATGTTCTTCAAATCCTATTTCTATTATATAATACATTTTAATGCCAGTGTTATATTTACTATAGCAATGAAAATTTACTTTAGTTATTTGCTTTAGTATGACTTTCATCATTTCCAGGTTTGCGGCAGATGGATTTTGTTACATCAATGATATTGTCCTGGCTATAGAAACTTTGCAGCAAAAATTTCATAATATACTGTATATAGATTTAGACATACATCATGGTAACTCCTTATAATTGTATATATTTATATTATATTTACAACTATTCTGTCACAGAAATTGTTGTAATTTTGCATGATTAATGAACTCAATATACTTGTTTTCTAATTTATCTTAGAATGGTGGTCAGTGGCGGACTAACCTCATCAGAAGCCTGGGGTGTCAATAGGCCTGAATCAATGTCTTATTATAAATTAATTGAATTATATTATTATGATTTTGGTAGATGGCTGCAGCCATTTGAAGGCCACCCAGGACCAAAGCCCGGGTGTGCTTCCCCTCCTTAGTCCACCACTGCTGGTAATCCTGACAGTTATGAACATCTGTGTCATGAGATATTTCCACAACATTTATTCATACAGTTCCTTTTAAAAAATAGACAGTGTTGAATATTTATTTCTTATTTAAAAATTTCTCAAATCATATATTTCCAGGAAATGGTGTTCAAGATGCTTACAACTTGAGCAAATCAGTTTTTACTTTGTCATTCCACAAATATGAGCCAGGTTTTTATCCAGGAACTGGTGGTTTAGATGATATAGGTCTTCTGAGTGGGAAAGGCTACAGTTGTAATTTTCCATTACATGCATGGTACTCTGATGAAACAATTGATTATGCTTTTGGACAGTATGTATTATGATTTTCTCCCATTAGTCATTCTCATAAATGAGGCAATATACACAGTATCAAATCAGGTTAATACAATAAGTCAAAATTTCACTATCAATTTAGAATTTGCAGTTTAAAATATAGTGGATATATATTTTGTTAAGTATTCAGAGAGATTACTAACAGTCAAATATTCTGTATACTTAATATGCATGAATTTCAGAATATTCCCAGATGTGTTTAAAAAATTTAAACCGGATGCTATAGTTGTGCAATGTGGAGCAGATGCTCTTGCACATGATCCTCAAGGCGGTGCAAAGCTTACGACACATGGTTATCACTCCTGCCTCACAAAAATTATAGATATGGATAAACCTGTGTTAGTCCTTGGTGGGGGTGAGTTCCTCAAGAGGATAGTTCAATGTTATCAAATTAGATTTTTTGTGTATTTTCTTGCCATTGCTTATTGTAGCCTCTTAAATGCATGATGACAGAGTGGTACAACTCACCATCATTTAAATTACACTAGTAATAATTTCTACTGTGACTACAGTGTTAATGCTTACTCACTCTGCAGTGATGCAAACTAAAATTGGTCCAAACATTCCTAAGGATAATCTTTATAATATGTATAATGAAGTGCTTCTTTCCATTTTATAATTGTTTTACTTTTTTATGGCATTACAGGAGGGTACAAGTTCCCCAATGCTGCTCGCTTGTGGACATCATTAACTGCTTTGTTATTAGGAGTGTCTTTAGATGAAAACATACCAGAACATGATTATTGGACTCAATATGGACCTGATTATACACTAGTTGTGGAACCTATGTTAACTAAGGATACTAATAAGAAAGATTATTTAGATCAGTGTATTAATATAATAAAAGGTAAATTTAATTTTACATTAGTATGAAATAAGTTATATATTTGTATATACATGTATTTTTCTTTCAATTACATTTTATGATAGGCTGTAGATATAGCCTGAGACTTTATATGACATGGTCTTTATATAATTGTTCACAGAAAACTTGAATTACATAAATATTAAGCCACTAGAAGCACCAACATTAAAAGAAAAGAAGAATGACCTAGAAAGTTGTGATAAGAAAGCTCAAACAGATAGTATTTTTAAAAGATTTAAAAGCAACTTAACAAAGAATCAAAACAATGATATGACGCAGTTAGATGTATATGAATTTCTTGAATAAATTGATATAAGTGAGAACATTGATCTTTCCATTGAAATTCACATTCATTTTTAACAAAGTATGTTTTGTCAGAGATAGGACTCCTGTAAGTAAGACTGAAAGCAAAAGGAAATGTCATAGATATAAGTAAAACTTCAAATAATTTGGAAAAAAAATGTATTTTAAAGTTTTATCACTGAATTGTTCAGCATGCTGTAAGTTACCATGTAACGTGACTTAAACAGATAATAAATAATAATACTCAGGCATATTGACATATGTACATACAGATTCTGAAAGTATGTATTGGCTACTTTAAATGAATATATTCTTTATCCATTAGAAGATTTAACCATCCATAATATATATCTTTTCCATTCTGCCTGATCATTCATTCATAATAAGGTGACTATTCTTTCAAACACCAAATAATAAGAGAATATGATTTTCTTACCGAAAAAAGAATTCCTAAATATGTTTTTATCAGATTAAGTCCATAATTATTGACAATTATTAAACTGTATGTAAATAAGCATGAATAATTTCAAAGCATTCCTAAACCTTCTCCAATTTTCATTAAGTTTCCTAATTTAGTCTTAAGAGTGCCCAGTTTCTGTAAGCAAAATAGTGATAATGACAAGCAATAGCTGACATAAGTGTAAGATATAATTAACCTGGATATACAGCAATGATTTAGGAATCCCGAGTTCTTAAAACTAGGATATAAAATAACCATTTATTGGTAAATCTTACTTAATACTAAATGCCAAAAAAGGTATATTTTAATGAAACCCTGTAAGTAATATTATGATCTTAATTAACACCAAGCCTTTTTTAAGAAAAGTTGAATACATCGCTGTAAACCCATGCCAATTGAAACATCCACATAATAGTTAATTTAGTCTGAGGGTCGCTTTTCACTGTGTTTTTTAGTAAATTCTTCTGCATTTTTCATAAACTTCTTTCTATCCTTCAGGAACTCTTCAGCAAGTTCTGCACGCAATGGGTGTTCTGGTTCTGGATCATTCACAAGAGCTACCAGTGCTTGGATCACTGAAATTAATCAAAATAATATTTAATAAATCATCATTTAGGATTCTAAAACATTTAGGAAACAAAATATGTAACTTTAATTTGGTAGTTATTAGCTGTGACTGTTTTTTAATTTAGGGTAAATTAAGTTTCTATATTTACTAACCTTGGTCAGTCTTGGTAGCAGGCTTCCAGTTTTCTGCACTGATGATTGGTAAACACACTTGACCCTTCTCATCAATATTAGGATGGTATATTTTGGTTTTAAAACTAATTTTAGGTGGCTTGAATGGATATTCTGCTGGAAAGTTTATCTCAATACGAAATGCACCCTTGTTATATGGAGGATTGTCCTAAAAATAAATTATGAAATTCAATGTTTTATGTTTATTTAAGTAGATTTATGTTGGTCTCATTATTGTTAGTTTACTCACAGGAACAATTAGTCCTTGCCATGTAAGGATGTTAGATTCATCCACTTGGATATCCCTGAAGGATTTTAGTCCCGATTGTCTGATGTCATTTAGTTCCTGTAAAGAAGATATTTATTATAATAATGTCAATCATATATCCCTTAAAAAAATCTACAAAAAAATAATATTATATTAATAATATACTTTGAATGACTCATATATCATAGTGGTTTGAAAATTGGAATAAAAATTGTCATATAATTATTTCAAGCAATAATAAAGTAAAAACTGATGCCATTGAAATACCACGCCCGAGTCTAATTTATTTTCTGTAATAGGCTCTGGCTGAAGAGTAAAAAATTTTTGAGATTCGAAATGCATTTGAAGAGATTATTTACTATCATTCAGTTTCCAGTGTAAAAATAATAAAAGCATTAGAAACTTAAAGCTACATTGATTTCATTATAGTGATTAACGGGAGACTATTATCAAAAACGATATCTCACCTTTTGAAGTCTCCTGGTTGCAGCCATTGTACCTATGTATTTAATTCTGTTAAAACAGTCCAAAATATTGAATGTGATTCTTTCAAATGTTATTTATTTCTTTACCCGCATCAACAACATAATTATGCTGCTCAAATATAAATAAAAATCTACAAGATTTCGAAATACGTACTGCGACTAGCAAAACCGATGACTACACGACCACCATTTAATACTTCGTTACGTTTTACGCACGCAACTATTTTATTTTGACATGGCTTAAAATTTTACTTGCCACTCTTTTGATGTGCTATTCATGAAAATATTTCATCGATTAAAACAAAAATACAGTAAAGTTTAGAGAGACAAAAGCAACGACCGTTTTATTACAAACAAAAGAAATTAAGATTTTCCTGAGCTTTCTTCTTATCGGGAATACAAACTACATATATATTTTATTACTCTTTGCTACATATCATCGAGAAAAGAGGAAGTATTTAATAAAAGCACTAAAGGCTTTTTGGTGCTTTCTTTTTTTTTAATATTTCCTCATTATTTGTCGCCTGAGAATGAGGAAGTATTTTAGGAAAAAAAGAAAGCACTAAAAAAGCACCTCCCTTAATGGCGACTCTAGCAAAGTTGATTTTGCAGGAAACGAATGGACCAAAGATAGTAATTTCCGTTTGACTAACATATTAAAAAACTAATATTTGCAAAGTTCGAAACTTAGATATCAATACAAATACGAAAAAGTACAAATAGAATATAAATTGTTTATTAAGTTTTGAAAACTAAGTTACTTTTATATATGAAAGTAAAGCTAATGGGTTGTCATGGAGAATTAGAGAAAGTACCGTAGCGACATTTAGTTCAATTTCGGGAACTAATGTTTTTTTAAAATACTTCCTAATGAGGAAGTATTAAAAAAAAAACAAAAGCACTCAAAAAGTACCTCCACTAGATGGCGACTCTAGCAAAAGTTGATTTTTGCAGGAAACGAATGGACCAAAGACAGTCATTTCCGTTCCGTTTAACTAAGATATTAAAAAACTGAAATTTGCAAAGTTCGAAACTTAGATATCAATGCAAATACGAAAAAGTACAAATAATATATAAGTTGTTTATTGAGTTTTGAAAACTAGTATACTTTAAACATGGAAGAAAACCGGAAGGGTTGTCATGGAGAAATCAAGAACGTACCGTAGCGACATCTAGTTTAATTTCGGGAACTAATGTTTTTTATAAAATACTTCCTCATTTTGATTTCATTTTAAGACATGAAAACGTATTTATTTATATGAAATATTTGTTTTATGGCTTTTTTCCGCGTTTTTTTTTTTATAATTTGAATAAAAATTTACCCTAAATTAAAAAACAGTGAAAAGCTACCCTCATTAGAACGTGTTTCATTGATATATTTTTTGCTCCATACAAAAAAGGCAAAAGAGCTTCGCACCACACAGCTTAGACAGGGAGTTTCTTGTAAATATATTTTTTACATTTCATAGTGCTGAAACACAGGGGCATGCTCAATGCCGCTAGCATTGACTTAAAGGGTGCATGCGACGGGTTTGCATTTCACGTTTTGTAATATAACCAAATTATACTTACTGTTTATTACCGTATATGTATATTATTTTATTTTAATAAATAGCGTGGCGTTGCCAGACTGACGTCGGACTAGCAGCGCCACAAGCTGCCACACAAAATCATCAAATCCAAGAGCTGCATTTAATACTTTTCTTTAGAAATGAAACCAACTTTACTTATGTTAGTGATGTTATTTATTACAAAGGATCCAATTTATTGTAATTGTTGCAATCCTTTTCATTCTTATATTATTTATATAATACGGTCATGTTGTTAAAAATCATTTGATAACTACAACTTTAGGATTTATAAGTTGTCAGAATCTACAAAATAGACAATTTGACAGAAAATCATTGTATTACATTATGCAAGCTGTACTTACGAAACTATCTCAAGATTTCTTTTTATAATTATTACTTTTCCATTTTAAATCATACACTCGTATCCAAGCTAAGGGGCATATAATAATTCGCATTTCTTCCTTGTATATACAAATAATAATTAAAATTTAGATGGTAACAGTGCAAATAAAGAAAAAAACAAGGCAATAGTAAAAAAGAAAATGTACGTTACCATAGGATTGCATTAACCTAAGAGTGGTTGACTACATTCAACCAAATTATTGAATGTAAAAATGATAATTATTTTGTTGTTTGATTATTCAATCGTTTTATTAATGGCTGTTTTGGAAGAATTTTTACTGAAATGAACATGAAAAGAATTAAGAAGAAAAATATCCATTGGCGTTTAATTACAAAACGGTAAATAAAGTACACAACTGATGATGAAGACAGGTAGCGGTTTGAGGTGTAAAACACAACTAATATGGCTTGCCGATGTACTTGCACAAAGGTTAAATTTTGGAAACTTTGCAAATCCTGACCGATCTGAATTATTCAAGTAACGCACCATCCATCAAGCGACTCGAGGCGGAAGCATAGTTCGGTGTATTTTACACCTTATAATTAAAAAAATACTGATTATAAATTTTGATAATACATTTAGTCATTATTGTCGAAACGAAGATTCACGACACGCCAAATTAGTTGGGTTATACAATATGTTACACCTTAAATAGAATATGCTCAGGTGATTTTTGTAATCTAATCGTCGTGGCTGCGCTCGTCATCTCGGCGACGGTTACGCGTGCGCCTGTTCCAGCCCTCGCGACGTTGTTCCCTCTGCCGACCTTCACCTCGGCCCGCGCCCCCACGCTGGAAGAACGAGCCCTGCTTCTCGAATATTCTCTCATTGGAGTCCACTAGGTTGCCGACCTGTATAATATATTTAAAGCGTGACTATGTATTATTTGAATCAAATCATCAGAAAGAATCAAACTGGTTGCGTAGACTTTTACTAGCAGATATAATCGATAATCAAGGTCATATATAATTTAGCTACCTTAATACAAAATCTGTTGCATCATAAATTACAGAATAAATGCATTTCCTTGATGTCGTATTAGCATTTCGAAAATAGATGAAAAGTTATTTTCGGAGAATTTGCATAGGCTTTCAGGTGTCATGTTAATTTTGTACGAGTAGCACATCACACAACATACTTTGTCAGCGAGCTGTAGAGCCAACGCCTGCATGCGCGTCGGTTCGGATCGATGCAAGATTGCACATTCGCTGGGATCATCGAGCGACGCGAGCAGTTCCTCGTTGATGATCATCTTGGACACGAGTGAGTGTACACGTTGGCGAGGCAGCTCGAACATATCGGCGAGAGATTTGAGTGATAACGACGCGTACACATGAGCGTATGTGAATAAGTAAGTGCGAAGTGACTCCTCTCGGATGAGACGACCGAGCATGGCGCGCACATTGTCTGCGCCAACCATAAGGTCCCACACCTGTAGGTTTATTAAAAAAGCATATTATAACACGAAAAAATGGTTAATATACGATAAAATTTCTTACTTCACTTTGGAAATGATTTGTATGAATTTAGGTATACAGGTTTATTTATAAAACAACAACAACCTCATAGGTGGGGACATAGTTTAGGTTTTCCGATTATGTATCCGTCCTAAAGTCAAGTTACCTTGTACGGCGACCTTGTACTGAGAAGTATCTCAGCAATGGCTGCATTTTGCGCTCTACTTTATTTCATACAGGGATGTAGAATTAAATAGTTCCTTAGGCTATAGTCAGTTTGGATTACAATAAACAATTAACACAAATACATATTATCTCTAATTTATATATTTTAATCAATCTACACACCAATCCACATTGGGACAGTGTGGAGGGCCACAGCCCATCCTCCTAACTATCCATAATAAGGAAAGCGTGAGCTCCTGCCATTTAAAGCTTACCTTAGCATTCATTTTCTCATTGACAATAAAATTGAGGCAAGCACGCCAGTCTCCGCGTCGCATAGCCCTAGCGGCGGCGACTGCATGCTCCCTCATAGATTCTGGTGGGCCGACCAAAGCCTGTCTCTCACTAGCACGCAAGTTTTGGTAGAAAGTTTTGCTGATCATGCGACGCCTGGCATCAAACTCATGGGCGGCCATGTAAGGTATCTCAATCAACATCGCCGACACAAGATACACGCACTCTAGCAACTCCAAATTTATATGCATATGGAATGGCATTTGCCGCTGTTTCTCTATCTTCTCCTGTTCTTTTGAACGTTCGTGCTGTCTCTGAGGTAGTAAACCTTGTGCCAACAATTCTTTTGGCTTTCCGGTCATCATTAACTCAGCTAAACAACCGTGTGCCTCTTTAACGTTACCGCGACGAAACGCACATAGACCTAGGTTTGCCATTGTGCGATTGTACAATATCTGTGTGCTTGGGTCAGAATGTTGCACATTTTCTTGGAGATGAGACATCAGTAAAAGGTCTCGCGCTTGGAACCAATTGTCGTGCAGAGCGTGGTGGTAAATATGAGATAATATAGCGCGAGTTCTCAAACGATCAGTGTCGTCATTAGCGTATATAAACTTGCAGAGACGCTCCATTTTCTTGATGGTGGTTTCTTCACCAGGCGGTAAATCTTTCCTGACAGCACGTGGGTCAAATTTATAATACAAATGGTCGATCTTGCGAAGGTAAGCTCTACAGATTTCTTGTGGTGTCCCATCGCGTTCGACGACTTGACACACGCGATCGATCAGAGCAGATACCCTCACTTCATCTTTCAACCTCTCAACATATTCATTTGAGTGAGGATCACACTCTTTCAGAAGTTTGGTGAATTCGTCGTCGAGTCTCTCTAAAGCTGTCAATAAGCAACCACGCACCTTGAAGGGTGCGGTGACTAGTTGTTCATTTTCTTCAAGAACAGACTGACTCAAGATCATGTCTTCATGGGCTAGAAGTAAAGTGACCATATGATCAACATTTTCTACAAGTCGTGACCAATATTCTGGTTTCATTGCATCTGATACTTTAGGGTTGTAATCAAAGAGTGCAGCAACTGAAGCAGCGCGAAGTTTCAGCTGAAGAGCATCGCCAAGATTGTGCTGTTGAGCGACAGTTCTTAGCTCATGCAATAGTTCAAGTTGTGCTCGACGATCAGTACGTTTACGGCCGCGGGCAGCACTGATTTCACCCAACTTCTTCACAACCAGAGGCACATCAATGTCACTATCCTGATGAAGTATAAAATGTTAATATTACATCATGTTAATACTTCAACTTTGTTTATGTTTATAAAATTTCAATCTTTTAGAAAGGGGTAGGCAAAATGGTTTTGTAAGAATATTTTATCATAGGTTATTTATACAGGCTAATCAAATAAATGTTTTACATGGCGGAGGGATTAGAAATTTTGACGTATTATTAACACAATTTGGCTAATTGCAGCTATTGATACTTGTTTTTTGTAAAATTATAAAGCATCAATAAATTATTATATATTTTAAAAATTTAAAATAATAAGTTACCCTATACATAATTTTGATGAACTGTATACTCTTTGAAACATCACGTTTTTTTTAACTGACTTTTTTTTAATTCACACATTCCCTTCCTTCTTATTTATTAATACGAGTTTTGTAACAAATAATAGTGTATGCTTAATATACCAATAACTGTTACAATTAACTAAACATAAGCATTGTTTGTAGTAAATTCTGGGTACTACCTATTTGTCTTTAATATAAAATATCATGTTACTTTATTGTAATGACTGTATCAAAATAAAGAGAGAAAAAAAATAGGAATGCATGTATACCTTGGCAAACATTTTAGGCTTATCTGAGGTGGCTGCTCCTTTAGTAACAGTTTCCCATTCACCTCCATCGTCGGCTTGGTCTTTTTTGCTTATCTTACCAGCTCTACCTTGTCTTTCTTCACGTCTCTTAGTCCTACGTCTATCTCTCTCTTCATCCTCTTCCCTCTCAGTGATTTTTTTAAGAAACCGCTCTCGGATTGTCGTAGCACCCCTTTCTTCATAGTCAGAATCAGAACTGGACTCTGAGGAACTTGAGCCCCAGTCCATAGTATCTGAAGAATCCTCATCTTGCGGAGGTGCACGCCTGCGCATCTCTGGTGACCGCCGGGCGCGAGGTTTCTCCTTGGGCTTGTCTTCGTCATCAGATTCATCAGATGATGAAGTATCTGAAACAAATACAAATTTACATTGCCTAAAACCATTTGTTCAAAAATTGAGATGATGCCGTCATCATCTCAATTTTAAGAAAGCCAGGGAAATCAGTGAGATAGTAACAAATATTTGTAAAAAGATCAATTAAATTGTGGAAGTAAGAGATGTGTGAAGTCATTTATGTAAGTGACCATTTTCTGTAAATTTAAAAGTCTCTACCTATCCTACAAGAGATCTGTATAACTACACATACATCATGTTTCTGTTTTCATTACACAACTACTTGGTTTGCAGTATTCACAATTAATTAATTAATACAATAAACTCAGCTTCAAATGTCAAAATGAGGCCCTGACCCTTGATATGGCAGGTAATAAACCAAAACACATTAAACATGTAGATATGCAGTAGAGACAAAAATGAAAATAAGACAAAACATCTATGTGAATATAAAATTGACTTTCAGTTTATGAAATTGTATATAACTTTTATACACTGACTACAATTTATACTTAAACATGTGACATTGATGTATTGATCAGGATGTCCCCTGACATAGGCCAATGAAATGAAAACATAATATTCATTTATTCAGTCTAGGCTGGTAATAAGCACTTGTAACATCTAATCTTTGATTGTAAAAAGACATAAGTAGTGTATGGAAAGTATTTTAAATAAATTGTACTTGTATCTACAGTCTTTTAAGATAAGTTTTCACAGCCAATAAAGTTAATAAATAAAGAAAAAGCATGTAAATCAATGAAATACGAAATATATTGGACATACCTTTACGCTCGTCATCATCATCAGGTAGATCTGGGTCTTCACGGAATTTTGATATCTCAGCTTCAAAGTCTTTTGTGTATTTCCTTAGCTTTTGGCGAAGAGATGTTAGGGCTTTGCTGTTACCCTTTGAGAGAGCCTTTCTGGCATCCCTGTCAGCCCAAGCTCCAGCTACCCAGTCATCTAATTCAACTAGAGCTCTGATAAAAAACCTAGGAGCAATTCCATTCTCTTCCTTTTGAACGACAGGTGCCGCTCTAGTATAAGCCCTCTGTAATTCTTCAAATGATGCAAGAGCTGATGAAAAATCTTTAATCTTGCGATGGTTACGTATGGAGTGGATGATACCTTCCAGTTCCTCATATCTCTTCTCTTTCATTGAACGCACCACCCGTTTCGTTTCCTCTTCATCATCGCTAAACTAAATAAAAGTTCGACATTTAATTACGTAAAATGTTATAGCCCCACATATCATTGGAAGTTAAACAATATTTACCTGTAATAATCATTTATTCAGACTAGGGAAAAAAAGGGTTAACATATCTAAGAATAGAAAAATAAAAAAGAGGTAACTCAGCCTCATATCGTTTCGCTTTCTGCTTACCTTTATGGACGAAAAAGTAACAGTCTTATGCAGTCTATACTAAATATGACACCAATAAAATCTTATGGTATATAATACAATGGATACCCGAGAGTAGTGATTGAAATATATATAACCAACAAAAAGGTGGCTAGTAAATAAATAAAACTTACGGTATATACAGGAGCTGGTGCGCGTACTACTGGCTCCTCATCGGTGACACTTTCCGACTCAGAGTCCGAGCCGGTAGCGAAGAAACGACTCATAATTGGATGTTAATTCTTATTTACCTGTAGATGAATTAATATCCTATTTAATTAGAGTAAAAGCTTCTTACATATTGGTAGCTGAACATACTTTTGAGGTTAGTTTTACACAAGTGAAAATAAACTATAACATACTTCCGCTTACAATTCTTGAACCCCTTATTAGTGTGGAATACGAGATAAACGCACTTAATCATGAAATAACAGTTAGAAATATGATAAATTGTACTAACTACAATTTGCCAACGACACACCACCACAGGCACAGATAGGGTTCGAACGATACTTTCGATACCGAGTAGGTATCGATACTTTCAAAAACGAAACTCGATACTACAAAAAGGTAAATACTCGCAAGTACTCATCAAAATTGCTGGTATCGAGTATTCTTGCTAAAGAATATATACTATAGGCGTTTGCATTTGACGTTTCAACTTAAATCTTATACTTTTACTCTTTGGTTTTTATTTTTATACTTTTACCCTTTTGGCTGCCATAAAAATAATGTATGACTGAATTGTATAAATGTATGGAAGTACTATATACTATATTTTCGTTATAGACATTTTTTTTAATTTTCTTACGTTTCCCAAAAACAAATATTTTGTAACAATTTTTCATACACATTTTACAAATTTTTGTTTGTCTGTCCGTCTGGTAGATTGTTTTTTTTTAGGATTAGCCTTCATTAATGATGTCGATAAATACTCGATACTGAGTAGTATCGATACTTTGGGAGTGATACTTTTATGGTATCGATACCATGACCCTCGATACCACATGAGTACTCGGTATCGATACCAGAACCCGATACTTCGAACCCTAGGCACAGACTAAGAACCAAAGACCAAAAGTATGCTAAGAACCATGCAGGTAATGTCCATACAAAAGAAACTAGATTTATGTCTATGGCACTATTTTGATGTTGACAGCTCCTTGCTCCCTCCTTCATCAAAGAGTACATTAATAATATGGATCCTTTACTCACCTCCCTGTAAATGCCATATGATAATATGTGCCTATGAAGTCGTTTTTCGCCTTCGATCAACAATATAGTTATTTTCCGCCAATAATGTTTTGATAGTATCTCCTTCTTGGTCTGTGGTTTTGATGTTGATAAGTTGATCGAATGAAGTTTTGCGTTGGAAAGAGATGATGAATGTGTGATGTGATTATTTAAAAAGTCTAAATTTATATGTTCTGGAAATTTATCATTTAGTATTTTGCCCACTCCTAAAGATCTTAGAAATTTCCAAACCTTAGAAGGATCACCATTTTCTACGGCTGTCTCTGCATCCCTACTCACCATGTTGCAGCGATTTCTAATGAGGAAGTATTTTAAGAAAAAAAAGAAAGCACTAAAATTTACCTCACTAGATTAATAAAATAAATATTTAATAACATCACATACATTACTCAGATTCCAAGATGAGTAGCTAAAGCCCCCGTATTATGGAGTATCTGAGACAACGGAGGTACTTCAACACCCAGACCCGAGTCAATATAGAAAGGTTCATTTTCTACATTGACCCTACCGGGAATCGAACCCGGGACCTCAGAGATGGCGACACCTTGAAACCGGCGTGCGAACCACTCGGCTACGAAGGTCGTCAAGATTCTACCATAAGTTGTTTTTTTCAGGAAACTAATGGACCAAAGTTAGTCATTTCCGTTTCTTTTATCTAACATAAGAAAACTGAAATTTGCAAAGTAAGAAACTTAGATATCAATACAAATACGAAAAAGTACAAATAGAATATACTCATTTATTCGTCTATAGGCAATACAGTGCACTTAGATACGTAAGTTTAGAAATTAATACAAAATTTCAGGCCAAGTATATATCGCACGTTGAGAATGACAATGTCACTAACCAAAAACGACGTGTTTTTTACTTTTGACAACATTTTTCTTTGTTAAGTTTAAACTTTAAAATGCAAAGATCCCTGTAAACGTAGCTTGCATAGAAACTGCTAGGTGGCCTAGTGACGATACGTTGTTTAGAGGGGCTGCTTACAATTTCTTGAACTTTAAACGCTCATTACTCAAAATCGCATTTTTTGCATTGTGTCACTATCGTTCTCAACGTGCGATATTGAAATGCCCGCTTTTGTAAAATAAATATGGTATTCACTTCAGCAACCATACCCCAGAGTATAACTCTATATGACATTAGAGAGTGAATTTTTCTTGATCGATTGCTCAAATATTGTTATTTGGGATCGATTGCTCAAATATGAGTGAAATGACTGAAGTTCCTTGTGTCTTATGAGTTGTTTATTGAGTTTTGAAAATTAATTTACTTTTATTCGTGAAAGAAACCGAAAGTGTTGGTATGGAGAAATCAAGAAAAAACCGTAGCGTCATCTAGTTTAATGTTGAACTATTTTTTTTAAAGCGCGTATTTCACTACCCAATTTATCGGACATGATCTATCGGGTACACTGTAAATTGGGAAGTCTAATCACTGTTAGAGAATTAGGGTCCCAATATCGGGTGATCGTGAGCGCCCGACCTCCCAATCTCACTAGATAGTGCGTAAGGGCCGATTTATCGGGCAATGTGATCGCTGTTAGGGTGTAAGAGCGCTCAGTCGGTTGTTGCGCAGCGTGCGTATGAGACGTCAGTGAACGACAACGAAATTTGCGAACAGAGAAAAATGTCTTCTCAAAAGGAAAAAGAAATAATATTAAATGTAATTTAATTTAATATTATTATAAATGTAATATAATATTATTACTTTTTCTTATAATATATATATGATATAATGTTTGAAACATTTCTAGATAGCCCTGCATGTGTCTGGTACAATTTTTGACAGCAGGAGTTCTGATATCAATGATTTTAGAGAAATTGAAAATTTATAATTATGTATTCTTAATTTTTTATAAATTACAATAATAAAAACTAATGCTCCTCCTTTCTATTATTGTTGTGCCCGACAGGGTCCATAGTGAGACTAACTTAATTATTTAACATTATTTTAAATTACCTATGGAAACAACTAACTTATTGAGTATTTATACTTTAAGTCATGATATGCATTTCCCGTTGCTAAAATTTTTAGGGTACAGCACAGCTAACCGCTGTTTTGCAGTTATACTAGTTCTAAATAGCGTATATTGTTTTTTTTATTTATTATACAAGGTATGACTACGTTTAATATATGATCAAATCGTGCTGAAGTAGTTCAAACTGCATAGTTTGTCTCTTAGAAGCAAATATTTTTTCACCCAACATTTTCTTTTTTGTTTTATTATTTACGCCCGCAGTTAAAGTAAGGGCTATGCCAATTTTTTGGTACTTTGTGAGCGCAGAAGCCGTCTTTTCAACGCCACGTTTGCATGCCAACTGAGTTAGGGAGGCGATCTAGTGCAGTGTAATCACAACGACGCCAACCGCCCTAAATCGAGGCCGATATATCGTGCCCGATAGATTGGGTAGTGAAATCGGCGCATATATACTTCCTCATTAGGTATTCATTTCATGATTACTGTCTGACGGGTCCATTATCGGCCTTTGCCCGATTCTTTTTTGCATAAGGGACTTCATTTCGTCAGTCAGCCCGGACAGGCAGATATTTAGCTTAACACACCTCAACAAGGTCAAAGTTGTATTGAAAATAATGAATTTCATTTTTATTAATTTTAGAGGTCATGTTTCAGAGTAAGAAATTTTTCTTTCCACTAAAATCCCTGACATTGTTACTAAAAACGGATTTTCATTTGTCTTATAGTGCCAGACTTTAATACATGAAAGACGACGACACACTAATCGTTTTTAATGTTACACACAACCTGTATACATTATAATTAGGCTTAAATGTAACTTTGGCCACTCTCGATTGTTTTAAAAACTAGTGAGTATTGGTATCGAATTCATTCGATCATTCATCGGTATCAGGAACAAGTAATTTTGTATCACGTACTTCTCTAGTTATCAGCAGCAGCCGGCAGCAGTCAGCGTCATATCTCCGTCCGTCATTTTCTTTCTATGATGACATGTCACGGAGATTGAAGAAAATGTCCGTGTTTCCAAAGAACACAAATAAATAAGTAAAGTTTAAAATAGGTTTGCACGTGTAGTAATTTTGTTAAATACGATTATAAGAATTTGAATATTAAAATGGAATTTTCTAACACGATACTGCCACTTACGAAAAATATTTGCAGAACATGCCTTTTACAATCGGATGCTACAATGTTTATGAATATACAAGACTTGATTGAACATGAAGGTCATAAAGTAAAACTAATCGATATTTTAGTTTTTCTTAATTGCTTGGAGGTATGCAACTTTATGTTATTATTCTTGAAAATCCTATGTTTTTATAAACTACTATTTTACTTCATTGTTAATAAATTTCAGAATAACGACGAAGAAAACTGGCCTCAAGGAATTTGCACAGATTGCGTGTCAACTGCTTTGATTGGTTATAGTTTTAAATTAAATTGTTTAAAAGCAAACACAACTTTATCACAGATCTTTACTATTCAGTCGCCTAACAATTTACAAAGATCTGACATAGATTCTATTGATATAAATGTTGTTTATCAGGACCATGAGTATGATGTGCCGTTATTCAGTAACCATTCTGTTTTTGATTTTGATGCTAATTTAAATACAAATAAGGAATTGACACCATTACCACCAGTCACAGAAATAACAGCTACTGAACAACCACCTAGAAAGGAAAGTGATAAAAGATATTCTTGTTCTGTATGTTCAAAGTCATTCACTAGAATATATGGCTTAAAATATCATATGAATAAACATACTGGCTCACATAAGTATTTATGTTCAAAATGTGGTAAATGCTTTTTTACTCCAAATGGCTTAAGACAGCATTCTATATCACACAAACAAGTGGCTCAGTTTAAATGTGGTTTTTGCAATAAAACTTACAAATCCCGACAGTCTTTGAAAGAACATTTCCGTGTTGCACATTCAAGTAATAGAAAATTATTTGTATGTGTAACATGTGGAAAAAGTTTCACTGCTAAATCGACTTTGATGATGCACATTAGAAGCCATAATGGTGAGAAACAGTTTGCTTGTCCCAGCTGTCCCAAGACATATACTAGAGCATCGTATTTGAGAACTCATAGCATGGTTCATACAGGGCAAGATAGACCCAAACCCTTCTCATGTGAACATATAGAGTGTGATAGAAGTTTTTCTACTAAGCATTCCTTGTTAGTACATATTGCACACGCACACAGTACTGTCAGACCTCATAAATGTGATATATGCTGTAAGGGTTTTGCAACTACATCAGGTTTGAAAGTCCATAGAGAGTCTCATTATAATAAAGAATTAAACTGTAACATCTGTAACAAGAAGTTTGCTAGTAAAAGAGTTCTACAAAAACATTTCAAAGTTCATAATTAGATTCCAAAGATATGATATGATGAAAATAAATGATAATAGTTTTAGATACATAGCTATTTTAGAATTTATGTTTTAAATTGTTATGTGATAATATAATAAGGAGCTGCTTTTTATATGATATCTCTTGGTTTAGTCATCTTTTCCCACCATTGTTAAAATAATATGTATGTACTAAGAATATAATAGTTATTAAAATGGCAATTGAATTTTCCTTTTATAGCTATGAACTGATGAGTGATGTAATCCTCATTAACTGTTATGGATTGAATACAGATATAATAACTGTAATAATATTTTAGGCATCATAATTCAATCCCGAATGGTTACATACTAAATTATACATACATATTTACTTTTTATCAGTTTCATAGAGAAGTTTTATTATAAAACTAATGAATGGAACAAAAGTGCTAATTAATTCTCAATAGAAATGAAATACCTATGTACTACATGTTTGGTTAACTTACAATATTTGTCTAAATGTGTAATATATATATAATCATAAGTAATTAAATCACTGAACTAAGTGACTGATCACTTATATATAGCAACCATGACTGAAATGTTTAACAGTACATAAAAATGCAATTATACACAATTTTATTTATTTAACATACATATTTATTTTATATAGAATAGAACATTCTGGATTTTAGAGTTCTATTTACATTTTTTATGATAAGGCTATGGACTTAATTTAGATAACATTAATTAAGCATTAGCATGCTCATTAGCTATAAAAATATCAATCTTCAATTAAACTTTATCATTAGTTATAATAGTGTACAGTAACAAAAAAAAACAATACTTCCCACTAGAAATAAAAGTGGAATCATACACCGATACTGATGCACAATTCCATAAAATGAATATTAAAGGAAAAGAAAAACTTTATAAAAACACTTTAGAGTAACTAAAAGGTGACGAGATCAAATCCCGTCTGGAGTAACTGAGACTGTTGAATTTTCAAGTATTTGAACAATATACATTTTTGTTCCAAGTCAATGTTGAGAAATAGGTATATGAATATAATAGATAAAATGCAACTGATTAAGATGACTTAATCCTGAATGAATACATTTAACACAATTTTCTACTCAGGAATGTGGGTGAAAGGACAACGAAACAAATAATTCACTAATGCTTAATAATAAATTGCAGTTTTGATAACATTTATGGTGTGCATCAATATTATATAAATCATTATGTATTTTCTATTATTATATATATTATTATTTTTCTATTATTATATATATTTATTATATATTTTTTTTATCTAAACTATTTACCAAGCAATTTGTTCATTTGTTTATTTTGACTTCCAATTTTGATATCAGCTCCTTCCACTTTATCTTGAATAGTATCAATTAGCTCATTTTGCTGTTCTATTTCATCACCAAGAGCTACTCCAAGACCTTTAAGTCTGGATATGGAGACCAGCATTTCATCTAAATTAGCATCCAGCATATCATTAATGCGTTTACTATCTGTAACAGGCCCCGATGATGTTGGCTCTTCTAACCCACGTAAACGTGTCGAAGGATGTGAACTGAACCGCTCTTCGCTTGTAATATTATTAGAAAAACTGTCTATAGTTGCCTCCAAATTGCTAGGACCACTCCTAGGAGCACTTCTTATATCAGGAGATGCTTGACTTCTAGATGGTGTCTGATCAGATTTTCCAGAAATGTAGTTTTTTAGTCCATAAAAAACAGATTTAATGCCATTCAAATGCTTTTGGCTGTAAGTTAAATTCGTATTTATTTCATCAAGTCTTTTATTTGTATTCTGAAGGACGTCTCGTTGACGAGCTAGTTCTTCTGCGGTATCTATGCCTATTTTTTCAGAGTCGCGTAGCAGACCTATGCTTCTTGCTGAAGAATCTAAAGTGCGTTGTTCGATTTCGCGTTGTCTTTCTAGCATTGTTTGTCTTTGACGTTCCAATTCCGCTATGTGACCTCCACCATATGACGGAGGAACAGGCTTCGACTGTGCAGGTGGAATTCTTGATCTGTAACTAGACACAAAAGTGTCGTCATCGACATCATCTTCAAATAAATTGTTAGCATTGCTGATGTATTTATGTCCAGACATTTTCACTGCACTTTGTTTTAGGGTATCCAGTAAACACGATTGTAGTAATTTAGAATTTTTACAACCAACACTATTTCCTTCTCACTAATAACTTCTATTGAAGACTTTACGCGTCTCTATATTAAAATTATTTTCTTTTCATAAATTCTCTTTGTTTTTGATAAATTGCATGAAACGCCTATCTAAAACCACAGAGAATAAAATACGCTCCCTGGCTGATAGAGATGGACGTGTAAACGAAAAGCACTTAATTAAGCGCGCTTTTCTAAATATGTGCAAAAGCGCTTTTTCACCATCCGCCATCTATCAAGATATAAGTAGTTATATCTTGTAAGCTTGTAGTAGCTTGAATCAATTTTACTGTTTCGGCATTTTTCTATTGGAGAGCAGCACTTAACATAAATGCACTGTATTATACTATTACGCGTGATATCCAACTAGATTTTTTGCAACAACTTTTTTGGTTGGTTAATCCAAACGCTTATAATTAAAAAATTAGTACGTTTTTCGTTGTTGAAGTAAGTATACGTTGTGTTGAATGCTAATTAATTATGTAAGGTAAATTGTATGCGTCATTAAATTGCTACTTAAGTAATGACTTTTGTTTATTCCAAAATAATCAATGTAAATAAGTTTTGTTATGAGGTGATGGTGTGTATATAAAAAATTCTAAATATTATTGAACTGCATTAGTTTAAGATTGTGTAAATAAAATGTCGAGAAACGTTTAAACGTCCAACTCTAATTATACATAAAAACCTTCCTTTTGAATCACCCTATCTATGAAAAAAAAAACGCATCAAAATCCGTTGCGTAGTTTTAAAGATTTAAGCATAGGATATAGGGACAAAGAAAGCGACTTCGTTTTATACTATGTAGTGATAACACAATGTTGCACGCTTATTAAAACGATTTCTAAACGTCAGTTGAAAAAATTGTTTAAGCAATAGGGTTTTTGACACTTTTCTGAAAACTATTTTAAATCGTCGTTTTTTTTTGTTGTTTTTATTTTCCTCTGCTTTAGTTTTCTTTAAAAAATTAGCAACAAGCGGTGTGTAGTGCCACAATGTACTAATACTTCTATAAATAACAAACAAACTTCTTCTTCTTCTTCTTCTTTTATTGATGGCCCATCTGCGCGTTTCGCACAATTCCGCCAATTTCACGTGGATAGCCACTACACGATAGGGATTCTATACATAATTAATTTGGAAAAGAGATTCTAATATTTAAATAAATAATTATACACTTTCTATGTCGATAACGAACCTGAAACAAAACACATTTTATCGCATGCATCACGTTACACAACACAACACATATACAGGCATAACATTTTAGTAAGGGGGAAATAAGGAATGGTTCATTATAATTTTAACTTATTACTTAAGATAAATTTAACTAGTGTTTTTAAACAGGGTGTATTAAGCAGTTGAAGCACATTTTTAATATTAATGGGGCGAGGAACTTCTTGTGGGAGTACATCATACAGGGAATACAAGAGTTTGGGGCAGTCAAATAGTGTGTGTTCTACCGATCCCTCATCTAGGCCGCACTCACAAAGGGGATTATCCTTAACATTAATTTTGGCCAAATGAACTGGTAATCTTGCGTGTCCAATGCGGAGACGGCATAACACTGATACAACCTGTTTGGGAGTATGTTTCTGTTTTATGAACCAAGGTTTTGTTGGAATAGTTGGTTGGATGTCAAAGTAGTACTTTCCACTCTTATTTTTAGTGTTTGTCCAATGCGTCTCCCATGATTGCGATAGATGAGAATGAAGGAGGGGGATGAGATCGTTATATGTAAGTTCGGAATGACTAGTACAACCAGTGGAGATTGCATTCCTGGCACACGAATCAGCAGTTTCATTGCCGTGTATGCCACTGTGACCTGGGATCCAGCTCAGCATCAGTTCTATTTCTTTCACTTTACATCTAAGTAAAGCTTCTCTAATTTTGAGGATAATTGGGAAGCGAGATTTGGACCGCATGGGATTGGAGGATATTGCCTAAAGGCAGCTAAGAGAATCGGATAGGATGATTGAGCGGTTTAAATTGTGTGATTCACAATATAAAATTGCCTCCAATATTGCGATTGCTTCACCCGTAAAGACTGATGAGGGTGGTGGTATTTTAAAATTCAGGACTATCTTATACTTGGGTATCCATACTGCCGCTCCAACACTCTCAGTATCTGAAATCTTGGATGCATCCGTAAATATTTGAAGCCAATGCGGCCAGTTTTTACACATTACCTCATTGTAGGATTTATTTGAACTGGGTGACTGTTTTTCAATACCCAGATTAAGTGAGATGGGCGGATCGAAAACTAAAGACTCGAAGCTGTTTAAAAACAAAGGGTTGCAAGGAAATTTTTCAATGGAAATGGATGGGCGGTGGAACTTATAATAACTAGTAACTATACAGGGTACTTTATGAGAAGAATTAGAATTTATATTTGATAAATGGGTCAGCTTGTCTAAAGAAGGTAACAATGGGTGAGTTTCATTTTGTAAAACCTTAAGGAGAAATCTGTCACTGAGGTATTGTCTACGCAGAAAAAGTGGGGGATCGCCCCCTTCTATTTGAAGGGCATTGATGGGGGAGGATTTCATTGCCCCTAGTATAATTCGTAAGCACTTCGATTGGATTTTGTTGATTTTATCCAGAGCTGTTTTATTGCATGGGTCAAGGAGAAATGAGCCATAGTCAAAGTGACTACGAATTATTGCGTTATAAAGCAGTCTTTGAGTTACTGGGTGTGCGCCCCACCAGACGCCAGACAAAGCTCGCAAAACGTTTACGCCCTTTTCTGCCTTACTGGCAATATTATTGAAATGCTCAGTACCCGTGAGTCTAGAGTCAAGTATCATCCCTAAGAACTTTACTGAAGGCCTAATTTCTATTGTGAAGTCCTGAAATTTGATGTTCGGAGCAGGGATGTTTCGTTTCTTTGTAAAGATTACGGTGCTACATTTTGGTGTGGAGACGGATAGTCCATGGTCAGACAGCCAATCACCGAGATATGATAGAGCAGAGTTAAGTCGTGAAGTAGCCTCCGGTATTGATTTCACTGTGACGTAAAGGGCTACGTCATCAGCGTATTGTAAAATCTGGCAGAAGGGGTTCACCGAAAGTTCCATATCGAAAGTGTATAAACTGTAAAGTATGGGGCTAAGAACCGATCCTTGTGGTAGGCCTTTCCATACAGTCCTAGCCAATGTATGGTTTTGAGACCTTATCAAAATAGACCTGGACGTTATCAGGTTGCAAATGAATCGAACCAACTTCACTGGGATGTTCAGATGTTGCATTTTCTGCCTGAGCACCGGAATAAGGACGTTGTCATATGCAGACGATATATCCAGGAATACTCCAATTAGGTATTCTTTTTTCACTAACGCTAAACGGATGTCTGTTGTAAGAGTGCTGAGACTGTCTAAAGTGCTATATCCTTTTCTAAAACCGAACTGCGATTTAGCAAGAATGTCATGTCTTTCTACAAACCACTCTAGGCGATTTTTCATTATATGCTCGACGACTTTTAAGAGAACCGACGAAAGGGCTATAGGCCTATAAGAGGAGTGGTCGGATGGGTTCCTACCCGGTTTTAGTATTGGAATCACAATCTGTTTTGTCCATTGATCAGGGATGAGAGCTTTATCATAAAAAAGGTTAATTAATTTTAGGAAATATTGTTTTAATTTATCTGGGGCTCTAATTAAAAAGGAGTATGGAATTCCATCTGGACCTGGAGATGTATCATTAAGGCCAGAAAGCGCTTTTTGAAGTTCTTCAAAGGTAAAAGCTCCGTCTATGATGTCTGTGGAGGGAAAGTGGATATTGGGGTTGATGGGAAGGCAGTCAGCATTTGGGACAGATGAAGGAGCTAATTTATCAGCAAACGCTTCAATCCAGCTTGAGGAATCGTTGGCAGTCAAGAGGGGCAGTTTTCAATAATAGCCTGATGGGCTAATCGATCATATCCCGGGTTCAAAGGGGTTCTAGAGCTTGGGGGAAGGAATACAGTTTTCCGGTATGAAGTTGTACCTGTTGGATGTTTGTTAGGAGATGTTTGTGTGTGCTGAATATGGGGATGCCTCGATAGAGGAGATTGGGTTACATCCGCATAGGATCTTTTCACTGAGGGAAATCTTTGGGATGCTTCTTGGTATGAAATATTATCTTGTGACATGAGTATTTTAATTGATCTTTGTCGAGACTGTTCTGGGCAGCTTTTGTTAGTAGCATAATGACAGCCTAAACAGAAAAGGCAAGTTGATTGTGCTTCAATAATACTACATGATTCCCCAGAGTGAGGTTGAGCACAGCGGAAGCAACGTGGTTTAGACCGGCATTGTACTTTAATGTGTCCAAATCTGCAGCAGTTTAGACATTGTATAGTGGGAAAATGGTAAGCTTCTACTGGCACGGACGTATGGTAAACAAAAACTTTATTAGGGAGGACCTGTCCTTGGAATGTAAGAACTACAGTTTGAGTTGGTACCCAGGTCACTTTGCCATCTATCACAGTCTTTCTATTAAGTCGTCTTGCCTTCAAAATATGACCGCAGCTAACAGGGATTACTAACGATTCTACTAACTCTTCCATTGATAGATCAGATGGTACACCTTTAACAATTCCCATGCAAGTAACATTGTAATTAGGTATTTGTGCAGTATATTTATAGATTGAAAGGAAGGAGTTGTTTATGAACTGATTTGCATCCAAACTGGTCATAAATTCAACAGAAATTCTATTGCGACCAACTTTTTTAATACCATCATTGACAATATTTTTAATCTTGTTTTTAATTAGTAACTGGCCAAACTTAATGGGATGAATTGATATGCCTGATGAGGGATCTGTTTCAGTTTTAGATATATGAACAATAAAAGGGCCTTTATCACTATCAATATATTGTTTGTTAGTTTCGTTTATAGATGGGTGGGTGTATATACCGGGAGGGTTCTCTGTGGCATCTGTCTGCCTAACCTCTGTTATTACTCTTTTGGGTGTGTTAGTCAATTCGGGTTCAATTTCATTTCGACGTTTAACTCCTGTCTGTGTGAATAGCGGAGGAGAAAGTTCCATCATTAGTGGAGTAGAAGGCCGATCCGGCGGATCCGGAGGTTCAGGAGGGGTCCTTTCCATTGATTATTTTGTAATCAGTGGAAAGGACGGGGAAACAGAAATCTATGACTACTTACCAATACCAGCT